TAAAACTTGATGTGTGTTGCACAGTTTGGTTTGACAACACCCACCAAAATACATCTCTTACCTTACCTACACTTTTACACACTCGCTTCATTACCTTCGTAATGGCTTCTCTTCCATATGTTACTTTTTATTATTCATAATTTGTTAATTTACTGGTCTCTCTGCAACGCTTGCAGATATCTGCTTCCCCATCTCTTCTCCATACTCTCTGTCTCTCTCTCTCTCTCTCTCTCTCTCTCTCTCTCTCTCTCTCTCTCTCTCTCTCTCTCTCTCTCTCTCTCTCTCTCTCTCTCTCTCTCTCTCTCTCTCTCTCTCTCTCTCTCTCTCTCTCACTCTCTCACTCTCTCTCTCTCTCTCTCTCTCTCTCTCTCTCTCTCTCTCTCTCTCTCTCTCTCTCTCACTATCCACCACCCCCACACCCGCCCACACCTTCCGTCTCTCACTTTGACTCATAAAACGTCCCGATCAAATCAATGTTACCAAGGTAAAAAAAATATACAAATGAATGACATGTTGCAAAAGGTATTTTACTTGACACTTAAGTGACACCACGTCCTGCACTTGTGGAGGTGACCTGTGGCCTGCAGGCTACACCTGCTCGTTTGTCTACTCTAAAACTCAATTGCTTCTTAATTGATAATTCTTTTCAAGATGCTTTTGTACTCTCAAAAACTATCTTTCAGAGATTTTCCCGACGACTCGGAGCAAAAATATTGGCCTATAATAATAATAATAATAATAATAATAATAATAATAATAATAATAATAATATATACAATACTATAACAGTGATTCCAACTGAGGGTCACTTAATAGACGGGTTTGTGTATATTATTTGCCATGGTAGCATTGATTGACTCTAACAACCAGTATGTGTTTGTGAGGAGGAATGTAAGGGGGGAGGGGGGAGGGGTACGGAGGGTAGTGGAGGATGGTTTGTACCGCGAAGGATGGAGGGTAAGGGTGGATAGAGGGAACGGGGTGAAAGAAAGGAGTCAGTACGATAACAGATGATAGGCAACTGTATAAGAGGTAAGTCTCGCCCCTGAAGGGTGATAGTAAATTGAGTGAACCAATGACAAAAGTCCTTAGGATATCAGGACATTGTAAAGTGATGAGGATGAGAAACAATGATCATTAAGACGGGATCTTTCAAAGGTAAGAGAGGGGAATTATCAGGGGGAAAGCGCCAAGCCATTACGATTATATAGCCCTGGGAAGGAGTGGTCAGGATATGGATTTGGGATGGGACGGAGGGAAGGAATGGTGCCCAACCACTTGGGTTGGTCGGGGATTGAACGCCGACCTGCATGAAACGAGACCGTCGCTCTACCGTCCAGTCCAAGTGCTTGGGCGACAGAGATAGACTGAAACTGAACTTTGCTGAAGTAAAACATTTAAATAAAGACAGGAATGTAGACAGAATTATTTTTCAACAAGGTGACAGGGATCTGGAAGCCGTTGACATGGTCCATGAGAGCAACCCAGCGAAGCCTTTAGAGGAAGATGGATTAAGATACACAAACACTGGAGTTAAATGATATAATATCTGACAACCGTCGAGACGTCGACATAATGGCGCTGGAGATCTGCACCCAGAATGATACCCTGATAACCATCACTGTCTCCAGCAGGCCACCAGCACATGCACTAAAGAACAACTAAATGACAAAACATTGCCACCATACCGCCTAAAAAATTCCAAGGCGATAATGGTGGCGGCATTTTCAGTTGTTATGGTGGTTGCCACCACCAACTGACAGTTGCCTGGTGATCCGGTGGCGCCAGAGGTGTGGTGGGTGTGGGGAAGGTGGTGAGGGGGGTGTGGAGGAGTGGGGGAGGGGGGTGTGGAGGAGTGGGGGAGGGGGGTGTGGAGGAGTGGGTGAGGGAGTGTGGAGGAGTAGGTGGGGGAGTGTGGAGGAGTAGGTGGGGGAGTGTGGAGGAGTAGGTGAGGGAGTGTGGAGGAGTAGGTGAGGGAGTGTAGAGGAGTAGGTGAGGGAGTGTGGAGGAGTAGGTGGGGGAGTGTGGAGGAGTAGGTGAGGGAGTGTAGAGGAGTAGGTGAGGGAGTGTGGAGGAGGTGGGGAATTTGGAGGAGTGGATTTGGAGAACTTCAGAGTGGAACTCTGAAGTTCTGAAGCACTCAACTCTAAAGATTTGCTGCTTGTCTTGTGGACAATGGATCCAACCCCACAACAACTGACAACAAGACCTTTACCTCGACTAAAGAACATGCTCGCACACGCTTCTCTGCTATAAGTTACATTTGCTTCCTCCAAACTCCGAGTGGGCTTTTCTATTCAGTGATCTACAGCAATACGAACGTTGAATTCATCACAGTACATCATTATTAGACTTGTAATTTAATAAATATTTTCTATAAAATAGTATATATATTTTAGCCATTCATGTAAAAGATGCTTGAACTGTTGAATGCGTCATGTGTTTATTCTTGTTATAAATTGTAAACAAAGTTCGTGTTTAACTTGACGTCCGTAATGTGTGGTCATAGTGGCCACTGTTACACCAGTGCTTCTGCAGGTCAGGAGTCACAATAACGTGGCTGAAGTATGTTGACCAGACCACACACTAGAAGGTGAAGGGACGACGACGTTTCGGTCCGTCCTGGACCATTCTCAAGACCACTTGAGAATGGTCCAGGACGGACCGAAACGTCGTCGTCCCTTCACCTTCTAGTGTGTGGTCTGGTCAACACCACTGGTTCTCTTCTGTAATAATTTGTCTTCTGTCTCAATCAGAGCTTTAATATACCAATGTGCTTTAATATACTTACTAATCTCTCTCATCTCATTTTTTTCTTGCAATGTATCTGTTTTCATTTTATTAATTCTGCTAGAATTTACCTACTTAAAATTATCTGTTACATTAAGGACCTGCCCGAAACGCTGCACGTACTAGTGGCTTTACAAGATTGTAAATACTATGCTATGTATTCTCACAAACCCAATGTACCTTCTTGTATATAAATAAATAAATAAATAAATAAATTCATTGCTCGCAGTTCAAAGATGCCACAAATTTCCTGAAATACAGCTTATTTCCACACATTAATCTTATTATATAGGTTCCATATACATTATCAATACATGGATATGAAACAGCCAGTTAAATAGTGTAGAAAAGAAGTAGAATACTTTGAAGGTGTGATTGATTGGTGGTGACGAGTGAGGTGATGATGCCAACGTGATTGGATGTTCTTGTGTGAGGAGTGTACAAGATTGATTGATTGATGAAGATTAAGCCACCCAAGAGGTGGCACGGGCGTGAATAGCCCGTAAAGTGTACAAGACCGCTTGACAGCTAATATATCTATGGAAGAGGTGAGTACGTTACTGACGAAGCTGAGGTGTGGGAAACCTGACGTGGCAAATGAAGTACAGTATGTATAAAATATGTTTAATGTTATGTAGAAAAAGGAGTGCCGTGTGCTACAGTGCCTTGGAGGAACTGTAGACACAACACAGCAGGCTCACGCCTGATGACAGGTGCTCAAGTATTGACCAGTGTCACTAACACATTCCTTGCAAAGTACTGAAGATAGTAATCTGAAAGAGAATAATGAACCACCTAATGAGGGTGAACTTTGCAATGGAAGGTCAACATGGTTTTAGAGAGGGACCGGAAAGTCATACGAGATAAACATCATGGAAGTCAATAACAAAACACGACAGGAAAAATAAAGTTGGTTAGATTTCATTTTTCTACTGTCAAAAGTAATTGATATTGTCCGTAATGAAAGTCTGGTGAAGACGATGGAAAAACAGAGGCCAGATTCACGAAAGCACTTACGAACCTGTACATTTTTTCTCAATCTTTGGCGGCTTTGTTTACAATTAATAAACAGTTAATGAGCTCAGAAGCACCAGGAGGCTGTTTATAACAATAACAACTGTTAAATGGGACGTTTTCATGCTTGTAAACTGTTTAATAAATGTAACCAAAGCCGTCAAAGATTGAGGAAAGAGGTACACGTCTGTAAGTGCTTGCGTAAGTCCTTTCGTGAATCTGGCCCCAGTAGAGCCGGGATAATTAGTAACAAGCTAAGAAAGTGCCTGATGGCCAGAAAACAAAAATATACTTCAAACCCAAGGCAGTGAGCTCCTAAATGTCAGTGTAGTTATCGCAACAACATTTATGATTGGTTGTTCGAGTTCAACCTCAATCAGTGTAAGGTAATGAATATGAAAAAAGTGGAAACAGAAAACCATCAAAAAATCATCACAACTACAGGAATTTGAAAGAAAGACTTAGGAGAGATTAGAAGCTGATTATCATAAGAATGACATTTAAGACTTAGGAGAGATTAGAAGCTGATTATCATAAGAATGACATTTAAGAATGTTAAGCGATTCTTTGAAGATGTGCTACACACCGTAAGTGATGACAGTACATGGAGGATTGATCCATCATGGCACGTAAACGGTACTCAATCTCAGATATTTAAGGAAGAGAAAGAGTACAAGGAATATGATCACTACATATAAAATATTGAGAGGAATAATCATGGAGCAAAATGGCAGCTTCTTAACTTGTGATGAAGTAGACCAAGAGAACATAGATGGAAGTTGGATATGCAAATAAGCCTCATAAAAGCAGGTATAAATGGTTATAAAGCAAAAATATATTAGTATTGCTGGCTGTATGTTGTGTTGTGGAGGGCAATTATGGCTCCTGTATACGTGCTCAGGTGTTACAATTTGCTATTATTAAAAATGATAAATAGTTTAGGCTAAATTATGTTGTTATTCGATATTGAAATGATAAATGGCGTTCTTGTTGTTGGAAAGTGAGATTCGGTTGAGGGCAGTATGGAGGGGCACTGGATGGTTGGGGTGGGAGGTGGAGAGATAGAGATGAGTGATGTAGGGGGTGGATGACAGGGAGGTGAGAGAGAGGGGGTGGGGGAGGAGGACAGAGGGAGAGCAGGAGACACTAAGCTGCTTGGCCAGCCACGGGGTCAGTCGTGCCGTAGTGACTACCAACGTCGTGTGCGTCTCGTGTTCCTTCTCACGCCTTCTTAATGACGTACTAGTGGGCACACCCGCTGAGTCTCACCTCAGTCTTAACACTCTCAACTCCTCCTGCTACTGACTCACGACAACACTTCCTCTACTCTGTAAGTTGTTAGCATTTACAGCTCTGTCGGCTGTTTGGGATCACTATTACAACGAAATCTTTCGTGCTGTTCTTAAAAAATATTATAATCCCTAAGACTTCAAGATTAAAAATTGTCTATACAGTATACCTAGGTCATAAAAGTATTTGTGTACGTCTGTTACCATACTACTTGTGTAAAGGAGGAAATCTATATGTTAATCTCTCAGAATGTTCGGTAATATGTTTATTGTTTGTGATGTGTGTCTATGTATATATTAACACGATGTACTGAACGGGGTGAGGATAGCTTGAGCTAACTCATCCCTTTGTGTGTATTTTACATCAATAAACTTATTTCAATTTCAATTTCAAGATCAAGGTAAATTTTTAAATGTTTCCTGCTACATCACTTATTGGTCTACCTTCCTAGTAAGACAAAATATCAGATGACATAAATGTATTCATGGTCGCCATTGTTCAAATCAGTATGTTAAACTATTTAATCCTCTAACTTACATGATATTTCTAAGAACTATATTCTCTAAATGTGTCTATGGTAATACCACTCAAAATTGCATTCAATTTCCCTTATACAAGTAGTCGACTTTTTGGAAAATTTCAATAATTATTGCTAGGATCTATGGTATTTTGACTTTGTATTTTTAACTACGTAATAAAAGTCGGCGTGATTACAACCAAAATTGTGGGTTCTGTTCTATTAATTAACTTCGATAAGGTCACCCACCCATAAAAGCTGCTTTACTTAACTTCACCAAATCATCATAATGACTTTTTAATAATGAATTAAATTAACATCAAATGACTTCTCAATACAAATATTTTAATATTCCAGTAAGGTTTTAGGGACATCGACTACGAAGGTCGTTAAAGCAAATGACCTTAGCTTATACTGTACATATATTATCCCCTATATTATAAATTAAAATTTGGTCTGATGCCCAACACTAAGGGCTATTCATTGAAGTATTTTCTACTTCCTTAAGGAGTTTATTTACATAAAGAGTGTTAATACATATACCAATATTCCTCTTGATGTAAATATTTATTTCGAATTGGAATGTTTATAAACTTTTGGTGAACTTAAGAGAACAGTATGAACTTAACCTTAACTTGGAACACAGCTCAGAGTCAAGTAATCATTGTACATACACCGAGAAATACCTCTTTACAGAACATGTAGCATCTCAACACTAATTATACGTAGACTAATTACACATTTCTCAATATATATGCTAAAGCCAAAGAGATAATTGTAGAGGACAGTTGGAGTCGACTACGGACGTAATGAGACATAAGTCGCCTTGAGTTCAAGTATGTTTATCGAGACTAAAAAAGATATACATCTCAAAAGGATAGAGCAGTCTCCGTGGTGTAGTGGTAAGACACTCGCCTGGCGTTCCGCGAGCGCTATGTCATGGGTTCGTATCCTGGCCGGGGAGGATTTACTGGGCGCAATTCCTTAACTGTAGCCTCTGTTTAACGCAACAGTAAAATGTGTACTTGGATGAAAAAACGATTCTTCGCGGCAGGGGATCGTATTCCAGGGACCATAGGATTAAGGACTTGCCCGAAACGCTACGCGTACTAGTGGCTGTACAAGAATGTAACAACTCTTGTATATATCTCAAAAAAAAAAAAAAAAAAAAGTAGCTTAGGCTATTTCTACCCCCCCAAGTCGCCTCCCCTCCCACGCCACCACCAACCTCAAGCAAACATTTTCATTTAATCTTTTCCTTACCGGATGTGTGAATATTCCTTCGTCACGCTCCCTCTCGTGTCATCTTCAATCATTAGCCTTACCTGCGTCATGCATCGTCTGGGGTTATCTATCTTGAGATGATTTCGGGGCTTTAGTGTCCCCGCGGCCCGGTCCTCGACCAGGCCTCCAAGTTATGTTATGATAGACGGGGCATGTGGAAGGTTTATATATACAGGAATCAGTATATTTCAATAATTGTTGCCCTTCCTTTGATCAGCATTAAAGTTTGCAGTATTGTCATGTGATCTAAGTCGCATATAATGTGTATATTTTGTAATCTGTTTGTATAAATGGTTATTACACCCAAATATATTATGAATTAAGAGTATGAAATATATTTTCTGTTTAGTGTTGGGCTTAAGTTCTATCAGTTTCTGTATTGTCAATAAAGCCGCCTAAATAGTTTACTGATCAACCAGCAAGTATACTTTTGTCACGAATATCGTCCAGGTTTGCGACTGCTAGAATCACTAATGCAATTATATTTAATTGTATATAATTAAGTGTAATTCAGTCCCTAACATAATTTCAGATTTTGAATAAATTATCAAGGTGTATTAACTATAATTCGTTAAAAGAATGTGTTCTGAAATTTTATTTGAGCAGTTATTGACCAGACCACACACTAGAAGGTGAAGGGACGACGACGTTTCGGTCCGTCCTGGACCATTCTCAAAATCGACTTGAGAATGGTCCAGGACAGACCGAAACGTCGTCGTCCCTTCACCTTCTAGTGTGTGGTCTGGTCAACATACTTTAGCCAGGTTATTGTGATTCATCGCCTGCATTTGAGCAGTTATTAAGAAATGCGACAACTTAAAAAATACGAGATTGTCATAATTCAAATAGAGTATATCTTTAAGGTGAAGGTCTATATTAGGACGTTAGCGCTGCCATGTGGCGTCGGCCATAATGGCATCTTGGTCACATTACTTGCGATGATAACTGAGATAATCAATTTGCCTTAGGCTTAATACCGGTAAAGAAAACGGAATGCAAGCGTGTGAACTCGCCCAAAAGGTAAACAAAAAATAAATAAACCTACAGAATGTGTATGAATCAGCTTATACAAGTTATATACTAGTTTAAAAACCAATTAGAGCATCTCCACACGTGATGGTGCGGGAGCTATGCCCACACAGGTTATATCATGTGGTATTTGTGTAGTGAATTGTGTGAACAGTCTCTTGTCACGCCTCATCTATTGATATAGCAATTATTCAATTCACAGCGTATGTGATGGGTTATTTTAGGAGAGTGAGAGAGGGGGAAGGAGAAGAGTAGTGACAGAAAGAGAGAGAGTGTGGGGAATAGTAAGAGAGGGGAGGATTGTGGGAGGAAGAGAAGTGAGAGAGGTAGGAAAGTTATATGAGGTTGGCACAGGACGAGAGAGAGAGATGTGGGAGATGATGATGACAATTACTGAAATATCTGTTGTAAATTTTGTCTTACCAATTACAATTATATCTGGTAGAGGGCCAGGGGTATATACACTTAATGGTGTACAGTATCCCCAATTCTCAGTATATATATATGTTCTCAGTTGATTTTAGCTCGAAACTATGTTCAGGTAAGTTAATAACGGTGGTCTTAATAATCCTTCCGGGTTGGTAGAATTGATCCCTAACACATTACTCCTCTTTGAACTCTCTTAAGGCACAATTGTAATGTGCTTGTCTCTGAAGCTGAATACATATGCAAGAGAATTATTAATAATGGCAATTGCTAGTCCATTTCATGAGGATTTAATTTCCTGTTGGCCTCCGAATGCGTGATAAAACTGATAACTCAGCCAAAGATTACACATTCAAAGAATATACATTCAAAGAATATATATATTCAAAGAATATACATTCAAGGAATATACATTCAAAGAAGACGTTGATTATAACCTTAAGACTGCCAATATGCAGCTTGAGAACAATAAAACAACAAAATAGCGTATATATAGACCTGAGACAGAGTGTATTCAAGATCTTTTTTTTCTTCTAAAAATATATATTAAATAACGGACCTAGGAGTCATAGTCCACTAATCACTGAAAGTTGCACAAGTGGGAGTGTAGTAAAAAAAGAGCCAACCAAAGGATTAGGAACAGTCAAACTAACCTTTAACTATGCCCATGGAACCGCCTACCTGCTGAAGCCGTGAATGTAAAGACTTGACTGCAGTTCAAAACAGCGTTGGAAAAGATTTCAGTAAACAATAGAAGGTTCTTTGACAAGCCACTGGCTTGTTTAATATTATTTTACATATGAGAGCAAACTTATTTTTAATCCACAATATGTAAAAATTTATGAATGCATGTTGGGGAAAGGCCGCTGCTTTAACGATCCTGAGATCGACCCCGATATTTATTGTTGGTGATTGTCTTTCACAGGACGAACGAGGATGGACCGACGGCTCCTGCTTGTAGGCATTCTTGTCATCTTTTGTGAGTACATTTGTGTGGTGACTTTGTTTTCCTTATGATGAACGCCACATCATTAGGTATAAATGCTCATAGTATAGTCTCATTTATTGATATCAAAACTAACTTTCATATTGTGCGACCGTGATAGCACACAAATACATTGAAATAATCCTATTTATGACATATATATGTATTTGGAATTATCTACCAAAAACCCCGAGACATTAAATAAATTATCCTAAATGATAGCAGACATGACAATTAACAAAAGTATCCACCTGGGAACTTCCACCACATTTTTTATGTAGATCCGACACGAGGTAAACTTCGTCAGGGAAAACTGTCCTATTACCAACTACGTCACTATGTAATTAAATGTGAAAACCCAACGAATTTAGCATATAACACTAATCACCGCTGCTCACAGAAATGCCCATGCATTTCCGGAATGATATATTTCTCAAAATCTTTGCCAAGTATCTCAAGTTCGTCCATTGCTGCCAATATACTGTCTGTAAACTGCCTTCATTACACACTTCTTGCAAGATAATATAGTAACTTGTTCACCACAAGCGTAAACTGCATTGTCTAAACACAATTACCTCCAGTTCCAGAACCGATTAAATATATGCCACCACCTGGAGGATGGGTATCTGGTCCACCACCGCCCACAGGATAGGTATCTGGTCCACCACCGCCCACAGGATGGGTATCTGGTCCACCACCGCCCACAGGATGGGTATCTGGTCCACCACCGCCCACAGGATGGATATCTGGTCCACCACCGCCCACGTAATATGCCGTGATGGACATTATTCCCAATTCGTGGGTGGTGGTGGACCCCCATATCCATCCCGTGGGTGGTGGTGGACCCCTACCCATCCAGTAGGCGGTGGTGGACCCCATACTCATCAAGTGGGCGGTGGTGGAGCCCATATCCATCCCGTGGGCGGGTGGAATGGGTTACAGAGGCACATAATGGGTTCAGGAACTGAACCTCACAGTTCATTTAGCTAAGCCAGTAACAATCATGTGAAGCTAGCAACACAATTTCTTAATACGCAAATAAATATACATACATACACAAATACATATCCATATAGCAATATTCTTGTTATAGCAGAAGTGGTCAGCTACAACAGTCTCTATAGAAGGTAGTTTACATGTAGGGTTGATCAGTTACACAGTTACTGTTCCTGTTCCACACCCGCCCAACTGGCTGCCAACTTTACAGTCACGTGCATCCATTACCTACAGTAAGTAACCTTGTGGTACTTGGCTAGCATTTCTGGTAATACATCATAATGAATGAAGTACTTACACATTTCTTAAACACCATTGATGGAGTTATCTCTGAAATTCTTGATTTTTTCGCATTCAGTGATTTAATGACGCATAGTATGTGAATAGTCTTGCTGACAGTTTACAATTAGTCAAGTCTATGTCAGCAGCTGGTGTAAACTCCCAGAGGTATGTGTAGCCGAGCCTAAGCCTAGCTGTGGTAACATTTAGAAATCTTCTAACCTTATTGGATGATCCATATAGGCCTTCGTAACACCCTAACTGCCTAATTGTGTGTTCGGTGTTGGTGACAGTGTCGAGTGGGGCGGTGGACGCCAACTGGTTCACTGAACAGTGGAACAACCTCTCCTCCTCCGTCTCTGGCTTCTGGGCCCAGACCTCCCAGCTGTATGCCAGCACTCTGGCCACGTTGTAAGTACCTTGAGGCGGTTCTCCACACATTCTCATGTGCTGTCTACATGTACAAAACCTTGTTCCTAAATGCTAATCTTGATCTGACACTTTTCCTTGATAGGTGTAACTGAACCACACCAGAAATAAATACAGTATATCTTTGATATCCCCAGAGTCAGATTAAATCTGTGCAAACACTCCATGCAAATAAAAGGATCCAGTCTCTGGAACTCACGCCCTAACGAAATAAAAATTTTCCAACCTATGCTTTATTCAAAAGTAAAATGAAAAAGTACCTAATTTCATCCTCATAGTTTCCTACCTATTGCTTCAAACTCACACTGTATCTTGTACTACCCACTTCCCCAATATTAGTACAGTACTTAACACATACAGTATATCTTTTCCAGTGTAATCACCTCTCTTAATTTATATTGTAGTTATTTGTTAATAAAAAAACTTTTTTTATTCTTACATTTTTTCATCTTACCTGATATGTTAGATTAAAGACCTGCCTGAAATGCTATGCATGTTAGTGGCTTTGCATCAATGTTAAAATATCAATCTTATGTAATATTTATTTATTTATTTATTTATTTATTTATGCATATACAAGAATGTACATAAGGAATGTGAGGATACAATTATGGTAATTACAGTCTTGTAAAGCCACTAGCACGCGCAGCGTTTCGGGCAGGTCCTTAATCTAAGAAAATTTTAAGGAGGTAAATACTTGCAAAATTTATAGACAAAAAAATGATAACAGATTACATGGAATGAAAAAAAAAAAAAGATGAGAGAAAATTATAGGTACAGTATATTAAAGCACATAGGTAGCTATGATTGATTGCAATGACAGCTTAAAATGGTAGTTGACAACAAATTGGTAGGCACAATACAGCAGAAACAATATAAGATTGATTGCAATGACAGCTTGAATGGTAGTTGAAAAAAATTGGTAGTCACAATACAGCATATGGCTAGCACATAAAAGAAGACAGCAATGAACACAATGATAAGGTTGTTTGATATTACATAAAAATTAGGAGATTGGGTACCACTAGGTACAGAGCAAATTTAAAGCTCAGTGTAGGAAACTAAATAGATGAAGTTAGGTACTTTTTGGTTTTGCTTTTAAATAAGGCAAAAGTTTTACAGTTTTTCAATTCACTAGGGAGTGAGTTCCATAGACTAGGTCCCTTAATTTGCATAGAGTGTTTACACAGATTAAGTTTGACCCTGGGGATATCAAAGAGATATTTATTTCTGGTGTGGTGATAATGGGTCCTATTACATCTGTCCAGGGAGAGTTTCAGAGCATGGTTTGCATTTAAGAACAGGGTTTTGTAAATGTAGTTGACACAAGAGAATGTGTGGAGGGAGTTAATATTTAGCAAGTTTAGAGATTTAAACAAGGGAGCTGAGTGTTGTCTGAAAGCAGAGTTAGTTATTATTCTGATAGCAGATTTTTGCTGTGTGATGATGGGCTTAAGGTGGTTTGCAGTGGTAGACCCCCATGCACAGATACCATAATTAAGATAGGGGTAGATTAGTGCATAATATAGTGAGAGGAGAGCAGAGTTAGGAACATAATATCTGATTTTGGAGAGTATACCAACTGTCTTAGAGACTTTCATAGTTATGTGTTGAATGTGGGTGCTGAAGTTGAGTCTCTTGTCTAGGAATAGGCCAAGAAACTTGCCATCATTTTTATTACTGATGTTAATGTTGTCTATCTGTAGCTGAATTGCATTTGATGATTTGCTTCCAAATAAGATGTAGTAAGTCTTTTCGATGTTTAATGTTAGTTTGTTCGTTGACATCCATAAGTGGACTTTTTTTAATTCATTATTCACAACATTATTTAGTGTATGTGGGTTGAGGTTTGAGTAGATAAGGGTAGTATCGTCAGCAAACAATATAGGTTTGAGAATATTAGAGACATTAGGCAGATCGTTTATATATATAAGAAATAGAAGAGGTCCTAAGATGCTGCCCTGTGGCACTCCAACGGTAATTGGTAGAGTGGAAGAAGTTGTATCATTGATGGTTACATATTGGTGTCTGTCACTAAGATAGGATCGGATGTAGTCAAGGGCAAGGCCTCGGATTCCATAATGCTGGAGTTTAAATAAGAGGTAGTTGTGATTAACAGTATCAAAGGCTTTTCTTAGGTCAATGAAGAGTCCAATCGGAAACTCATTTTTGTCAAGGGCTGAGTAGATAATGTCAAGGAGACTAATGATTGCATCATTGGTACTCTTTTGGGACCGGAAGCCAAACTGGCAGGGGCTGAGTATGTCGAATTTTACGAGGTAGGAATAGAGCTGTTTGTAAATAATTTTTTCAAATATTTTTGATAGAATGGGTAGATTTGATATTGGTCTATAATTGTTTATGTCCGCCAGATTGCCTCCTTTATGGACTGGCGTTACTCTTGCTTTTTTGAGGATATCAGGGAAGGTGTGACACTCTATAGATTTGTTGAACAGTAGTGCTATGGGTGGGGCAAGGGCATGGGAGGCTCTCTTGTACACAATGGACGGAATTTCACTGGTGTTCCCTGCCTTGGTTTTTAGAGAGTGTATGATGGACACAACATCTGCCGGGCTGATTGGTGAAAGGAGAAGAGAGTTTGGATAGCTGCCTGAGAGATATGTGTTAATATGTGTCTGAGTCTGTGGGATTTTACTGGCAAGATTAGCACCAACCGATGAAAAGAAACTATTAAATTCATTTGCCATTTCTAAATCAGTTGACGGTATATCCCCATCCTTGTAGAGTTTTATTTGGTTATGTGAGTGTTGTTTAGTTCCTAGGATACTAGAGATAGTTTTCCAAGTGTTTTTCATGTTGCCTTTTGCTTCATTGAATCTATTCACATAATATGCAAGTTTTGCCTTTCTTATGATACTGGTAAGCATTGATGAGTACCTTTTAGCTACTTCCTTTGAAACTAGGCCAATCCTAACTTTCTTTTCATATTCATGTTTCTTGTTGATTGAGTTGAGAATGCCATTTGTGAGCCATGGATTGTTTAATCTTTTGTCAGTTACTTGCTTTGTAAGAAGGGGACAATGAAGGTTGTAGAGGCTTAGAGTTTTGGAGAGGAAGAGGTTAGCTAATGAATTTATATCATGGGTATTATTGAATTCAGAATCCCAGTTAATATTGTGAAGTGCCTCTGTAAGATTGTCTAAAGCTGATTCACTGTGTAGCCTAAATGAAAATTTCTTGCTTTTTGGTGGTGGTATGTCCATGTTCGCTATGAGAAAGGTAGGATAGTGGTCAGTTGTTCTGTCGTAGATTATACCAGATACAAGGGGAGCTGTTATGTTTGTCCATATGTGGTCCAAGGTAGTGGCTGATGTTTGAGTGACTCGGGTAGGTTTGGTGATAGTGGGGATTAGCATACAGGAGTTCATGCTGTTAAGGAAATAGTCAACTTGAGAGCAGTTTTGTTGACCCAGGTCAATATTAAAGTCTCCTCCCAGAATGATGTGGTTTTTGTTGAGATTGTTGTTTATAATAAGATTCCTTAGGTTGTCTGAGAAAGAAGCTATGTTAGTATTAGGAAATCTATAGATGGCTCCAATAGTCAAAGAGGATTTAAGGGATTTAATTGTAAACTGAGCAAAAGTATATTCACAGTAGTCATCTCTGTCACTAATATCATCAACCTATTGTACCTTCTTGTGAATAAGTTATTTTTATTAGAATTGTATCAGTGGTTTTTGAAGGTGGATGAAGTAGGAAGACAGAGATAGCTAAATAGAGAGAGAGAGAGGGGGGGGGATGGGGAAAACAGACAGACACGGGCAATGCCGGGTAACCTCCTCATCTATACTATATTAGAGAATATGTCTGTAAATCTGTCTGTCTGCTGGCTTGTCTATCTGAAGTTGGAGCTCAGATGCTTGGGGCTAGCCTTACCAAAATTTGTTGGGTAAATGGTTATGGGTATGGGAAAAACATAGGCTGGTCAGGGTAGGCCAGAGTTAAATGATTCAAGAAATACTAGTAATTATTCACACCCCATCCTATCCGATTTTTGCAGAATCAATTCTGGTCAAGTGTGAAATGTTGGTCGAGATGTCCGAAGAATTTTTTGCCATCAGAAAAACTTATTTCCTTAATTAAACACATAAAGTACATAGTTACAATTCTCATTAATATTTTATTTTATGAAAGGGAATTGGAGCTAATTGGGGATGGAGGGAAAAAGGGAAGATGAGGGAGGGAGGATGAGGGGATGGGCAGGAAGGGGAAGGGGCAGGGGAGAGGGGAGATGGGAGGAGGTTGGGGCGGACAAGGGAAAGGGCAAGAGTCGAGGGATGTGGATGTCGAGGGATGGTGAAGGGGATGGGCAGAAGGAAAGAGTGGGGAGGATGAGGAGAGGTGGGATGTTGGGAAGGGTGGGGATGACGAGGGGCAGGGCCCTCCTCCTAGTATACCCCTATACTATAGTATATATAGTATACCTAGTGTACCCCTCCTAGTATACTATAAGAGAAAATATGGGATGTGTAATAATGCTACGATAGACAGAATACTTAGGAACTACAAGCACCTTGCCTCTAGAGTGTAACACTTGTATACTGTGTTTACTATATTAACCTGCAATGTTAAATGTAATTCTTGTACTGTACTGTGATTTGTGGATTTGTACTCACTGGATTTGTGCACCCATTGAGGGACTTACAGTAGAGGAGGGTAGAAACAGCTTAAGCTACTCTATTCCTTGGAGATGTATTTTATTGTCTCAATAAATGTACTTGAACATAGAGAGAATATTTCTTTGTCTTTGTCCAAAATTGGAGGCCAGATGATTGGGGCTAGTCTCACCTAAATTTGCAGGGGGGGGGGGGGATGGTCTTGGGGTACCAACAAACAACACAATCTATCATTATCATTCTCATATTCATCACCATGTACAATTAACCTTCAACCCTACTAACCATCATGTAACACCATGTCCAACCATCACCACTCTTCTCACAGAGACTATATATATATATACTCTTCTCTGACAACTTTCCCAGGACAAACCGGTTCACGAACCTGTCAGCCGACGTGAAAGGTTGGCTGTCCAACAAGTCCTTCAAGAATGCCACGGCGACGAAACTGCTCAGTGATATACCTGCGGACGGCTGGAGAGAGCTTAATGTAGGACATTGTGGGTTTGTGTGTGACCGAGTAATTACCTAAGTGTAGCTACAGGATAAGAGATACGCTCGTGGAGTCTCATCTTCTCCAGTACTCTTTGTCATATCACAAGTGACAAATTAAAGCAGTCCCCATGGCACAGTGGTAAAGCATTCGTCTGGTGCTTCGGGAGCGCTTTGGCCTGGGTTCATATCCTGGCCGGGGAGGATTGACCAGGTGCCAATCCCTACCTGAAGCCTCTGTTCACCTAGCAGTAAATGGTTGTTAAACGATTTGGCGGGTTGTATTCTGGAAAAAAAAAATAGGATTAAGGCCCTGCAAGTGTAGTGGTGCTTGTGTGGTGTAAGGGTATGAGTGTTTGTGTGGTGTCAAGGTATGGGTGTTTGTGTGGTGTCAGGGTATGGGTGTTTGTGTGGTGTCAGGGTATGGGTATGGGTGTTTAGGTGTGTCAGTGTGGATACGGGCATCTAGAAAATGGCAGAGTGTCAGATTGGGTGTTATGGTTTGTGCTGGATAATGCAATAATTAGTATAATTAATGTGATACAGTACATGCAGCTCTTGAGAAAAAATTAATACCCTGTAGGTTTACCTGTTGACTATCATTATAGGCTTTTGACACCAGCCACTACAATAGCCTTAAACTGTAACAGTGGAGTCAGAGGTCACTCCCTTTAATACTTGCACTCTTACCTCAATGACAGGCTTCAGTATGTATCTGTGAATCATGCTACTTCTCCCACCCTACCAATCAACTCAAGGTTCCAAAGAGCAGTATACTTGGTCCTCTCTTCTTTCTCGTTTGCATCAATGAGGTAATAAATTCCTCTCGACAACTTTGACGAGAAGTGAGTGACTTCCTAAATGTCAGTCAACCTGTGTTTTGGTGTTATTGAACATTAATTACTGAATCTGTATTACAGTTGTTATCTGCCACGTAAAAATTTAATAATATTTGTTATTCCTTCTGTTTATGCTGTAAAATTAATGTGTTCAGTTGAAATTTTGCTGTTCCAATCATTGTGTAATAATTGTCATTTTCTATTGATCTACCTCAATTCAATATTTTTTTATCTCATTTAATTTTAAATCTTTTAATTTCTTGTTACATTTTATGCGGGAAATGCTGCATAAATAAAAAATTATTATTATTATGAGGTAGTTGAGGTCAACCCTCTACATTGACTCAAAAATAGGTACAAAGAAACTCAAAAGAAGTTTAAATTAACTGTGCCAGGCTTTTAAGATTAAGCTGGAGCTTCCCTTCCCCTCCCCCTTTGGCAACCACAGACAGACAAGTACACGTGTTACAACACTGTGTCTGTCTATCTGGCAATATCTTTGTCTTCCCTCCTCTCTCTATCTCTCTCCTTTTTTTTTTTTAAGTAATTATACATTGCTAACCCTGGCTGCAACACAACCCTCTCTCCTGCCAGCCTGCACTTCTGATGACAGCCAGCGAGACTGAGGTCAACAACTTGATCGCCTCGGGTACTGGGAAGGTCCCTCAGAGGTTTCTGGATGAGCTGAATCGCTTGACGATTTCCAACATGTCAGATCAAGAAGTCATCAACACAGTCCAGTCTGATGCTAGCCAGGTATTTGTATCATATCAAGTAAATATATATACTGCATCTATATGATATATACAGTACATATATATACATATATTGTACATATGTACAGCATATACATATACACACATACCTTTGACAAGCCAGCAGCTTATCAAAGGGGCCCCCCATTTGCCCTGATGATTTTTTCCAGCTGGATTTATAAATTCTACATTGTTTTGGTATTTACGGCTTCAGCAGGTATGAGGTTCAATGGGATATTAATCTTGTTGGTGATAAAGCATCTCCTGTTTTCAGTCCTATATTTTGGCTTTTTGAACTTGAAACTGTTGCTCCTTGTTTGTGTTACATCTATAATAATAATAATAATAATAATAATAATAATAATAATAATAATAATAATTTATCCACAACAAAAGGCTCAAAATAATAAAATTGTTCAGAAATAGAAATTTACATGCCATTTGATAAAAAGTTCACTCAGAAAAGTTCAACACTTCATAAAAGTCTCTAACAATGTATTATATCTTTCAAATTACATTTAATTTAAATTAATTTGCACCACATAAATGTTAATTTTATTCATTATCTTTTATTTATAATTGTATTATAATTTTATGGCTTCAGACATTGTATGTACTAGCTCTATCTATAAATCCAATATTATGTTTATAACTCATTTTCAGTGTATGTACCTTTACCTTAATTATATATTACCTGTATTTAACTACAGTATATTATCTTATCTAATTAACTAACATTATTTTCTCTCTCTCCTTTTGACAGTGCAAGAACCTGATATCAACTGCAGAAGCATCGATTGATGTGGGCTGTCAGGTAATAGAGTTGTTGTTGTTGTAATTACCCGGGTGTGTAATAACAGTTCTGTACTAACATTGTTCCCAGATCGTCTGTATCGCCTATTTCATGACCCACTGGTAGAAAGATCTTAGTTTGCTTTAGTGTTAGGTTTCAGACCTATCAACTTGTGGAAGGTGATTAAGACCATAACAATAGTTTACTGATCAACTAACAAATATACTTTAGGTCCGAACATAGGCCAGGAATGACGTAAACTCTTAAGTGTGTATACGCTGCAAAGCCACTTATATGTTCATACTATAGCCTCTTGGACAAGTGTTAAAACTACAATATAATTTACTGTCAATTTTGAGTTACAAGGTGAACCAAAAATATAACTATTAAATGAATATATAATGAGAAACATTAATATTGTATTAATATTAATAGGGTAAACTGGTGATAATAAAAAAAACTATACAGTAATATAACAATTTGATTAGTGAGCTCTCCAGTTGAAATTATGTTGCAAAATAATAATTCAATTAATTATGACACTGGATGATATCCTTATTGGAATAAGAGTCAATGGAAGTCTTGTGAGCATTGTATGAAAAAGTGGTCATATTTTATGCACGATGGAGGTCACGGGTTTTCTTTGTGTATCGTATTTGCCTGTCGACATGAACGAATGTTGACCTGATGTTTTTGAGCACTTATACTGGTATAGACTGGATGGTTAACTGACTTGCCGTGTTTGAACAGTATTCATATAATTAGCATAGCATACAGACTGACTGCTGCTACCACCAGCTTACTGCTCTAGTATTCCTGCTGCTACCACTAGTATTCCTGCTGCTACCACTCTAGTATTCCTGTTGTTACCACTCTAGTATTCCTGTTGTTACCACTCTAGTATTCCTGCTGCTACCACTCTAGTATTCCTGCTGCTACCACTCTAGTATTCCTGCTGCTACCACTCTAGTATTCCTGCTGTTACCACTCTAGTATTCCTGTTGTTACCACTCTAGTATTCCTGCTGCTACCACTCTAGTATTCCTGCTGCTACCACTCTAGTATTCCTGCTGCTACCACTCTAGTATTCCTGCTGCTACCACTCTAGTATTCCTGCTGCTACCACTCTAGTATTCCTGCTGCTACCACTCTAGTATTCCTGCTGCTACCACTCTAGTATTCCTGCTGCTACCACTCTAGTATTCCTGCTGCTACCACTCTAGTATTCCTGCTGCTACCACTCTAGTATTCCTGCTGCTACCACTCTAGTATTCCTGCTGCTACCACTCTAGTATTCCTGCTGCTACCACTCTAGTATTCCTGCTGCTACCACTCTAGTATTCCTGCTACTACCACTCTAGTATTCCTGCTGCTACCACTCTAGTATTCCTGCTGCTACCACTCTAGTATTCCTGCTACTACCACTCTAGTATTCCTGCTGCTACCACTCTAGTATTCCTGCTGCTACCACTCTAGTATTCCTGCTACTACCACTCTAGTATTCCTGCTACTACCACTCTAGTATTCCTGCTACTACCACTCTAGTATTCCTGCTGCTACCACTCTAGTATTCCTGCTGCTACCACTCTAGTATTCCTGCTACTACCACTCTAGTATTCCTGCTACTACCACTCTAGTATTCCTGCTGCTACCACTCTAGTATTCCTGCTGCTACCACTCTAGTATTCCTGCTGCTACCACTCTAGTATTCCTGCTGCTACCACTCTAGTATTCCTGCTGCTACCACTCTAGTATTCCTGCTACTACCACTCTAGTATTCCTGCTACTACCACTCTAGTATTCCTGCTGCTACCACTCTAGTATTCCTGCTGCTACCACTCTAGTATTCCTAATGCTTCATTGCATCAGTCTTGATGCTACTGTATGACTAATATTACCCCTGCCACTAGTAATCTTTCAGAAAAATATAATTACAAAAAGATAACCATGAATGTATTAATTTTATTTGTTTTCTGTAAGAATTCAATACGAATACATGATTTTGTTTACTGTTTTCACATCCAAAATTATTTTCAAAAGCATCAAATTTCATGTTGAATTTATTAATGTTTTAACACCTGGTTCTAACATAACCTACTCTGGTGCATTTATTATGGATTTTTTTTACATATTTTCATATTTGCCTGAAACAAATTATTGTAAAAAATGGGCTTGCGTGAAAGTGGACAGTAATGAATTAATAAATGAAAATGGCCCATACTATAGGATATTTACAAGTGTATATAATAATCTTTACTTTAGGATACTGTATTTGCAAAAAATGCATGAACCATAAGCATGGTACATTAATTCATTTAAAAGTGAAAATTATAGGATAGTGGTGGTGTGCACAAGAGGTAGGAAGAATGAGTGTGAGAGAGAGGATGATAAAGAGAGAGAGAGAGAGAGAGAGAGAGAGAGAGAGAGAGAGAGAATGATAAAGAGAGAGAGAGAGAGAGAGAATGATAAAGAGAGAAAGAGAGAGAATGAATAAGAATGAGAATTCTCTTGACAGTTTGTTCTCACAGATGACGCTGAGTGAAATAATGACGTTGGTGTCAAGGCTGGGTGTCCCTGCAGTGTGGTCTCCACAGAACATCAGTGACCTTGGCCCGCTGGTCTTCACTCTGCCTGTCTGTGCAGACAAGGTGCAGAACGACTCTACTGCCCAGGCGGTGTAAGTATTGCAGGGGAAAGTTGAAGAGTGAAATGGTAAAAGAAAATGAGTGAAACTGCAAGAGCAAGGGAGGAAGAGTGGAAAAGAGAGAGAGAGAGAGAGAGCAGGAAAGCAAGGGAGAGGTACATATTTTAGACCATTAACATAACTGTTGTAGACCTTAAGGTGTTATCTGCAGAAAACACTAAACTGCTGCTGCTGCTGCTGCTATAGGTATTATATGGGACAGATAAGGAATGGAGAAAGAACCCAATTTTTCTCTACCATGAAATACTGAATAATTAATTAAGAAACTTACTGTAATATTAACAAGAAAGCATTCATTTTAAAGTTAATTATGCAAAACTAACACGAATTTTTATCAAGAGGAGTCAGAGAGGGAAATATTGTACAGAGAAGCATTAAAAAAATTACATACAGACAATGCAAACTCAAATTTCTGAAAACATTAAATCCTTGACAGCGTGGACATCCTTAAAATGTGCCTGTCAACATCTCCTGACCCTAACTGCCCACCAGCAAACAAGCTGTGGACCTTTATCCAGATGATGATCCGACGAATTCATGGACCCCCATCAACCTGGAACCAGAGCAGTGTCGTAGAATTGGGTGGCGTCAGCATGATACCTGATTATGCCATCGTCTACCTGAGTGATTCACTTGTTCAAGCTGCAACAGTGGATATTTCCAAGGTAAGGAGATTGTGGGTGCTGTGTGGGAGGTGGGGGGGGAGGGGGTTGAAGTTCCATTCAGCATGTAATCCCGTCATTCATTTTATGCCTGGAGTAGAATATTGTCATTCTTTTTACTGTTTCTACTTCAGTTAAATTTTTGCTTTTGATCTTGATTAGATTTACGTCTTAATTTAAAGTTTGTTATTTCACATCATGGCCGAAATGCTGTGCATATTAGCGGCTTTAGGCATAAATACTGTACTTGCTCTATCTAGAAATCCAACCTTCTGATTGTAACTCATTGTTTATGTATGTACTTTCCAAAAATAAACATTATCATTATCATATACCTATGTATCTTTTTATCTATTTTATACCTACCTACCTTTTTACCTACACCTCTATTTTACAGATATCCATGCCATTCACAAAGTTCCAGACATGTGAGAAATGGAAGCAAGTTCTCTGCATGGCAAATCAATGTTCCAGCTTGTCGGCTGCCGCTGTAAGTATATATATACATATACAGTATATTATATATATACTGTATCTTTTATATAATCGACTTGCGTGTTTGTGCAAGTTAATGTTCATATATATATATGTGTGTGTGTGTAAAATAACAAAGAAATTAACAACGAACAAACGAATGAGAGAGAGAGAGAGAGAGACAGAAAGGGGAGGAAGGGGGAAATAATGCTTATTCTGCATATATATAATCATTAATATATAAATATCACAAACAGCCAATGCACCATAGCTACCTACCATAAAATTTGTCTAACCATGCCCTAATCATAGACTAACTTGCCTAACCATAGCCACACATCATGCTCACCCACCATAACCATGCATCATAAATAATAATTACTGGCCTGGGCCAGTACACTTATAGTTTTATTTCTTCTTATGCACAATAACTTGTGTACCATAACAGCATAACAGAGGAACCTTTAACAAGCTGCTGACTTCCTGTTTGTATCTACATCACTATACAAATGGTGGTAAATTATAACACATAAGTTATAACTGTTATTAACCAAGCATAATAACCTCACACCATCACTAATGTGCCCATACTCATACCACAATCCCACACTATACTCCTGACTCTTGTTAGTGTGAATGAATTATTATAAATCAATAAATAAGCACACACATCATAACCATATAAGATGACCAAAGACCATAACTACTTCTCCCCAACAGGACAAAACATGGTACAACAGCCTGGGTAACCTACAAGTGTGTGTGGGGCCCTCAGACCTCTCATCAGATGGATTTGCTGATCCTACTTTGAAAGCAATAACTTACAACAACTCCATGGTTAAGGGCAAGGACATAAACCCTCAGGTAAGCACTCTTAAGGAGACATAAAAAGGAACATAAATGAAATAAAAGGGAAGACATAAGGACATGTCTAGATATACTAAGAGAACTTAGGGGACACCAACAGTCATCAAAAAGACATTAGACATACCAAGGGATATTCTGGATATTTTCTCATTGATATTCAGGATGGTAGGAAACCAGAAAATGCCATAATAATGCAGGCGATGAGTCACAATAACGTGGCTAAAGTATGTTGACCAGAACACACACTAGATGGTGATGGGACATATATAGTACATTCGACTTGAGAATGGTCCAGGATGGACCAAAACGTCGTCGTCCCTTCACCTTCTAGTGTGTGGTCTGGTCAACTCTGTACCATGTTTCTGTTGAAATAATGAAGAATAGTTTAGTACCTAGTGCTTTGAGTAGTGCATTTAAATCAACAAAATGTTTACCAAGTGATCTGACATTTTGGTTGAATACTGAAAGGATAGTGTTATTTTGGAGTTTGTTTTTTGCTAGGTAAAATTTTTTTTGTGAGTTAACAAGCAGATCAGAACTTCTCATATTGGTGGGTACAAACAAAATTCTGTCAAATTTTTGCAACAAAACAGTAAAAAAAAAATCCCTAACCTTTCAGGATGACAAACCACTTATCTGTACACAACAAGTTATCCTTTCAGTCTCAAGGGGGTTCAGAAACCATGTAGCTGTCTGTATTATTATTATTATTATTATTATTATTATTATTATTATTATTATTATTATTATTATATTATTATTATAGTACATTTAGGGCACCAAAACATATGAGAACACATAGGGAGTCACCAGGACACACCAGGTATCACTTAAGGATACACAAATGAAAGGCATCACAGGACATCGCAGAATATCGCGATGTACCAGGAGACATTACGGGTCATCAAAGGATATTAAAGAATATTGCAGTATTAGACATTAATCTCATTCACTTCAACATCCAACACTTTTTTTCCCCTCGCTACAAATCTATGCTGTTTTGCTCCTTCCCCCTAGGATGCCAGCATCATCCTGCAGGACAGACTGATGAACGTAACAGTCGACAACATCACCCAGTCCGATGTTACTGCCCTGGGTAAGTGTCACCTACCTTGTGGTTCTCCAGCACCTCTCATCTCCAATGTCTCATTTTTATTAATAAGGATTTGTTAAATGAAGGGTGTAGGAACAAGGCAGCTACCCAGCCTTTTAACCTAGAGTTGTGTATGTACAGGAGGGCCGTTGATGATGAGGGCTCCTGCGTGCTATGTGAAGGCCGCCGCCAGGCGTGGGCTGCTCACCCAACTCCTGCCATACATGGACTCTAGTGTTATGATGGTCCAAGGTCCAGAGTTCTCAGCTAAGGTGGGTACAATCACCCAACCATTTCCTGGGGTTTAGTGTCATGGGAATGATGTTACCATATTCTTGCTGGTAAGATAACCAATTTCCTCACTACAGTATTTCAATTTGCTGTAATCTCAACTAACAAATCTCTAACGTTATGTAATTTTAATTCTCATACTTGGAAGAAATATAAGAAATATTTGCACTGGGTGTTGTTTCTAATTACTCTGGAAATTTTGCATTATCATCCTTAGAATATATCCAGTAATATCCATTGTATTTGATCTCTTTAACCATTGTACCCCAATCCCTCCCTACTTCATCCTAAGTAACGTCTATATCCGAAACACTGTGCATAATTAGTGGGTTTATAAAATACACAAATACTGTACTGTATCTACTAAATAACCACTGTATTTTGATCCTTTGTATGTTTATAAATAAAATATTATTATTATTATCATTAGTAATGGTAATGTCTTCTCACAGACATAATAACATAGGATAAAACCCCACACTTGTGCATTTGTGAAATTTATGTAAGGAATTTACACAAAGTCTTTCGCACTTTCCTGAGTGCTTCATCAAGGTCTGAGTGTGTGTGATTAGGACGAGACTTACTTCTCAACGTCTAATGAGACTGTTATCCTGGGTCCAGTCCTCTTATCCTTCTTGACCACCTGACCATGTCACCTATATTCCAGACTGCCGCTCTACCTGCGGTAATGTCTTCTATGGAAATATGGTCATGTGTCCATTCTGTAATGCTGCTATTATGGGAACCGGAGTTGTTATTAATAGAGGTGTTCACCTGGATGCTGTCCCTCATAATCCTCTCCTTACCCCAATGGGACTGCTTTCATTCATCCATTTATTGAGATCTAATTTGAATTCACTCTGAATCATATTCCTAGTAAAGCTATTCTCCGAAGTAAAACTTTTGTTGCTAGCGAAAGTATTCAGAGCATTTATTAGAACCCCTTTTACTACCCTTCTACTTCTAATATTATTACTTTTATAGATTATTTCTAAAAAACATTTTTTAAAATCAATATTGTGATCCTTTTCCCAATTATGGTTTGCTATAGCACTGTTACCAGCCATAATTTTACATGCTTTCTTATACAGATATTCTTCAATTCTGATCTAAATGCCAGGAGACCTTGTAGACATTGTAATGTCGGGGGGATGGGGGGGAGGGGAACGGGGCAAAAGCTTGAGATCAGAATTCAGATCAGATCAGAGTTGAAAAATTGAAAGGTTCCCATCAAGTTGCTATGAAAATCCAACTCATTTTCCAACCAAGCCAATGGGCTCTTTTAAGAATCATAAGCACAAATATTTTTTGAAAAATAAACACTCTGCTCTTTTATTTTTACAAATTTCATATTTGCTAGCACTTGTTTAGTTTTGTAATCAAATCCAATGCCAACCAATGAGCTAAACTTTTATCTTCCACCAGATAAATGCACTAATGAGGGCAAACATGGCAACAGCGCTTGTCAATGGAGTTTTCTCACCAAGCCAGTTGATTGACTCCCTGAAAACTCTAATTAGCCCAAACCTTCTCAAGGACCAGAGCAAGACTTTCTGGGGGCAGATTGTTGACAAAGTCAAGGCAACAAATCGGCCACTTACGACTTACCAAATTGATGTCATGATCTCACAGGTGATTTTGTGTACAATGTGTTTCATAATATAGGAGTAATGTGGGGCTTGAACATGAGACCAAGATCTCCCAGGTCTCGCATGCTGCCAGCCTGGGTCAACATTCCATTCACTATAGTTAAAATATTAAGCACGTTCCTTCACTGTTATCATGTCTTAGCACCTTGTCCTCGTATCCTTTTCCGTATGCTATATAGTCATACTTGCTTAGCTTTCCTCATAATTACTGTGCCTTGTCTACTGCTCTAGCTATTGGAGCTATGCACAAGGTATCCTGTCTTCCCCATAGTCTGTGTCTTATGATGTTTTGAATTTCTTTTACAAACATTTCACTGTCGATTTTGGTCTATTTGAAACTTAGAAAATAGCCAGAGTAGCTTTGCCTCTCATATTATACACTCGATGTAGTCCTTTGGTGATATTTATTCTGCAGGACCACCCATAAGTCTTTTTTAGTTGCCCGATTTCTGTGGTGTTCATATACAGTACTAGAATTTGTTAGTTGAGTGTGACCTAGTTTCACTTGTTCTGCAATCCATTACTGTATGTGACATTTGTCCATATTGAACTCCACTGGCTAAGAATTGTTTCATGTAATTATTTTGAGTAGGTCATTTCAAAGGGCACGATAGTCATACAAGTTTTCTTCCCTGTAGCTTAACATGAGCCATAAATGTGGTCATTAAGTTCTCTATCCCTTCAGGAAGGTAATTTAAATAGGTAATGAACATTACTAGTGCTGGTAGCAAGCTTTGTGGGACTTCATTATTGACATTACTGATTGTAATACTCATGCTACATAAAAATGTTTATGTAATTACCTAAGTGTTGTGGTTACAGAATGAGAGCTACATTTATTGTGTCCCAACTTCCTAGTACTCATTGTCATATGATGCTTTAAAACTACAGTACTAACAGTTTTGGCATTCACCACCTTCTCACTTAATTTGTTAGAAAAAGAAGTTTCTAATATTTGTTCATCATATTTGCTACCATAACCTGAATATAGTTTTTGTTCTTGACAATGTAGTTCATAAGAATTCATCTGGCAGATAAAGAATTCCAGAACAACCTCTTATGTGGGACTGTTAAAAGCCTTATTAGGGCCAAATAAATGCAATCAACCCAACCATCTCTTTCCAGTAAAATGCCTGTGGCTCTATCATAGAAGCAAGTTGATTTGTTATGCAAGATCTTCTTGATTGAAAACCATACTGTCTGGTTATTATATAATTTCTCTCCAGGTGTTGTACCCATTTGGCTTGAATGATTTTTTCTAATGTTTTAACTACTATGCTTGTCAATGAGCTTAATTAAGAGGGTCTTTTCTGCTACCATTTTTGTAGATTAGAACTGTTAGCCTTTTTTCCTATATCTGCCAAGATTCCTGTACACAGTTAACTGAAAAATCAGTTGCAAGTGGAATGATATTTGTGTGTGTGTGCTGCATTTGTGGTTTTACATATTTAGAGCTCATTATTGTTTTTCTTTTTTCATTATATTCACTCCAAAGTTTTCAGTGTTGCTATGTTTCCTCTGGTGACTGTATATAATAACTTTGGTGAAATGAATGTCAAAATTACTCCCTTCAGCATTTTTCCATCCATATACAGTACAGGAGTTGAATGTTAGCCTAAAGTTGCCCAGCATTGCCTAGTAGCAGCTCAATAGTGAATGCTTATTTGGCAATAACACTATGATTTTGGCAAGTTCATAGGCATCAATCAAACTAATCACTCTTGCAACCATTTCCTGATCCCTCAGCTGGCGGCCACAGACATGACCAAAATTGCCCCGTTCTTCAAGGCGTACGCCACTACCAGGAAGATAGGAGGCCTCGACTCAGGTTCTCTAGCTATATTTGCCAAGGATATGTCACCTTATTCTCTTCCAGTAAGTCCCAGTGTAATTATATTTTCATTGAAGCTTATTTTTCCTATGAATTCTGTATATTTTTCCTTCCAGTGATAATTAATTTGATAATTATCAAATCCAGCATCCAGTACATAATTTGATAATTAAATTAACTCTTGAAGGATAAGTTCACAGAACTTATAGGAAGGATAAGGAGGAGTTCCATGAAATTATCCTTCTAATCAGTCCAGTATTTTACCTAGTGAGTCCCTCAAGGGTGGCTATCCAGCTAGTCTTATAGGGCTTTTCCCTTCAATGAGCCCCATATATAGTTTTTCTTCTAGAGCAAAAGCACCATCACAACGAGCAGTAACAACCATACATTATTACACTCAGCAGTAACTCTTTCCCTACAGTGCATGCGGGGTGCCAACTTGACCTATGGAGGCGTAAGTAACATCTCCGCCGACATGATCAGCAAGGGCATTGACTTCCTGCCCTGCATGAGTGCTGCAGATGCCAAAAAAGTTTCTTCAAGTGACCTCTTCAATGTGTTTGCAGCTATCAAGCGTTCAGGCAAACCTTTATCCATGGCATCAGTGAGTAAATTTTTCTCAAATGATGAACCCCTTGCATTGATGTCATGTGGGTGATGCTATTGATTTCAAAGGCCACATGTTTTCTTGTTTATGCTGAAGTTGTGGCATCAACCTCCAGTGTGAGGGTACACCAGGAAGGAGTGTATAATGTGAATCAATTTTTCTCGGTTTCTGTCATGAACGTAATTTGTATCCGTCTTGCCATATTTCTTTCTCTTATGTTGGTTACATTATTCCCAAACTCATGTATAAATTAAATTTTCCTATGAGAATTTACTTGAACAAATCCACAAGGGCCGTGACGAGGAATTTTACTCGAGTTCATTTCATCAGTGCCTTTGAGAACCATCCAGTGAACATCAATTTTCTACTTTTTAACAAATAAATATTGGTCACAAATATATTTGTTTATTGTTTTAATGTTAGTGTAGCTTTAATAAATAATGGCAGTTTAAAGTATAAACTATCCGGGCAATACTGTTGAATAATTGGATAGGTTGAACTTATAGTGTACAGACGATGAGTCACAATAACGTGGTTGAAGATACGACGACCAAACCACACATCAGAAGATGGAGAAACGACGTTTCAATCCATCCACACACACACGACTTGATGATGGTCCAGGACAGACCAAAACGTCGTCATTTCTCCATCTTCTGATGTGTGGTCTAGTCATCATAGTGAAGTAAGACAAGTTCTGATAATAAGCCGGACTTTGGTGTATAATAATGAGTAGGTGAAGAAGTGATAATGTAATAACTTCCACAACTCGCATAGTCATATCTGAATTTACCTGAGGGCCAATATTTCTCTAGAGGTCTCGATGAGAACAGGAAGCTAGCATATGCTTTTTATCAACCAGCACACACCATAAGTACTGCATGCAAGGGTGATGATAGCAAATAATACATTCACATATAAACATTTCAACCATACTGAGTTCCAGAGTATCCTTTTTATGCCTCTGGTGTACAATAATTTTTTTCCCAGGACCAGCTTTACCTTGTATTGGGCTGAACATTAGAATACCCATTTAAATATGCACTAATTTCTCTTCCTTTTCTTTAAACGTGAATGTTTTATATATAATTTTCCTCTGCTGCTACCAGTGCCGAGTGTTCAGAAACAAGCTGTTGGACTGGGCCACCACTAACATGCCCACTGGCACCCAATCGTTGACAGCTCTTGGACAGCAGTTCTTCCTTAAGGACGTGACGACCATCCCTCCGTGTGTGATTGTTGACATGGGGTGAGTGTGGCAAAGGGCTTCTTAGGACACTGCCTTGTATTCTAAGATATGTGTACTCACAAAAATTTGAAATCATGATTGGTATTACACTTTAAAGTTTTAAATATACTGTATACATCGCAATTGAAGTGTAATTATCTAAATGTTTGTTGAGGAATTTCCCTTCTGCTCTACTCTCAATGTGGATATAGTCTATTTTCTCTCACTTGCACTCTCACTCTCACTTTCTCGTCTCGCCAGAAATGTTGCCCTGCAAGTGCTGAACCGGGAGATGAAGCAGGTATTGCTGATGCAGATGTGCAAGATGAATATCCTGTCCACCATTCCTCAGGATGGGAGACGGCTCTTCATTAACTCTATCTTCAGTGATTTGGTATGAAAACTCATGGATAATCAACATGGAGATTTTGTTTATTTGCTGCCTCAAGCCGTGGTTAGCTTATTGTGCATACCATACTCATCCTGTGAGCGCATCAAATTATCAAAAGTCAGCTTACACTTAGGTATGTCCTGCCATCTACAAGACCAAGAGAAAACTAGTAGTTCACTCCACATCTACTGCCCCAGTTGAACAATGAGAATGTAGTGCAAGATTACCCCATTCCCTTGCCAGGGTAAACACCTCACTACTCTTCACGCCTGCATGCAAAATATACTGTTGTTTCTTCCCATTTGTATTCTCTTTTTCTCTGTGCCACCAAAAAGGCTAAAGCATACTTTAGCAAAACATGTCCTGTGGGGACATGTAGACATTCTGGCAAACATGGGTTATTATGACCTAAAGGGTTAAATCAGAGATACTAGGATGATTATTTTACCTGTTTGTTAGGTTGTTCTTGGGAAGGAAGTGTCCAAACACCTGCAGTAGATGGTAGAGCGACAGTCTTGCTTCTTGCAGGTCCGCGTTCAATCCCTGATCATCCTACCCCAAATCCTTACCCTCATCCCGTTTAAGAACTATATGATCATAATGGCTTACTGCTGTCTCCTGATAAATACCTTACCTTCCCCTGGGAAGGAAGTTGAAAAGTTAACTCTTCCAAAGTTTATTTTTGTTCATTTTTGTATCAGAGCACTAGGCGAGGTTCAACCATACCTATACAGTTGCACTACACATAAATTTAAATATACTAAAACAGTAAAAATTTATCTTCCTTTCTTTCCTTCTCTACCTCCAGATGAATGTACAAGGAGGTATGCTGGGAATATGTGAGTTAAGCATGCTCGGCAACTGTGCATTTGACCTCGACCCCTATAACTTGATGTTAATGGACGAGTTTGCCTCCTCAGAGTTTATCAAGCGTCTGCAGGTTAGTTTGTCCAATCAGCCTTTTAGTGTGTGTTGCTTGTCTGTGCGTGTGGTATATATACTATTTTATAATAATAATAATAATGGAGAATGAAGTCCCATTAACGTGATGTGTCACTGAGAAAAACAGTAGGATTTTTGTGGTGTACCGGTGTACAGGTAATGTGTTTGCCTGAGAGCACCAAGTGAGCGGGTTCAAATCCTCCTCATGGCACCTACTGATTTTCTCTAATAATAATAATAATAATAATAATAATAATAATAATAATATTTTAATTATCAAAAATATTACCATGTCTATTGCAATTTTTACACAGTAAGCATTTATCATTTTTATAAAGCCACTAAAATCATGCTCAGTGTTTCAGGCAAACTTAACTAAACAGACTCGTTAATGTTATCACATTTGAGGGTAATACTTAATGCTATGAGTTGCAAGTTAACATAGATATAAATGTAAAAATTCAGAAATTAAGTAAATAACATGCAGTATCATAGTAATATTTAATGCTAAAGGGTATAGACTATCTGTACATGTAAATGCATATAGATGTAAACCTCACATGCATGCAAATGCATATGGACATAACCCCTCACATGTAGATTTTGCCAAGGCAAACAGAAATTACTGACATTGTGTGTCTTATTATAACTAGCTCAACTGGACTCATTAGCATTCCATGTAAAGGCCTAATATATTTTGTGGCAACAAATATTTTCATATTTATTTGTTAAAGAACAGTACACCTTTGTCTCCTCCTCCTGTCTTTAGAAAGCCTTCATGAGCCCGGTGCCTCCCTGTCTCGACCAGACTCAGCAGCAACAGATTGGTCAGATGCTCGTCGATGTCAAAGGGTAAGGTTGTTTACAGGGTAGTTGTATTAAGTCACGGTTTTTATTATATTTAGCTTACAAGCATTATAATATATAAGGTCATTTATAAGTTATTTCTTAATTTTGTTTAGGGCATTCAAATTTTCCATTCTCAAATGTCTGGTTAATGCTAAGTATAGCTTCTAAAGTTCAGAAGGAAAGGTCATATGTCAAGGTTTTTACCATTTTGGGAATGTCATTCCAAAGTGTCATTCCTAAAATGTACAGACAATTCAAAACTTTTTGCTGTTTAGAGTGTAAATATACTCCAATCTCACTTCTGGAACTTAAGGATCACAGTCTTGCTTATCCTCTTTTACTTCTTCCTCCTCTTTTTCCCTCTGTTCCATCTCATCAGTCTCTTTCTTCTCATCATCTGTCTCCTACCCTGTTTCTCTCCTCCCCTCCTACCTCTCCAATCTTCCTTTTCTACCACTCATCTCATCCCTCCGCACATTTTTCACTTTGCCTCTTCCCTTCAGTCTACTTCTCCTGAGATAACACCATTCCTTATTGAGAGAAAATGCATGCATTGATTACCTAGTGGGCATTTGATTGTGGTTCATGAAGCCACTCTTCTTTCAGAAGAATTGGAGACATCGAAAATTGATAGATATAAATTTTGTTGATTCCCGTTACTATTTTGTACATAGTGACCATATCGCCTCATTTTCTTCTATTTTCTACGTTTAACATGATTAATACCTCTGAACTCTCCTTATGGCTCTTGTGTTTTAGTTCCGGGTGCCATTAATTGCATGTCTTTGGGCCTTTTCCAGTTTGTTGATGTGTATAAGATATGGGCACCATACAACCACTGCATATTCCAGCTATGGTCTCATAAAGGTCATGAGCAATTTCTTTAGTTTTTCACCATTAATGTATTTAAAAGCAATTCTCAAATTGGAAAGCATATCATAGACTCTTCGCAATGTTCTTTATGCAGTCCTCAAATAATACTTTGCTATATTATTGGACCCCCTTACTTAAATCTTTGAATATGGTAGATATTAAGTCACTGCGTATCATCTCGTGTACTCTATATATAAAAAACTCTGAATTGTAATGTTAATCCTGACCTTAAATGCTTCCAAGAGGATTGTAACAGAACTCAAGGGCACTATACTAGAAACAAATATCTATTTGATATTCCAAGAGTGCAACTTAACCAAACTATAAACGCTATGAAGATCGACGGTCCCAAAATGTGGAATGACCTTTCCAATTATGTCAAAGACTGTCCATCTCTTGCGACTTTTCACCTCTGATCTTGTGTTCTCTTGTAACCTGACCTTCCAGGCCCACCAGCACCTGGAAGGACGCAAGTGATGTCAGCTGCCTCCTGGGAATGCTCTCCAGCATCGATTTGATGGCGATCCCGGATGAGGTCTACACCTCCACGTCCTGCAACATTATGATGTCCCCTTTCGAGGATGGTCAGCCGGTGAGGGAGTGAATGAGAGAGAGAGAGAGAGAGAGAGATAAAGTGAGAGAGAGAGATAAAGTGAGAGAGAGATATATAAAGTGAGAGAAAAATATAAAGTGAGAGAGCGATAGATAGATAGATGTTGTCCTTTCTCCTCTCTGTTGTTGCTGTTTCTTTCACATCTCTCAATCTCTCTCTTGCTCTTTTTAACCATACTGAATATATTTCCCTTGTTTATAATTATTCGTTTATAATTACAAAAAATAATTATAATCTTTTTCTCTAATCTTAGTACAGTACTCCATTTCAAAACATTTTTATATTTATTCTTACAATTCTTTCTCCTATTATTCCTTATTTTCCTCCTCCTCCCCCCTCCTACTCCCTTCTCCTCTAAAGTCCTCCTCCTCCTCCTCCCCCCCTATCGTTTTCTCCTCTTCCCTAACTCCTCCTACTCCCTTCCTCTTCCTCCTCCATCTCTCCTGTTCCTTTTATTCTCCTCCCTTTTTCTTCTCCGTCTTTTTCTCCTTTTCTTCTCCCTCCTACTCCTCCCTCTCCTTCCCCTACTTTCCTCCTCCCTCCCTCCTTCTTTTTTTCTTTTTCTTCCTCCTCCTCTTCCTTTTCTCCTCCTCCTCCTCCTTAATCTTATTGTTTGTTTCCTCCCATCCAAAATAATGTCATTAGAGAAGGCAGCTTCAATAATGGTTCATGTTTACAGGTTATGTGCTATATCGGCATCATGGCATCAGTCAAGAGTATCGCTGTTGATCAAACTAAAAGATGCATCGCCATGAGGCAGAGAGGTGAGACACCCATTGGCTGGACTTGTTCTCTTAAAGTCCCTTGAATAACAGTCCTTCTCTTGCCATTCCTGTTCCTCATCTTTATTCTTGTTCTTCTTTTCCTCAGTCTCTGGCTGCTGTTCCTCGTTTACCTCCGCTTGTTTTTCTTTGGCATCCTTCTCATCCTTCCTCTTACCTTCTTGCAGATGGTGGCATCACAACCTGCGACATGATATCGTGTGGAGGAGTTTCTGTGATGTCCGCAGCAGATATGAGCAATTTCCAACTACAAGATGTGAAGGAAAACTTGATGGACCTTGGCTCCCAGAGCATGGGCATGGACAAGGCTATGGTAAGTGTAACATGTTCATGAACAATCCACAAGTGTGATAATCCTCTTCAAATACAGTAGGATCTTCCATTAGACATATGTAGAACCTACGTAAATGAAGGAGCTGATTTTTTCCTTGCACGCTAAAGTAACTAACATATTAATCGGTGTAATGCATCCTATGAACAAGTGTGGTACAATTTCATTCTCTAGTGTAAAAATTCTCTAACACATTAGTGAACATTTACCTATAAGTTTGTGTGAATCTTCCTTACAGGCCCTGGCTAACACAGTAAGGCTGCTGAGAAACCGGGCTAACCTGACGGAGGAGGAGCAGACTAAACTTGGCTACATCTACCAGGCCTTCACCAAGGACGACATAAACAGCATTACCACATGGAACACTCCAGCAGCCAAGGAGATGATCTTCTGGATGGGAATGATGACCTCCATGTCTGATGAGGCAGTGAGTGGATGAGGGAGTTGGTATCAAGGGAAGGGGAGGGAAAGGAAAGAAGTGGAAAGGGGAAAAGGGAAAGAGATCAGAGGATGATCTACCAGCTGGGGATGATGTGAATGATATCTGATGATGTAGACAACCACCTTTTCACTCTCCCTAATTCTTCCGAACAGATGAGAGCACTCAGGGACAATGTGCTAACCAAATACAAGAGCACATCGAACATGACCTCACAGGACCTGATGCTGCTGGGGCGAGTGGTGTGCTACCTCACTCAAGACCAGATCAACGCCATCCCCTTGACTGCTTTTCTGTGAGTATGAGTTTAGTGTTAGAGGGGAGATGGGGTGAGAGGGAGATGGTAATTAAGGAGGATTTGAAAACTAAAATAATAATAGTAATTATATTGAAGGAATATACTTAAGAACATGTTGTCTACATATGGGACTGGTTTAATGTGTCTTGATGGTGTTCATATATATATGAATATAATAGTTCATATACTTATTGCCATGTTTCCTCTAGAAAAAAATACATGCATTGGATTATATCCAGTTTCCCTAACTGCTGAGGCAGATGGACAGAAGACCACCACTTTTACAACTTTTTTTTCATCACCAGGGATGCCATGAGGTACTTGGGCATCCTGGACTGTAGTGGTCAGAACAGCACTGTCAACCTGGCCGCCAAAGCCATAGCTGCCTACAGCAGTGATAACAGAAACATCCAGTACTGGGACCCTGCCACGGTGAGGGAGGGAAGGTGGGGGTGTGAGGAAGGGAAAGTGGGGGGTGAGGGAGGGAAGGTAGGGGTGAGGGAGGGAAGGTGGGGTGAGGGAACAGTGAGGGAGAGGTGAGGGAGAGCATCCTGGACTGTGAAGGACAGAACAACACTGTCAACCTGTCTGGCGGGCCTGTTATTGCCTATAATAATAATAATAATAATAATTTATTCACAAGAAGGTACAATGGTATGGTGAGATTACATAAGATTGGTATTTGTACATTCTTGCAAAGCCACTAACACGCATAGCATTTCGGGCAGGTCCTTAATCTAACATATCAGGTAAAATGAACAAATCCACAAGGGTTCAAATCTATACACAGGATATTCCCAGACATGCCTTAGTCATGTCTGGGAATGTACTGGAAGTCCTTTGTCTGAATAATTGGGGTATTGGAAATGAATGTGACAAACTTGCTATCACATTCATTTCCAAGAATGTGACTAGGTTTGTAAGGCAGGAGTGGTACACATTGGACATAATTACAGTTAGTCTGCCTGTTGATTCGTATTGGACATAATTACAGCTGGTTTACCTGTTGACAGGTGAGCGAGATGGGACTCCTGATGGGTGGTCTCAGCCCAGAGAGCTTGGTCACAATACCTGATAGCGCCTTCTCGGGTCTGACCTCAACTGGCATACAATCTATTCCCCCCGGTGTCTTAAAGGTGAGAAAATCTCGGCCCAGTGTCTTGAAGGTGGGTCTATCCCAGCCCCAGTGTATTGAAGGCGAGTCAATCCCCCAGTGTCTTGAAGACGAGTATATCCCGTCCCTGGTGTCCTGAAGGTGAGTCTATCCCCCAATTTTCCTAAAATGAGTCTATCATAAAGCTGTTCTTCTCACCCTCAGTATGTGCCTGGAGGTAAAGTCAAAGTAGTTTCTGTGTAAACTGTCCTGGTGTTGCACTCGACTTCAAATTTGCAATTGACGGCCATTGAAGAACTACAGCCAATTCTGAATCTCTCACTCATGTCAAGGAGCATTTAGTACCCCATCTGTGATTTGTGATTCCATTTTGTACAGACCATGAGGCTCTTCAAAAGTATGATCGTTGCACATAAAAACCCTAGACACACCCTTGTGTTCTCTCCCTCAACCTTGTATTTCCTACCTTACCCTTCTATGCCATTCTTATTCTTGTGTAATTTCATGTACCTCAATGTATACCATGTTCTGCAGGTGATAAAGGTGTCTCAGATACAGAATTTGAGTCCCACAACAGCAGCATCCATCTCGTCAAATCAGATGTCACAGTTCAACGCCGAGATGAAGGTGGCACTGCAAGGAGTGTTACCCTCTTCACCTCCTGGAGGAAAAGCAGCAGGTGTGTATTGCCCACCTGGTAGGCCTACTCTTTCTGCTGCTCATATTATTTCATTGTCTTTATCCTATACATCCCAACTGTTATGATACCACAGCCTATCATAACATTTCTCTGCCTTACACACAGAAATCACAATTGCGTGATGCATCAAATGAACAAATCCACAAGGGCCGTGACGAGGATTCGAACCTGCGTCGTAGCTTTGACCATGTCGTAGCTCAGTCGAGAAAGGCAGCGTCTAGGATGCTCTCGGACGCAGGTTCGAATCCTCGTCACGGCCCTTGTGGATTTGTTCATTTCTCTGCCTTCTCTGAGAGTCATACTCACCCCCAGCCAGCACGAAGGACTGGTAGGAAATATTGTGTGTGTTAGGACGCAGAAATTTGTATAATGAGGTTGGCATCATATTTCTACATTTTTATGTATTATTTTTGGTTAAACAAGATTGTAACTGGTAGATTACTGTTGTCCTATCTATTAACTATGCTCTTAAGATCAGTAGAACAGATCAATCATATCATGAGTCAATTATAAAATATATATATATACTGTATATATATTATTAGCTTTAATTATATATTTATACATACAGTATAATTAATTTTATACATACAGTATAAATTGCATATTATGTGAATAGATTCAATGAAGCAAAAGGTAACATGAAAAACACTTGGAAAACTATCTCTAGTATCCTAGGAACTAAACAACACTCACATAACCAAATAAAACTCTACAAGGATGGGGATATACCGTCAACTGATTTAGAAATGGCAAATGAATTTAATAGTTTCTTTTCATCGGTTGGTGCTAATCTTGCCAGTAAAATCCCACAGACTCAGACACATATTAACACATATCTCTCAGGCAGCTATCCAAACTCTCTTCTCCTTTCACCAATCAGCCCGGCAGATGTTGTGTTGTCCATCATACACTCTCTAAAAACCAAGGCAGGGAACACCAGTGAAATTCCGTCCATTGTGTACAAGAGAGCCTCCCATGCCCTTGCCCCACCCATAGCACTACTGTTCAACAAATCTATAGAGTATCACACCTTCCCTGATATCCTCAAAAAAGCAAGAGTAACGCCAGTCCATAAAGGAGGCAATCCGGCGGACATAAACAATTATAGACCAATATCAAATCTACCCATTCTATCAAAAATATTTGAAAAAATTATTTACAAACAGCTCTATTCCTACCTCGTAAAATTCGACATACTCAGCCCCTGCCAGTTTGGCTTCCGGTCCCAAAAGAGTACCAATGATGCAATCATTAGTCTCCTTGACATTATCTACTCAGCCCTTGACAAAAATGAGTTTCCGATTGGACTCTTCATTGACCTAAGAAAAGCCTTTGATACTGTTAATCACAACTACCTCTTATTTAAACTCCAGCATTATGGAATCCGAGGCCTTGCCCTTGACTACATCCGATCCTATCTTAGTGACAGACACCAATATGTAACCATCAATGATACAACTTCTTCCACTCTACCAATTACCGTTGGAGTGCCACAGGGCAGCATCTTAGGACCTCTTCTATTTCTTATATATATAAACGATCTGCCTAATGTCTCTAATATTCTCAAACCTATATTGTTTGCTGACGATACTACCCTTATCTACTCAAACCTCAACCCACATACACTAAATAATGTTGTGAATAATGAATTAAAAAAAGTCCACTTATGGATGTCAACGAACAAACTAACATTAAACATCGAAAAGACTTACTACATCTTATTTGGAAGCAAATCATCAAATGCAATTCAGCTACAGATAGACAACATTAACATCAGTAATAAAAATGATGGCAAGTTTCTTGGCCTATTCCTAGACAAGAGACTCAATTTCAGCACCCACATTCAACACATAACTAAGAAAGTCTCTAAGACAGTTGGTATACTCTCCAAAATCAGATATTATGTTCCTAACTCTGCTCTCCTCTCACTATATTATGCACTAATCTACCCCTATCTTAATTATGGTATCTGTGCATGGGGGTCTACCACTGCAAACCACCTTAAGCCCATCATCACACAGCAAAAATCTGCTATCAGAATAATAACTAACTCTGCTTTCAGACAACACTCAGCTCCCTTGTTTAAATCTCTAAACTTGCTAAATATTAACTCCCTCCACACATTCTCTTGTGTCAACTACATTTACAAAACCCTGTTCTTAAATGCAAACCATGCTCTGAAACTCTCCCTGGACAGATGTAATAGGACCCATTATCACCACACCAGAAATAAATATCTCTTTGATATCCCCAGGGTCAAACTTAATCTGTGTAAACACTCTATGCAAATTAAGGGACCTAGTCTATGGAACTCACTCCCTAGTGAATTGAAAAACTGTAAAACTTTTGCCTTATTTAAAAGCAAAACCAAAAAGTACCTAACTTCATCTATTTAGTTTCCTACACTGAGCTTTAAATTTGCTCTGTACCTAGTGGTACCCAATCTCCTAATTTTTATGTAATATCAAACAACCTTATCATTGTGTTCATTGCTGTCTTCTTTTATGTGCTAGCCATATGCTGTATTGTGACTACCAATTTTTGTCAACTACCATTCAAGCTGTCATTGCAATCAATCTTATATTGTTTCTGCTGTATTGTGCCTACCAATTTGTTGTCAACTACCATTTTAAGCTGTCATTGCAATCAATCATAGCTACCTATGTGCTTTAATATACTGTACCTATAATTTTCTCTCATCTTTTTTTTTTTTTCATTCCATGTAATCTGTTATCATTTTTTTGTCTATAAATTTTGCAAGTATTTACCTCCTTAAAATTTTCTTAGATTAAGGACCTGCCCGAAACGCTGCGCGTGCTAGTGGCTTTACAAGACTGTAATTACCATAATTGTATCCTCACATTCCTTATGTACATTCTTGTATATGCATAAATAAATAAATAAATAAATTAATATTACAGGCAATATTATTATTATTGTTATTGAATATGACAAAGGGTGAGATCAATGATTCCAACATGAATCTTCTCTATTTTTCTTATGTATTTCTTTCTCAACTTCCTTTTTCATTTGAGAAGGAAATTTAAAAATTAACTCTCCAAAGTTCATTTTACCATTTTATTTTGCCTTACACTAAGTGATGCATTTTGTTAACTCTTGTTAACATTATCAAAGGCAGAGTTCAAATGGTTACGAGGTTTATGCTGGGGGAGATGTAGCCAAGGATGAGGTGAAGGTGAAGCACTATACTTATGGGTCAATAGGCCCATTGCAGCTTACCAGTCTCTTATGTAATTAAAGAAAAACATAAGAAAAATAGAGAAGGTTCATGTCATTTATTTCACCCCTTGTCATATTTAATAATAAATGTCTACAAGAAAGACTATCAAAATACACTAATACTGTAATATGTATATACTGTATATATATATATATGTCTTCAGAGGGTATGGGTAGATTGAATTGTAAGATACCTGGCACAGGAATACCTCCTTTGATTGGCTAAGATCAAAACAACACATGTTGTTATGACTATTATTTAAAGTAATATTGTTAGTAGTAAAGTAATAAAAAATTCTTTGCTAACATATGTTAAGAAAACACATTTCTTTTGTCTTACATTTCTTCCTTTTTGCCAAAATACAGTATAATTATTTTCATATTAAAATGAAAATGTGTTTCAGGACTGTGCTTCTCCAACCTTCTGGGAGCCTTGACACTGGTACTGGCATTGATGACGTAGGTACCTGGTAACCCCCACCCAACGGTCATTTTTCGTTACTTTAATGTCAAGCATCATCAGTGGATGACATCCAACCAATGTTAAAGCAATCAAAAATGCCCAATGGGCACTGGATCAGCAGCTAGGTAGGCCTACTTTAAAATGTTCACTAGCCATACAGCTGGATATAGGCCTACTTGGAAACTCCCTTTGTGCCAGCAGCTGGACAGGCCTGCTTGGTAACATCAACTCATACCAGTCAACTCTCGGATTATTCTGGCAGCACACTGAATTGTTCCAGCTTCGTTGTGAGTGTAATTACCCAAGTGTTGATACTGAATTGTATATCATTAGTTATATTTCTTGAACATTCTCACATATTTTAGCTTACTCCTCTTAGTATTGTTTACCCCATTATATATAAATAATTTTTTATCTAAATTCTAAATTTTGCTTGAAATGCTTTGTGTAGTAGTGGATTCATTTGTATGTATAACCCCTGTACTGTATCTACAATTGTCCTTTCATCTTATGAATTTGTACACTTATTCTTATAAACAAATATTATTATTATTATTATCATTATCATCATCATTATTACATTCCATCTTCCTTATCATCATCATTATACGACACTTTAAATCTGCTCATGGTTATAGCATTCACTACCTTTTCACTTATATTGTTCCAAATGGCTACAACTCTGTTCACAAAAGAAAACTTGTACTGTATACTTTTCAGTACCTTTGAGTCTTTACCTTGCGGTAAGGGTAATACTTTATGTACACTACATAACGGTCCCTACCTTTTGACCATCAGTATTTTATTGTAGTGGTATTTTTCACTCATTTTCTTTTCATTTTAACATTTAAATCTGTGTGTCAGATTGGCCTCGTCAACTTCCTTATCTTGTCTGCTCTACTTATTTACATTTTTAACTAAAGAATTTCCTTAATTCTGACATCTCTGAGACTCATTATTTGTCTTCAGTTTCCAATTATATCCTCTTGTTCTACTGTCCTCACTTCAAACATGGCTTCTCTATCTACCTAGTCTTTAGAACATTGTATAACGTTATCATGTATACCCTACAGTATTTCATCTTTCCTTGTGGTAAGATCCAGTTCTCACAGCCTTTCATTTCATTTTAGTTTAGGGAAGCTCATTCCCTCTAAGCTCAGAAATGAGTTTTGATGCATCTATCTTGAGATGATTTCGGGGCTTTTAGTGTCCCCGCGGCCCGGTCCTCGACCAGGCCTCCACCCCCAGGAAGCAGCCCATGACAGCTGACTAACACCCAGGTACCTATTTTACTGCTAGGTAACAGGGGCATAGGGTGAAAGAAACTCTGCCAATTGTTTCTCGCCGGCGCCCGGGTTCGAACCCGGGACTATGGATGTGTTTTTGTTTTGTTTTGTATTTCTTTAGGCGAGTGTGTCTATTTGCTCACGCAAAATAACTGCAGAGAAACATTGAATTTTTTCAAATATTTGTACCTTGTGGCATCTCAGTATACAACACTTTCTTCAGTATGTAATTGGACACATATCTTTGATGAAAATAACTGTAGTGTTTGAATGTGAATACATCAATAAGTATAAAGGAATTTATTGTTATTTTTAACTATTTTTGAAGAAATGAGACTTAATTTTTTAGAATGGTATATAGCACAATAAAAGTTGTCTTTACACTTGTAGCTGTTTTGTCTTGTAATCCTTGATGGCCATGTATATAGGTGTACTGTAATCCTAGATGGCCATATATATAGGTGTACTGTAATCCTAGATGGTCATATATATAGGTGTACTGTAATCCTAGATGGTCATATATATAGGTGTACTGTAATCTTAGATGGCCATCTAGGAGGTGTATTGTAAGCCAAGATGGCCATATAGGTGTATTGTACTTAGATTTGTAGTTCTGGAGGTCAACAAAACCTATCTGAAACGGTGTTCATCACACTGTCATACTCATGTATCATGTTCGTCATACTTCTGTGTTGTTTGTCTGCTCCCGTATCATGTTTGTCATACTAATGTGTCATGTTTGTCATACTAATGTGTCATGTTCATCAAATTCCTGTCATGTTTGTCACAGTCCTGTGTCATGCTTGCCACACAATCATTGTCCTGTGTCATGCTAGTCACAGTCATACTGCCGTATCATACTATTACAGGTCATACTTTTGCTATTCACACTGTTATAGCCTTGTCATGCATGCCACACTGGCAACACACTCCATCTTTTCAATGAATCTCAAATTATCCTCAATAGTTGAAGATGACTTGACTGCTACCAGTGTTAAAAATTTCCTAGAACTATTCACCTCCCAGTCATTACTACACAATCTTTACATTTATTTAGGCCCATATGATATGCCGGATCTATTTTAATAATATACTTACAAACCCCATACATAGTTTCCATATCCTTGTTGCACAATTGTTACTAATAATAATAATTTTATTTATATAAAGTATATTTGAAATGTGATACTGTACAGAGGAGTAGTCTTAGGTACACATTTAATGTAATTTATATAAAGCCACTAATACGCAGAGCATTTCAGGCATGACAATATAAACAGGTAAGTTATTAATAATTTTGTTAATGATAATTGTTATGTCTATGACAGGAAGCCTGTTAGACACCCAACCCACACATCTGAAGATAATGGAATTGATGATATTTTGGTCTCTCCGGGACAATTACAAAGTCATGTACTGAAAAATAGTAATAGAGAAAGACAAATTATAAGGAAAGAGAATGAGGTGAAAGGTGATAAGGTAGAAGTATAGGAAAAAAGTATCTAGAAAGGAAAATATGCAAGTCAGTGTTCACAACAGGTCCACACACATTATTTTCCAGACATCTGAAGTACTGTAGTCGGTTTCCTGACAACAGATTAAAAAAGTCAATGTGTCATGGTATTATCTGTGAAAGTAGAACAGTTTTTGGTAGGATTTAAAAATCTAAATTTGGTTCAGCTGGTAGCCTGAGAATAAATGTCTTAGAGCTGAGAGCTATGTCCTATAGATTATGTAGAGTGATATTAGGGGTATTTATACATTTTTAGAAGTGTGGGTTGGACACCCCCCCAATACCAGGATTGTGGTCAGGATTGGCCTCATTGCCACACTTTAAGGTGGGCAACCCTATGGCTCCATGAAATCAAAAGAGATTTTATTGACTACCTGCCCGAAACGCTGCGCGTGCTAGTGGCTTTACAAGACTGTAATTACCATATTTGTATCCTCACATTCCTTATGTACATTCAGATTCAGATTCAGATTCAGATTCAGATGTTTATTCAGGTAAGGTATATACATACAAGTGATGTTACATTAATGGATTGATATATAGATAGAGCTAGTACATACAATGCCTAAAGCCACTATTACGCAATGCGTTTCGGGCAAGAAAAACATTAATATCAAGAACTTAATACTAATTGAGCATAAAGAATAAAAGATGTTGAGAACAAATACAAATAAAGATAAAAAAAAGGGGGAACATGACTGAAAAAGCAGCACAAATACAATAGGTTGACAAACAGTGTTGATTAAAAAAAAAAAAAAATAAATAAAATAAAAAGAAAATAACAGACATGGGTTGACAATAGAGGAGTGAGGTAGATTACAGGGAATTTATTAGGTAGTGTACACACACTACCACACAGTGTGTACCACACAACAGGTACACACACATTATTTTCCAGACATCTGAAGTACTGTAGTCGGTTTCCTGACAACAGATTAAAAAAGTCAATGTGTCATGGTATTATCTGTGAAAGTAGAACAGTTTTTGGTAGGATTTAAAAATCTAAATTTGGTTCAGCTGGTAGCCTGAGAATAAATGTCTTAGAGCTGAGAGCTATGTCCTATAGATTATGTAGAGTGATATTAGGGGTATTTATACATTTTTAGAAGTGTGGGTTGGACACTCCCCCAATACCAGGATTGTGGTCAGGATTGGCCTCATTGCCACACTTTAAGGTGGGCAACCCTATGGCTCCATGAAATCAATAGATTTTATTTATTTATTTATGCATATACAAGAATGTACATAAGGAATGTGAGGATACAAATATGGTAATTACAGTCTTGTAAAGCCACTAGCACGCGCAGCGTTTCGGGCAGGTCCTTAATCTAAGAAAATTTTAAGGAGGTAAATACTTGCAAAATTTGTAGACAAGATGAAATAGGTCCAGGAAAGGATAGGTTTATTAAAAACTGAGACAGGTCAGATAACTGATAATGACAAAGAGATGAGTAGTATTTTTTTTTTTTTTTTTTTTTTTTTTGAGATATATACAAGAGTTGTTACATTCTTGTACAGCCACTAGTACGCGTAGCGTTTCGGGCAGGTCCCTGGAATACGATCCCCTGCCGCGAAGAATCGTGAATAAATGAATATTTTCTCTCAGTATTTCCTAAAGAGGAACTTAAAAGTATGCCTTCAGCCAAACAAGTCTTATGTGGGTGGGGAAGAAGACAGGTTGATTAGTTAAGCAGTTACCAGGGAGGATGTTAGTAAACAAATAGTGAAACTCGAGCCTAAGAAATCCCCTAGGGCCAGACGAAGTGTTTACCAAGGTGCTTAAGGAATGCAAAGAGGAGCATTGCAAGCCACTGTGTACCATATTTAACAAATATGCTTTAATTGCTCAATTATGCTCAATTAGTATTAAGCTTGTCATTTAAGTTTATCATGCCCGAAACGCTTTGCGTAATAGTGGCTTTAGTCGTTTGAGGTGTTGGGAGGCATTTGGAAGGTCATTAATGTAGATGAGAAAGAGGAGAGGGCCAAGTATGCTGCCCTGGGGAACACCAATGTTGATGGGTAGGGTGGGAGAAATTGTATTATTCACAGAAACATATTGGAGCCTGTCAGTAAGGTAGGATTTGAGGTATTGTAGGGAGTGTCCTCTGACTCCATAATGATGTAATTTAAGAAGAAGGTTTTGGTGGTTGACAGTGTCAAAAGCTTTACGCAGGTCCACAAACAACCCAACAGGGAACTCATTTTTATCAAGAGCTGTATGAATCGAGTTAAGCATACTAATAAGTGCATCGTTAGTGCTTTTTTTTCGTGGAGGGCGTCAAAGTGTTAAATTATAGGTACCTTCCAGAGAGCAAGTTCAACAATCGGGACTTACACTGGTAAAAGTGCTACCTTGGGTAAAATAGCAATGTAATATAGTAGCACTGTATGAGGTTAACAATGTTTGGGGGAGTGGGGAGGCTATACGGCCTGGCCGGTGGGGGGTGGGGGGGATCCTCCATGTCAAGGCCCCCTCCCCCCACAAAAAAAAAAACTATATATATAAGAAAGCATTTCTGTATCATAGGTTCCATCAACGAGTGCGGGTATTATTGATGTGTTCTAAGGGTTACTGTAGCTTTTGTGCATGTTAAACATAATTATTAGTTAACTTTTATTACGGTCTAATAGGCTATAACTAATTGCCCGAAACGCTATGCTTGCTAATGGCGTTAAAAGAATGTAAATTAAACTTAATTTCTATGTTCTCTGTTAACCCCCAATGTACCTTCTTGCATATTAATAAATAACATAACATAATAGACGAGTTTGTTGTTGGCAAATGAAATAGTGACGGTGGTGGTCTTAGACTGCTGCTTATACAGTGGGGTGAGGGGGTGGGGAGCAGGGCATGGGGGTGGGAGAGGGGTGATTATTGGGTGGGGGTGATCATTGGGGGGGGGGGGGGGGGGGTGAGTATAGTGGGTGGAGGCGACAGGTTATGGATGCATGTCGAGTGAGCAGTTCTGCAGTTAAACCAGCAGTGTGATCGGCCAACGGGTGATCTACAATGTTGTTAAACTGAATTTACCTGAAGGTCAATACCTCACTATTGGCCTTGACAAGGACAGGAAGCCGGCGGCTTGTCCAAGGTCCCCCCCCCTCCCATTTGTACTGATAATTTTATTGAGATGGATTTTACAAATCTGCAGTTTTGGCATTTACTGCTTCGTGAGGAAGGCGGTTCCATGGGTTTATAACCCGATGGGGTGGAAACACACCCTCTGTTTTCTGTCCTACATTGTGGCTTGTTAATGTGGAAACCGTTAATTGCTCCTTGTTTGTTACATCTTAATTATTTAATTACTGACTGGTGGAACCACAAATTACTACTGTACTCTGTTATGAGGCAGGTGAATTACTACACAAGACTTGAAACCTGTGTACGAGAAATGTTTGTAATGGTAATTCAACAGATCTCGTATTAGAGATAATAATGATAATGAGAGTTAAAAAGAGTTCAACCCATGACGGGTAATGAATCCATGTGAGGGTATAATGGCTGCATGTGTAGTGGAGGAGGCAGGTGGTGGCGAGCAGAGGGGGACTGGGTGAGGGAGATGGGGCTCATGACAGGAGGGAGAAAGGTGTGGGGGAGAAGTGAGAGGTGAGGGAGGTGTGAGAGGTGAGGGAGAAGTGAGAGGTGAGGAAGGCGTGAGAGGTGGAGACAGCATGCCAGGCGGGGGTCAGTCGTGCAGGTGTCGCTGTCAGAGTAGCACGTACCTCAGGTTAGGTGTGGCCGCTCCTGTTGTCACCCTCTCCTGCTGTCATCCACGTGTGCTGTCACCCACCCCTGTTGTCACCCACTCCTGTCACCCACGCGTGCTGTCACCCACTCCTGCTGTCACCCACTCCTGCTGTCACCCACTGGTGGACATGGGCTGCTGACAGAAGCCAGCTACTAACTCAAAAGATTACTTCCAGTATTCAGTAAGTTATTGCTCTATCGGCTGTCTGGATCACAAAGGCAGAAATCTTACTTAATTTCCGCCTTCAAGAACTACTTATTCCCCAAGAGTTCAAGATTAAAGTAAACTCTGAAATGTATATAGTCCACAGGAATACATCACGGTGATGTATATTATAACGTTAATATATAATTTGATATATTGCCGTAGTTGATCTTAACATATAACTTTTACAAATTTTATCAAGTGATCTTAGACAATCATTTAAATAAATAAATTCTCTGAATTATATGTATAATACCACTACATTTGGCGTTGCTTTTACAAAGTGTTCGATAGATATGAACATTTATTTAAATACTGTATTTATCGCTAGGAGCTACGATACGTTTTCTTCAATATTTTAGCCAAAATTATACAATTCATTTTCAATCTTTGATAATTTTCATGACTTAAAAGTGTAATTTTGTTAGTTAGATTACAAGACACTAATTCTAACTGCTGAGCTGACACGCACACTGCCATGAGGACCTCCAAGTTCATTTGGTGCATTTACACTGACTTGACTTTAGTCTTGGACTATGTACAGGACTACAGTATACTTGCTGGTTGGTCAGTAAACTGTTGTGGTGGCCTTAATATAATCCTCCAACGGTTGATAGGCTTTAATCACACCAAACCAATGTCATGTTTTTTGCTTTCAACATAAAACCCCCCTTTACCCCCTTACCCCCCTTTTTTTTTTATCTTTATTTGTATTTGTTCTCAACACTTTTTATTCTTTATGCTCAATTAGTATTAAGTTCTAGATATTAATGTTTTTCTTGCCCGAAACGCATTGCGTAATAGTGGCTTTAGGCATTGCATGTACTAGCTCTATCTATATATCAATCCATTAATGTAACATCACTTGTATGTATGTACCTTACCTGAATAAACATATTTATATATATTTATATTTAAAACTATCTGAACCTTTTTTGTTATTATCACTAATAAAACAACTCAAAATCTTATATATTATTTCAACAGTTAATGTGACCAAGTTTATATAATGACATTTGACTAGGTTTTCTAGGTATTAAATGACCGCTCAATACAAACATTTCAATATTCAGGTTATTAAGATAATTTACCCTAGTTTATATATATTACAAATATTATCAAATACAAATACAAATTTTTATTCAGGTAAAGTACATAATTACAAGGTAAGATACAAAAGTGGATGGATTTATAGAACATTTATTTATTTATTTATTTATTTATATATCTACAAGAAAGTACATTGGGTTTGTGAGAATACATTGGATAGTACAGTATTTACATTCTTGTAAAGCCACTAGTACGCGCAGCGTTTCGGGCAGGTCCTTAATCTAGCAGATAATTTTAAGTAGGTAATTTCAATCAGAATTGATAAATGATAAAGATACATTACAAGAGAAAAATGAGATGAGAGAGAAAAGTAGGTATATTAAAGCACATTGTTATATTAAAGCTCTGATTGATTACATTGACAGCTTGATTAGTAATTTAAACAAGATTAATAGACACCATACAGCAGATTGACAGCATTAATAATAATTCACAGAAATCACATTAAAGTGATACATATCAATGAGAAAATCCAGTAGGACAATGAGGTGGACGCTAACCTGCGACCTTGTCACCTGGCAAGGTAGTGGTAGATGCTGTTTAAGACTCGCTACCCGGAACCAAAAGTTCCAAGTAGCACGGGCTATGGTGAGCCCGTAGTCTCGAGTATATGCGACTGGCAATGCCAAAGTCTTAGTTATGTTCGCCCCCACCTCATTGCCCTTGTGGATTTTCTCAGTAATAATAATAATGCTTTGAAACAGCCTATAGCACAGCATTGGAAACAATTAAGGCCTAATGTTTTAGAACTTAGTCTATGGCTCATCACTAGAAACAATAAAGTTTTAATGTTTTAGAAACTAGCTTATGACACAGCACTGGAAACAATGGGTTAATGTTTCAGAACTTAGCCTACGGTACAGCACTGGGAACAAAGGGTTATTAAGTGAAAACTGAAAATTTACTGCTATAGGAAACTTAGGATAAAACACTATAGGCTATACACGTATACAAGTATATCTCATGGTGTATGAATTGAATTCGAATTTTAAAATAGGTAAAGCGTTTGGTTTATTTACTGCTAGCATCATATTGTAGTATAATTCTTCCATCTATCCTCCCCCTCTCTCGCTCTCAGAAAATGTCTTTTTTTTGTTGACCAGACCACACACTAGAAGGTGAAGGGACGACGACGTTTCGGTCCGTTCTGGACCATTCTCAAGTCGATTGTCGATCAATCATTCTCACAATCGACTTGAGAATGGTCCAGGACGGACCGAAACGTCGTCGTCCCTTCACATTCTAGTGTGGTCTGGTCATCATGATACATTACTCATCTATCGTGAATCCAGGGTTACAGTTCGAATACCCAGGTGGAGCCGACTGCGGACGTTAATGTTATAATGGATAAGCCAACCTGAACTCAGGGGCGACGAAGGTCATATCTTCATTTATTTGTGTGTCAGTGTGTGAATATTCCTTTGTCACGCTTCCTCTCGTGTCTTTAAATTACCAGCTTTTTCTGGCTTGATATTTCGTGTTGGGCTATGATTGAGAGCGCGCAAGCTGTCCTCAGGCCTGGCTCGTTAAAGCAGCGGCCATCCTCCCCTCAAGATGCATTCATAAATAGTTACGTATTGTACATTAAAAATAAGTTTGTTCTTATAAATGAACTAAACGCCTACGCCTAACTATAAATAAAACTCTAATATATAATAATATTAATTTATACACGATAAAAACTTATTTTTAATATAGAATGTGTTAAAACTGATGAAGGCGTCTTAGGGAACGGCAGCTGCTTTAACGAGCTTTGCCTCAAGATGGTTGCCAGCAAGTGCTTCACCAACATAATAAGGAATTTAAAAAGAAAAATCATATACGTTGATATAGTCATTTGGCACTAATGATATGTATGTTGTATATTTTGAATCAAAATAATTTTAGCAGCCTAAGGTTATATGGTTCCAATGACAGTATATGACCGATATTATTTGCGTAACTTGAGGGTAACCCCGATTAAAAACCATTCGTTAAACATTTACAAACTTTTTTCACCTATTTGTACCATGGACACGGAAGCAAATGATTTGTGAGGAAGTTCTTGGAAATGTTACGCCGATCAACTTTGGTTATTGAAATCACTTTTGTTGGTATCAAAGCGAACATTCACAACTACCTTTACTTTTCCCTTGTATTAATGAGTAAAGATATAACAGTCTCCGTGGTGTAGTGGTAAGACACTCGCCTGGCGTTCCGCGAGCGCTATGTCATGGGTTCGTATCCTGGCCGGGGAGGATTTACTGGGCGCAATTCCTTAACTGTAGCCTCTGTTTAACGCAACAGTAAAATGTGTACTTGGATGAAAAAACGATTCTTCGCGGCAGGGGATCGTATTCCAGGGACCATAGGATTAAGGACTTGCCCGAAACGCTACGCGTACTAGTGGCTGTACAAGAATGTAACAACTCTTGTATATATCTCAAAAAAAAAAAAAAATGTAATGTAATTTTTCTGACCCACGTCCATAGCCGTCCGGACTAGGCTAGTGTGGGTAGGAGTGGTGTATGAGGCACTGTTGGGACGGGATAGGCGGGGGGGGGATAGAACACACTTACCTGTTTGATGTGTGGGAATCTCTGCGTGTAATATTTAACATATTCATTGAATTGTTTATGTTATACTGACAGTTGCTTCGATCATCTTATAGTTGTGTTTAACTAGTCTCTAATATTGTGTTTTTTTCTCAGGACGAAGTAGGATGGACCGACGGCTTCTGCTCCTGGGTGTCCTTGTCTTATGTAAGTTATATATATATATATATATATATATATATATATATATATATATATATATATATATATATATATATATATATATATATACATTGGTTCTATGGTTATATATTTCTGAGTTACACACAAAATCATCAGGTTAATATGCATATATAATTTTGATCACACTCGTATTTATTTGAATAAGAAGAGAGTATCTATGTTTGACGTCGCAGATTTATTTATGTATTTATTTATATACAAGAAGGTATATATTCGGGGTTAAGACAGAACATAGAAATTAAGTTGAATTACCATTCTTGTAAAGCCACTAGCACGCATAGCGTTTCGGACAAGTCCTTAAACTAACAGATAATTTTTAGATCATTTAACAGTAAAATTGACAAAAAATGTTTACAGATACTTTACAGCTTAATTTACAGGTACAGATAATTTTAGGTAGAATAGTTACAGTAAAATTGACAATATTTTTACAGGTACATTGCAAGAAATTTTGACACAAAAACAGATTAGAATAATAAACAATAATAACAATACAGAATAATGAACAAGGATTACTAGGTACAATAGGTTACATAGACATGTATATTAGTACATAGATTAGCCAACTATGACGTCACCAATTTCCCAACTATGGAATTACAACCTTAACAACATTGTTTCAACGTCGGTAACGTTGACTGAATGTTGCTCGAGCATCTTTCTTCCCACTGGGAGAGAGAGAATGTGAATAAGAAAGGGGAAAGAACTGAAGGAAGGGAAAGAGGTAGAGTGAACAGATAGGAGGGAGTCCTAGAGAACGAGAGAATGAGAGAGAGGTGGAGAAGCAGAGAACATGGGGAGGGTGGAGGGGGAAGAACGGGATGTAGGAAGAGAGAGAGAGAGAGAGAAGCAGAGATAGAAAGGGAGTTTCCCTTAGAGAGTAAATTTGTCATCTTTTATAAAGATGATAAAGTCTATGGACTTGAGGCTGAACATTTCACATTCACAAACTTCGTGAAGTAGGATTTTTCCCGCTTCAAAGGAGCACTAGGGCCATGTCCCCCAGTGTGTGTGTGTATGGTGTATGTAATATATATAAAGAATGTGGTTCAGCCAGGTAGGGGATCCCTGAGATTTTAGAACATATTTCATAGGTTCCTTGAAACAAGAGATTTGGAATCACGTAACCAGCTAACTGTTGTGTGTTCGGTGTTGGTGACAGTGTCGAGTGGGGCGGTGGGCGCCAACTGGTTCACGGAGCAGTGGAACAACCTCTCCTCCTCCGTCTCTGGCTTCTGGGCCCAGACCTCCCAGCTGTTTACCAAGGCCTACACCACCATGTAAGTATGTGAGGGTTATCTTGAGGTTATCTTGAGATGATTTCGGGGCTTTTAGTGTCCCCGCGTCTGTATGTGTGTATATATACCACATTGTATGTATGTGAGTTTTCATCTACCATCCTGTATGCGAGAATTAAACTACACAGGTGCATATATATATCATTCTGGGGATTTTATATTAGTCATTTCCTAATTTCTCCTCACTTCACTCGTCATCTACACTGGTGTCAGGGTTGTGAGGAAACACTTCTTCTGTGTAAGGCCAGTAAGTGACACGAACTGTAAGAGGAAATAGTAGGGCTGCCTCTTATTTTTCTACGGGCTCACCATAGCCCGTGCTACATGGACATTTTCTTCTGAGTAGCTAAATCTAAAACAACAACAGCTGCTTCGATGTATAGTTTATAAAGGAGATATGACAAACAAAGGTGTCCGCACTCTGGGGTCCCACTCTGGGGTCCCACTCTGGGGTCCCACTCTGGGGTCCCACTCTGGGGTCCCACTCTGGGGTCCTACTCTGGGGTCCTACTCTGGGGTCCCACTCTGGGGTCTTGAAGACCAACGTCCCCAGCGGCCCGGTCTCTGACCATGCCTCTGCAATCATTTCATTTAACGGTCGACATTTAGAAAGATGGAACCCTGGAGCTGAAGCTCAGTCCTGCAACTTTTGCTAGTTAAGAAGTGTTAGGTAAGCACTCACACACTCATGCACGAACAATAAATATTTGCAATAAAAAATACTAGACGACTTTGCTGCATGAAGGCGAGAATACTATCCTCTAATTCAGTAAAATGAACCTTACTGCCAGAAACACTTTGACACGTATTGACTTGGGGGCGGAGTGCCATTTCTCGCGCGTGATCAACACACATTTTCTTCTGTAACTCACGAATAGTAATTAAACTTAAAACAAGAGAAGCAAAAATAGTGACCGGTAGAAATAGGGAGAAAAACTAAATACAAATAATAACATGGAACAATAACATTGATGCAGATAATAACATGGAACAATAACATTGATGCAGATAATAACATGGAACAATAACATTGATGCAGATAATAACATGGAACAATAACATTGATGCAGATAATAACATGGAACAATAACATTGATGCAGATAATAACCACAACAATAAACACAAAAATAACCCAAAAATAACAAGTCCTTTAGATCTTTACTGATAATTGTCGAATTGTTGTGGTAAACTACCCTGCTGAATGTCACCCCCCTCCCACCCCCCCAGTCTACAACTTCTCCCCCACCATCCCCACCACCTTCTCCTTCCTCCCCGCCACTTCCCCCTCCCCTCCTATTAGCCTCTCCCCACCACCCCTCCCCCGGCCCTTCAGAGTGGTGGTCTCCCTTGCTGGTAATTTAAGTCTCGTAGATCTCTTGTTCTTGTATTGATTCCCAGTCAAGTCAAGGTTGAAATTTAGGGAGAGAAAGGGAGAGGGGGAAGGAAGGAATGCAAGGGACAGAGGAAGAAAGTGGGAAGAAAAGAATGGAGAAAGGGTGCAAGGGAAGTTCATGAAGAAAAAGCGATATTGTATGACTTTTACTGCGGGTTCAAACTTAATGATTATCATTTGATATTCAAATTCCTTTATAATTCCTTCCGTCTGTCCCCTTTCCTTCCTTGTGATAAGAAGCACCAGCACCAGACGCAGGAATATCACCCGTCAGCCGTACCCAGCACTGGTGAGGCCCACCAGGACCACGGTGCGCTCTCTTCTGCTCCCAGCAATAAAAATACACAAACTCTAAACTCAAGATAAAATCTAAATTACAGTGACATGGCTGATTACTTGGTGTCGGGGACCTTTCCTGTACTAAGACTCAAGTGTCTCACACCAGACAAACGTGGGACAAAGAAGAATAATCAAAAGGATATAGTAAAGGTTCTGAAAAAGTCGGAGCAGGTCAGAACCTGGAACAATGGACATAAGCAAGAGGAATATAGGTATATTTTTCTCCTATTTATTGGGAATATAGGGATGCTTCAGGAGGGATATATTGAAGTACAAGTGTGGAAATAGTTGTGGATGAGTTCAATCGGCTGCCAGATCTAGATCTAGATCTTGAGGTGCTTCCGGGGATTAGCGTCCCCGCGGCCCGGTCGTCGACCAGGCCTCCTGGTTGCTGGACTGATCAACCAGGATGTTGGACGCGGCTGCTCGCAGCCTGACGTATGAGTCACAGCCTGGTTGATCAGGTATCCTTTGGAGGCTGATCTAAATAATGCCAGCTGGCATTATTTACATGGTTCACATGTTCTCAAAGAAAGATTATAAAGGCATATTGGTGAGAGATGGTGGATGTAAAGAGGACCCGCCTAGCACAGCCACCGGACCTGCTGCAGTGCGCCTTAACAATTATGTTCTTACACTTACTGCTTCTACTGCTATAGCACTAACACTACAGTTAACACTAACATCACCAACATCTTCCTCCTACCCTACACTGCCCCATATAACCGAACACCCATAACCACTGATTTACCCGGACCGTCAAGTATTGATCACCTGGATAACCCGACCTACATTCACTATTGTAGGTCAAGTATAGCAAATCACGGCCACTGCTTGGAATGGTAAGGGGGGGAGGGAATGGTAGGGGGAGGGGAGGGAATGGTAGGGAGAAGAGGGAGGGAATGGTAGGGAGAAGAGGGAGGGAATGGTAGGGGAAGAGGGAGGGAATGGTAGGGAAAGATTGTTAGTGAGGAATGTTGGGGGGAGAATAACGGAAAGAATTAAGAAAAGAGAGAGAGGGAGGGGGAGGGGGAGGGGAAGAATGATGAGTAGGGGGATGTAAGGAGTGGTGGGGAGAAAGGTAGGAAAGAAATGTCAGGGAAGATTGTTAGAGACAAATAAAAAAAAGTTTCCCTAGAGTCGTGTGAATAATTATAACTGCGTAGTGTCTTAGGGGCGACCTTTCCCAGGTGCTCCTGATTGCCAGTATAATTAGTTTATCTTGTAAAGAATTATGTTTCAGTATTATTATAGATTAATAATATATCAGTTTTACTCATGATAATTTTAGTAATGTATCATATATTTATTGACTGTTATAGTGTATGATTAGTGGAGAGATGAATTGTGAATAGTTAGTTGTGAACTGTAAGCGGTTAGATTGTATTAGATTTCTCCAGTCTTCTGATTTGTTAATACTGGTCGAATACATTGTAATTAGCTAGTCTGTCAGTAATTAACCAGTTAAGGTTAATGATAAGAAATATGCAGCGTCTGTCACCAAATTCACCCTTTGACTTCATTAATAGACATTAATGACGATTGGTTGAAGACATTAGCGGGTGTAAGAGATTGGGTGTGAATCTAGTACGATATTGGGTATTCTCTCTCTCTCGTTGAACATGATTGTAAATAAAACAGTTTATTGGAACACTTGTACATGAAGAGTGAAGTTGAGAATGTGTTCCCAGAAGGTTGAACAGTTGTGGGAGTGAAGAATTTGGTGCTTCAGTGTGGCAATGTCTCTCTTTAAAATAGATAATTGTTAATACTTTCTTGTGTGCTATCTCGGGTCGTCTTGAGTTTAAAACGTCGGTGGAAGACCACAGACAAGACAGAAAATGTTGATAGACGAGGGAATTATTGACTACCTTTAGAGTACAGCGTGAGAGATGACGTTTAGTCATGAAGATCACTGCGAGAATTCTGGATATGTGTTGTCTGTTAGATGGTTAAGTGTGACTTCCAGCTGCTGGGCGCCTCGTCCATGACTGCATGAAGGACACAGTCTAGGGTCACCCTAGTTATGACTGACCCGTTAACTCTTATATTTACCACACACTTCTGCTTCTTGTAGCTGTGTACAATGATGCATTAAGTTAATATTAGTGTTGAGGTTAAGTCTGTTGGTGATGAACCGCTCATGAAGCCTTTTAGAGTTCAGAATACAGAGTGTTGAATGTATTGTAGCTTCCAGTGATATGTGAAGTTGTTAGCAGCAAAGGTTACAGTTACACTCTACAAATATCATCTATGTACAGGGTAAATAAAATAGGTTCGATAGTGCACCGGTCTATGTCCTCTACTCTCAATCTACTCTTCATTTATTTATTTATATTATTGTGATTTATTATTTGGTCGAATACACTAACATTGAAACAACATGGTTTCAGGATTTCATTATTGTAGTTTTCATCTTCCTGGAACTATACTGGTTATGTATACTGATTTTGGCCGGAGCGCTTTGTGTAATAGTGGCTTCATTAGTACGTGTAACTCCTGTCCTTACAATAGTACGTTACTCTTATGTTCTTTCTACACACGTTCTTTTCAATAAACACTGATTGATGTATTGGTAGGTTCTTCGTTATGTCACAGGAGAGTGAGAGATAGTGAGAGAGTGAGAGAGTGAGAGAGTGAGAGAGTGAGAGAGTGAGAGAGTGAGAGAGTGAGTGAGTGAGTGAGTGAGTGAGTGAGTGAGTGAGTGAGTGAGAGAGAGAGAGAGAGGTGAACAAAGTGTGACGCAGTGTTTTTCACTGGTCAATAGGAACTATTTACACTGTCGCCGAGGATACAATGTTTGGGTTGCTACAACACTTCCCAAAGTTTTCACCATTCTCCCTCCCCAACATTCCATTATTATATCCTTATTACCACCACCACCCTTCACCAACACCAATCATCATCACAATCACCACCATACATCACCATCACCACCACTGACCAATGCTATCACCACCACTATCAACTTTTCACTATTATCCCCACCCTTACAAACATCACCTGCTCCAATTATCACCACCACAACCATCTCCATCAACCACCATCAACCACAACTATCACCACAGTTCTAACAGAGAATATAAATAATCAAAGATAACATGATGTATTAATGAGAATTATCACTGATTTCCTTGTGCATTTGAAGAAAAGCGAAGGAGGTAGAATTCCAAGAATACAAGCCAGAGTGCAGGGGGAGGGGGGCCTTGTGTGAAACCCTGGTTTGGCTTCAATGGAAACCACAGGATCCCTAGAGGATTCAGTTGAATCCCAGGTTGCAATACTTTTACCATGTGGTGGTGTAGTGGTCTAAGGCGTTGCTTGGGGGGTACCCGAGGCATAGGTTCATATCCTCCTGATGGCTCCTACTGATTTTCTCAATATATATACTCTTCTCTGACAACTTCCCCAGGACAAAGCGGTTCACGAATCTGTCAGCCGACGTGAAAGGTTGGCTGTCCAACAAGTCCTTCAAGAACGCCACGGCGACGAAACTGCTCAGTGATATACCTACGGACGGCTGGAGAGAGCTCAATGTAGGACATTGTGGGTTTGTGTGTGACCGAGTGCAAGTGTACTGCTGTTTGAGTGGTGTCAGGGCATGGGTGTGGGTGTTTGTGTGGTGTCAGGGCATGGGTGTGGGTGTGGGTGTTTGTGTGGCGTCAGGGCATGGGTGTGGGTGTTTGTGTGGTGTCAGGGCATGGGTGTGGGTGTTTGTGTGGTGTCAGGGCATGGGTATGGGTGTTTGTGTGGTGTCAGGGCATGGGTATGGGTGTTTATGTAGTATCAGGGGTGTGTGCATATAGGTGTTTGTCTGGTGTCAGGGTGTGGGTATGAGTGTTTGTGCTGTCAGGGTGTGGTGCTTGGGTGTAGATATGGGTGTTTGGGTATTGTCATAGTGTTCTGGACAATGTTTAGGACTATACTAGTCTTGCTACTTAGTCAGTAAGCTGACCAACCAGCAAGTGGTCTTAATAACCCTCTATAGGTTGATAGGCTTGAAGCCCAACACCAAAGCGACCATAAACACAAGCCTGGTCACATCTCTCCTCCCAGCCCGCGATGCTCATGTCCGCCAGCAAGTCTGAGGTCTCCAACTTGATATCGTCGGGGACAGGGAAGGTCCCCCAGAGGTTCCTGGACGAGCTCAACCGACTGACACTCCTCAACTTGACGGACGAGGAAGTTATCAACACAGTGCAAAGTTCCGTAAGCCAGGTAAATATTATACCCAAAACTTTTTAGCTCTGCATGCTTACAGTATTATATATTATGCATGATATATAATGTATGATTTTAGACTGGGAGGGTCAATCTCAGTACCTGTTGTCACAAATATATTTGCAGAAAAAATAGGGAGTCCAGCAATAAATAGCTAAATACAAGATGACCATACCACACACTAGAATGTGAAGGGACGACGACGTTTCGGTCCGTCCTGGACCATTCTCAAGTCCATTGTGAGTCGATCAAGTCGACTGGACCATTCACAATCGACTTGAGAATGGTCCAGGACGGACCGAAACGTCGTCGTCCCTTCACCTTCTAGTGTGTGGTCTGGTCAACATCTTTAGCCACGTTATTGTGACTCATCGCCTGCAGCTAAATACAAATTATCTATGAACCGAAACTCTCCAATATTGACAGAACAGTATTTTTAGTTTTCTATTTGCATTTTACTTTACCCAATATTGACAGCTTAACAGCCAGCTGATGTCTAATGTTATTTACGGTGTTGCGTCATGTTAACAGTGTAGCACGCTGATATCAACGGCTGGAGCAGCCCCTGCTGGCTGTCAGGTAGTGGACGTTTTAATTATCCGCATGTGCTGTAAGTCCTAAACTTGTTCCCACATCGTTGTTGTAAAGTTTACAAGAGTTGGTAGAAGTGTTGCATGTTTTAACACTCTTCCTTATGGTTGTAGATCATTTCGTCTAGTTGGTCAAGGTAGAGAGACGTGCATGTGGTAATACTGTCTCATCCTTCCCAGGTCTTCTCGTGATCAAACACAACTTGAAGAAAATCAAATATTTTCAATGTGTAACAATGTTTGCAAAATCATGAAAATATGGCACACGTTTAGTTTTAGTTTAGTGTTTATTCTTAGTTTCCCGTTTACCTGCGCATTTTCATGGCTTACTCGAAACCATGAACGATGAACGTGAATATTCGAGTTACCGTATTACATTTATAAGACAGAGTAGGGTGGGGGAGAGAAGAGGGGAGGAGAGAACGATGTTCGGAAAGAGGGGAAGATTAGAAGGTAAGAAACAGAGGTGAGAGAAAGGGAGGGAGAATAGGAGAGAGCTGAGAGGGGGGATGGGGGGAGGGGACGAGCGAGACCCCGGGCACCACCGGGTACCCCCATATAGTAGGGTCATAAACCCCATAGAATCGCCTGTACCCGCCGATGCCGAAAGTGGCAAGACATTACTTCGGTGTAAAATCCAGATAGAAAAAATCCACAGGAATAATAATGGAGCTTTAACAAGCTGCCGGCTTCCTGTCTCCGTCGAGGCCGTTATAAAGATGGTGGCCTTCAGGTTAATTCAGCTAATTACTTGAAAATATGTATATGAACGATTATGTTTTATAGAGAGCGGGTTAATTGCTGTAAGATGTTCACGACAATAACGTGTTCGTTTGTGTGGCTATATGACAATAGACCTCAATAAATTAGTGTGCGTGACACATGCACGCTGGTGGCTGAGTGGACAGCACGCTATACACGTAATCCTGTGCACCAGGGTTCCATTGCAGGCGCCGGCGAGAAACAAAATGGGCAGAGTTTATTTCACCCTGATGCCCCTGTCACCTAGCAGTAAATAGGTACCTGGGAGTTGGACAGCTGTTATGGGCTGCTTTTTGTCTGTGTGTGTGGGGGGGGGGGAGGGGGATAGTTAGTAGTTAGTAACAGTTGATTGAGAGGCGGGCCGAAAGAGCAGAACTCAACCCTCGCAAGCACAACTAGGTGAATACATACTTTAGCATATTTGGCATTTATCTGTATCTTAAGATATCTGCAAGTGTGCATGAACCATGTGCATGATACATTAAATTGCTAAAACGTTTTCATGATATAGTGTGACAAACGAGCATGAGAGAGAGCTAGTTCGTTGTTTAACAATTAGCGCTTTCACAGCTGACACTGAGCGAGGTGGTGACCCTGGTGTCAAGGCTGGGTGACCCCGCCAAGTGGTCTCCTCAGAACGTGACTGACCTCGGCCCAGTCATCTTCCAGCTGCCCGTCTGCCTCGACAAGGTCCAGAACGACTCCACAGCCCAGGCGGTGTAAGTATGGCTGGCATTTGGAACATGTAGATACTCTTGAAATCAAGTAAATCGACTATATGAATATTCTGGAATACAATACAGTTGGGTCCAGCTTCACCCCTGTAGGCCTACCCACTTGGGCTGGACGATAGAGCGACGGTCTCGCTTCATGCAGGTCGGCGTTCAATCCCCGACCGTCCAAGTTGTTGGGCACCATTCTTTTTCCCCGTCCCCTCACAAATCCTTATCCTGATCCCTTCCAAGTGGTATATAGTTGCAATGGCTTGGTGCTTTCTCCTGATAGCTAGCTCTCCCTTCACTGTAGGCCTACCTATATGATAACACGTTATTAGATAACATTTATACCCAATGAAAGTAATAATACTAGATAAGATTTTAGAGTCAGCTTTGTTTTGAGGTGATGACGTAGGATAACGGCTTTTAGAACATCACTGATCCGCTTTTAATATAATGATACAACTAGAGAAAGGGTGTGTCTCAAGAGTGACTGTTCAACAGGATGGATGTCCTGAAGACGTGCCTGGGCCAGACTCCAGACTCTAACTGCCCTTCAGTAGCCCAGTTGTGGACCATGATGCAGATGATGGTCCTTCGGCTCACAGGCCCTCCGGCCACCTGGAGTCAGGGCAGTGTCATGGCCATGGGCGGCGTCAACATGATACCCGATTATGCTGTCGTCTACCTAAATAATTCCTTTATTACAGCTGCTAAGATGGACATTGTCAAGGTGAGGCTGGGCCTGTTGCGTTGGGGAGGGGGGGAAGGGGAGGGAGGGAAGGGGGGGAGTATAAATTGTCATCCACACTTCCCTGGATTATAATTTCCTTATTTAGATTTAGATTTAGATTTTTTTATTTAGGTAAAGGTACATACATTTAAGATGAGTTACAAACATAATGTTGGATTTAGAGATAGAGCTAGTACGTACAATACCTAAAGCCACTAATATTCATAGCGTTTCGGGCAAGGTGTGGGGGGAAAAATACACTTAGACGGGGGGGGGGGGGGAGGAACGGGGATGGTGTGCGTGTTAGGGGGGGGGGGAGGAAGGGGGGCTGTGGATACTGTATATATATCGTAAAACATTACTGATGCCAAAAAATATTCTTCTCATCATAGTTAGCCCCATAGTAAGCCAAAGTAGATAATCGCTCGCAGATCCAATCCCAGCTGCATTGAGAGCTGTACTCGCCTAAGTGTGCTTGCAGGGGTTGAGCTCTGGCTCTTTGGTCCCGCCTCTCAACATGTGTTGATTTTGGGATGCCGCTCGGGAATATATGTTCTCATTTATTAGGATTATAATCTATTTTCTTTTAATTTGTTGTTGGTGGAATGATGCCGGGTTGACCCGATCTACTATGGTATAAAAGGTCTTGAATGACACATCCTATTAGGATTTCTAAAAGCTGTTCTGTTGTTGGCCGACATTTCATATGACATCTGATTGATGTGGAGAGTTTAAAAGACTGGTTCGGTGTGAGAGCAACCCCTACCCCCCCCCCCCCCCAAGCATTATATTTCTGTTCAACTCCAGAATGGTTTCCTCCCCCAATTTGTACTTTTATGTCTGGCCTCCAGCTCCCAGAGCCAGGCTTTATGACTTTGCACTTACTTGAGTTCAAATCTAGCAGTCACCTTATGGACCTGCTTATTTGCCTACTTAACTACCTATCATAATAATAATAATTTATTTGCAAGCAGGTACAATGGGTTGGTGAGATTACATAGTATAGGTCTTTTTACATTCATGCAAAGCCACTAACACACACAGCATTTCAGACAGGTACCCGTCCACTTACCTGTCTGCCTTCTTACCTACCTACTGGCTCTGTTTTACAGGTGCCTATTCCAGCCACAAAGCAACAAACATGCGAGAACTGGAAGGCAGCACTCTGCCGGGCCGAGCAGTGTACCAGCATGACAGGTGCAGCTGTAAGTATAGTTGGCAGACACCTTCATAGAGTGAGAAGGTTGGCCTTCATGAGTGAGAAGGTTGGCCTTCATGAGTGAGAAGGTTGGCCTTCATGAGTGAGAAGGTTGGCCTTCATGAGTGAGAAGGTTGGCCTTCATGAGTGAGAAGGTTGGCCTTCATAGCGTGAGAAGGTTGGCCTTCATAGAGTGAGAAGGTTGGCCTTCATGAGTGAGAAGGTTGGCCTTCATGAGTGAGAAGGTTGGCCTTCATAGCGTGAGAAGGTTGGCCTTCATAAAGTGAGAAGGTTGGCCTTCATAGAGTGAGAAGGTTGGCCTTCATAGAGTGAGAAGGTTGGCCTTCATAGAGTGAGAAGGTTGGCCTTCATAGAGTGAGAAGGTTGGCCTTCATAGAGTGAGAAGGTTGGCCTTCATAGAGTGAGAAGGTTGGCCTTCATAGAGTGAGAAGGTTGGCCTTCATAGAGTGAGAAGGTTGGCCTTCATAGAGTGAGAAGGTTGGCCTTCATAGAGTGAGAAGGTTGGCCTTCATAGAGTGAGAAGGTTGGCCTTCATAGAGTGAGAAGGTTGGCCTTCATAGAGTGAGAAGGTTGGCCTTCATAGAGTGAGAAGGTTGGCCTTCATAGAGTGAGAAGGTTGGCCTTCATAGAGTGAGAAGGTTGGCCTTCATAGAGTGAGAAGGTTGGCCTTCATAGAGTGAGAAGGTTGGCCTTCATAGAGTGAGAAGGTTGGCCTTCATAGAGTGAGAAGGTTGGCCTTCATAGAGTGAGAAGGTTGGCCTTCATAAAGTGAGAAGGTTGGCCTTCATAGAGTGAGAAGGTTGGCCTTCATAGAGTGAGAAGGTTGGCCTTCATAGAGTGAGAAGGTTGGCCTTCATAGAGTGAGAAGGTTGGCCTTCATAGAGTGAGAAGGTTGGCCTTCATAGAGTGAGAAGGTTGGCCTTCATAGAGTGAGAAGGTTGGCCTTCATAGGGTGAGAAGGTTGGCCTTCATAAAGTGAAAAGGTTGGCCTTCATAGGGTGAGAAGGTTGGCCTTCATAGAGTGAGAAGGTTGGCCTTCATAGGGTGAGAAGGTTGACCTTCATAGGGTGAGAAGGTTGGCCTTCATGAGTGAGAGGAAGGAACACGTATATGGGTACTGGCACTTGGGCGTATTTGGCCTTTGTCTGGCTAAAGACAGTAAACATCTTCATAGTGGGTTTTTTCCTATATTGATCCCTTGTGATGACCGTGCAATAAACAATTTACTATAATCATGTGTCACAACCACACACTACAACCACACACTGTAACCCATGCATGATACCTACTTTTTTCTAATAGGACAGGACATGGTACAACAGCCTGGGCACTCTGCAGGTGTGTATGGGACCCTCAGACCTGTCACCAGCTGGGCTAGCTGATGCCACTCTCAAATTCATAACATACAACATCTCCAATATTAGGGGCAAGGATATCAACCAACAGGTAAGTGCCCTTACAGAGTTGCAGGGAAGGTGTGTAGAGGACAGGGGAAATGAGACACCATGATATGGGACACCAGTGGACACCATGAGTCACCAAGGATCATAAAACATTACCATCGGACATAATGGATATAAGGGCAACACAGTTAGATAGCAGTATATATCAGCTTGGGGCTATCAAATGATGCAAAGGGTAATGAAAGCACACATTTAAACATCAGGGGATACAGGAAGACACCAGAAAAAATATTGGAATACCAGGGGCCATTAGGGGCACAATATGTTAGGAGATACAAAGAGGCACCAGAACAATCAGAGGATGTGGAAGTTTTCAAAAGAATATCACAGGACACCAAATGATTTGGTCCAAATGACAAGATTATATAATAGTGTGTATACCATGGAAGACATCAAGAGATGCAGGGGGACACGTCAAGGATCAAATGAAGGTAACAGAAGGAAGTATATCTATCAATCATGCCCCTCCCTTCCCTCACCACAAATCTAAGCGGTCTCATTCCTCTTCCTAGGATGCCAGCATCATCCTGCAGGACGTGCTGATGAACAAGACCGTCGACAACATCACCAAGCCCGATGTTGATGCCCTGGGTGAGTGTCACCAACTGTGTGGTTCTCCACCACCTCTCATATCACTCCAATTACTGTATACCAAATATAGTGTACTCAGTAGTCAGGATTGGCACTTGTCGGAGTGGATGAGGAATTAGAAATCAATGTCTTTTATTAGGATTTGTTTGTTAATTAATGGTGTTGGGACGAGGTAGCTCACCAGCCTTCTGACCTAGAGTTGTGTATGTACAGGAGGACCATTGATGATGAGGGCTCCTGCCTGCTACCTGAAGGCCGCCGCCAAGCGTGGGCTGCTCCCCACTGTCCTACCATCTATGGACACCAGTGTTATGAAAGTCCAGGGCCCAGAGTTCTCAGCCAAGGTGGGGTACAATCATTAATTATTCTAAACATTAATAACCATTCTCTTGGGAATTTAACTGAAACCATTTCCAATCGAATTCCGTAATGCCAGTATATCTGATGATGAATCCCATAATTTTCTACTACAGTATATTAATTTATAAACAATTATCATTTCCAACCACTTGCACAGTTTGATTCAGTTAAATATTTTCAACAAATGCAACTATTTGAGAAGAACAAAGTCTTTTGCTGCACCTGTGCCTTGCTGTGTCTATGTTGTGCTGTCTATATGCCATGCTGTACTTGCCTAGTTGTTCTCACCTAGTTGTGCTTGTGGGGGATGAGCTCTGGCTCTTTGGTTCTGCCTCTCAACTGTCAATCAACTGGTGTACAGATTCCTGAGCCAACTGGGCTCTATCATATCTATATTTAAACTGTGTATGGAGTCACCCTCCACCACATTACTGCTTAATGCATTCCATCTGTTAACTATTCATACACTGAAAAAGTTCTTTCTAGTGTCCCTGTGGCTCATTTGGGTACAGTAATCAGTTTCCACCTGTGTCCCCTTGTTCACGTACCACCCGTACTAAACAGTTTATCTTTATCTACCCTGTCAACTTCTCTGAGAATTTTGTAGGTAGTGATCATGTCTCCTCGAGATCTCCTGTCTTCCAGTGATGTGAGGTGCATTTCACGCAGCCTTTCCTCATAACCAGTGCCTCTTAGTTCTGGGACTAGCCTAGTGGCACACCTCTAAACTAGCCTAGTGGCACACCTCTAAACTTTTTCCAGCTTTGTCTTGTGCTTGACAAGGTACAGGCTCCATGCTTGGGCCGCATACTCCAGGATTGGTCTTACATATGTGGTATACAAGGTTCTGAAGAGTTCCTTACACAGATTCCTGAAGGCAGTCCTCATGATAGCCAGCCTTGCATATGCCACTCATGTTATTATTTTGACATGTGTTTCAGGAGACAGGTTTGGTGTGATATCAACTCCTAGATCTTTCTCTGTTCGTTTCATGAAGGACTTCATATCCCATTCGGTATCCTGTGTCTGGCCTCCTGTTTCCACTGCCTAGTTTCATTACCTTACATTTAATTGGGTTGAACTTTAGTAGTCATTTGTTGAACCATTCATTCAGTTTGTCTAGGTCATCTTGTAACCTCATACTATCTTCCTTCCTCTGTGTCTACGCCATGCTGTCTATGCCGTGCTGTATCAATACCATGCTTACCAAATGGAACGTTCCATCCTCAACTTCCAGATAAATGCACTGCTGAAGGCCAACATGGCAACGGCTCTTGTTGGTGGGGTGTTCACACTGAGTAAGTTTATTGAGTCCCTGAAGCCTCGTATTGATCCCATCTACCTCAAGACTCTCAACAATACAGTGTGGAAGCAGGTTGTCGACAAGGCCCAGATGACACGTCAGCCATTGTCAACTTTACAAATCGACACCATTATGTCACAGGTGATTTTTTGTGAATACTGGTATATGTTTTGAAATATAGAGTAACGCTTGAAGCAGGAGCGCAATTCCTATCTGATATCTGCCAACCATGTTACAAACAGGTATAAATGTTTGTACACCAAGATCTATTACTTCAGACACATGTGTACTTTCCTAATTGTGCTTGCAAGTGATTTGAGTTTCAGTTCTTTGGTCCTGCCTATGGATCATCAATAAACTGTTTTTGCACAGGTTCTAGAACTTATTGTGCACTACCATATTTACATTAGAAACTATGCATGAAGTCTTCCTCCCCCTCATCACTTAGTTATAATAATAATAATATTTATTCAGGTAAATGTACAGGTACATGCATACAAAATGAGTTAAAACAGACTGTTGGATTTTTAGATAGAGTTAGTACATACTATGCCTAAAGCCACTAATACGCACAGCATTTCGAGCAATTAATTCCATTTGTTCATTAGCTTTGTGTACGTTATTTTAAACTTCATTTCCTGCTCTGAATTCTCACTCATAGTCTCCACACTTGTACAACTGGGTTTAGAAAATAAGGTTAGTATTCAGGTGCTGCTGCTGTCTTTTGCTCTCTATTCCTGTTTGGGTTCTTCCTGCACTGTAATATTTACTACTACTATTGTTATTTTCCTTTCTAACAGCTAGTATACTTGCTGGTTCCTGTGAAGTAGCTGCTTGCAGTGTCACTTCCTGCAATGTTTACAAGGCTTCCGAGTTTCTGCAAATGGTGTCTCTTTGATTCACAAATTCACACTCTACCATACACCCGTTACTTTGGTGTATAGTCCCTTATATTTTACTTCATTAAACATCAGCCTGCCCTCATTAATAATGTATACATGCTTGTTAATACAACCACCAAACCCCATATTTATAAATGTCCAAACACTTTATACATGACTCACAACTGATGATGTTCAAACTTCTCCTGAACAGTGCTTCCCTTTCTACCTATGTTTGAATCTCGCCTCTAAATCCTTCACCAATGTAAGGCAGACAAAACAGTTGCAGAAAGAACTAAAATACCTAACTTGACCCTATCCTTGGGTGTGTGTGTGTATTTGTGTGTGTGCATTTACTATTTGTGCTTGCAGAATCGAACTATTAGCTCTTGGACTGCACCTGCTGTGTGTATTGAGGGAGGAGGTTATATGTGTTTATTGGGAGGATGTAGGGGTGGGGGGATGTGGGGGCATGTGTATGTAGGGTGTGTATATATGGGGATGTGTTTGTGTATGTGTGTGTGTATGGTGGACAGGATGTGTGTGTGTGTGTGTGTGTGTGTGTGTGGGTGGGAGGATTTGTGTGCATGTGTGTATGATGGAGGGGATGTGTGAGTGCATGTGGAGAGATTATGAGTTTGCGTGTGTTTGTAGGTTGGGCCAATGTATGTGCATGTGTATAGGGTGGGTGGATGTATTTGCGTGTGTGTGTAATTACCTAAATGTAGTTACAGGATAAGAGCTACACTACCCGTCTTCCCAGTACTTTGTCATATAACGCTTTGAAATTACTGAAGGTTTTGTCATTACTGACAGTTTTGGCCTCCACCACCCTCACATAACTTGTTCCAGCCGTCTACCACTCTGTTTACAAAAGTGAATTTCCTTATATGTCTCTGGCAGCTTTGTTTTATTAGTTTAAATCTATGACCTCTTGTTCTTGAAGTTCCAGGTCTCAGGAATTCCCTATCAATTTTATTGATTCCTGTTACTATTTTCTACGTAGTGATCATATCGCCTCTTTTTCTTCTAGATCTTCTAGTTTTGCATATTTAATGCCTCTAATCTCTCCTCATAGCTCTTTTTCTTCAGTTCTGGAAGCCACTTAGTGGCATGTCTTTGCACCTTTTCCAGTTTGTTGTTGTTTGTTTGTTTGTGTGTGTGTGTGTGTTGTGACGGTAACGCGTTGGTGTTCGGCTGTTTAAGGCTAGGGGTATGGCCTCGTCACATAGTTATAAAAAAAATAGAAAAAACTGGAACTTCGTCTGTGGTAAGGTAAGGAGAAGACACACAAAACACAAGTAAAACTTTAACAATGAAATTTTAATTACGTTAAATAAATCAAAACATGAAAATATGGACAAACAAATATGTATAATAAAATCAATGAATCAAAATAATAAGAATACTTAAATGACACAATGAAAGTTACGTTAAGGCAAAATAATAAGAAGTGCAACACAAAAGTTAAGTGGGAGGTGCTGGAATATTGGCTTAAAGCCACCACCTCTCTCAGTACACGCTAACGTCTAGCTGGGAGGAGTGCTGGCTACGAAAGCACGGAACATTCTGAAGACTGATGTTGGGGCGACCCCAGACATCAGGTAGTATTGGGGGGCGAGTGCAGGTGCAGCCAGACCGGCGACCAATCAGCGGAGCCGTAGCGATCAACGGGTAGTTTGGTGATTTGGGTCCGAACAGGTGGCGGGCTGCATACGTTTCTGCTCACCCTTGCAAGCCTTGCTGGTGTTGTTGTCGTTGTTGGACATTTCTTCCATAGTCTTTTTATATAATTGTGAAGACGTAAGTATGGAGGGAAGAGCAGGCTCAATCTCTTGAAGGAGATTATCGTCACAGTGTATATATGTGTACTTACCTAGTTGTGCTTGCGGGGATTGAGCTCTGGCTCTTTGGTCCCACCTCTCAACTGTCAATTAACTAGTGTACAGGTTCCTGAGCCTACTGGGCTCTATCATATCTACAGATGTGTGGTGTGTGTGTGTGTGTAATTGCCTAAGTTTAATTACCTAAGTGTAGTTACAGGGCGAGAGCTATGCTCATGGTGTCCCATCTACCCAGCACTCTTTGTCATATAACCCTTTGAAGCTACTGCATGTGTGTGTGTGTGTGTGTGTAGGGTGAAGGGGTATGTCTGTGTGGTATGGGAGCGGGTTTCTTGAAGAAAAGGTTCAGGATTGTAGTGTCCTTTTTTTTTCTTTTGCATATACAGCTGTATATTGAGTTTAATTTAAAGATTTACATGTTGATATTTCCTCTGATGGCTGTACATAACAACTTTGTTTTAATGATGCCACAATTTGTTTTTCAGCATCTTTCCATTCATATAATTGAGTGTTATCTTTAAATTAGCCAATATTACATACTAAAATATCTTTGCAAACTTCTAGACATTAACTAATCATTCAGTCAATCTACAGGTAAATGACTCACTTGACCATTTCTTGTTCCCTCAGGTGGCAGCCACAGACCTGCCCCCATATGCCCCGTTCTTCAAGGAGTATGCCTCTACCAAGAAGATTGGGAGCCTTAGCTCAAATACCCTAGCGCTACTTGCCAAGGATATGTCACCCTATTCCCTTCCAGTAAGTCCCGCGTGGTGGGTTATCTATCGAGTCCCGCATGGTTGGTTATCCATTGAGTCCCGCATTGTTGGTTATCCATCGAGTCCCGCATGGTTGGTTATCCATCGGGTGAGATCTGTGTGGTTGGTTATCCATTTAGTGTATCCTGTGTGATTGGTGATCCATCAGAAGACATGATCACAACTTGCAAAATTGTAACAGGAAACACTGCAAAGAGAGAGGTAGATGGAAGATATCATTAAAATTAGAGATGATGTTTCTCAGAGAATTCTTTGCTCCTTCAGCAACGCACAGACTTAATCCTACGTCAGAAGCATTATCATCTCCACCCCTGGGGCCTGATCAAGGACCGGGCCACGGGGACGTTAAGCCCCAAAACCATTTCAAGGTAACCTCAGGGTAACCTGTTTTGTATTTGTCTTGGCAAATACAAAATAGTAAGATAGACAAAATCTCCCAACTATAGTGCCTGTAGTGTGCTGCTTGCTAGTATTAACAGCATTGTTAAATTGGAAGTTTCAATGCGTCATATGACAAAAGATTATAGTAAAGACGGGACTAGGTAATTACATAATCAAACTCCTTTCTTTTTGTATCCAAGCATTACCACAGAGAACAATTTCCTCCCTCCCCACAGTGTCTGCGGGGGGCCAATGTGACATTTGGAGGCACAGGTAACCTCACCGTCGACATGATCAAACAAGGTGTAAACTTCCTGCCCTGCATGAGTGCCACCGATGCCCGGAGAGTGGCTCCAAGTGACCTCTTCAAGACGTTTGAGGCTATCAAGGCGACGGGCAAACCTCTATCTTTGGCAGCTGTGAGTACAGTATATTTCATATTTTACATTGTATATAATGTTCAATAAAAAACCCATCTCGCACTTCTGTACCATTCGTCAGTAATAAAAATAACACTTTTCAAATTGTAAAAAAAAAACTTAGATTTTTGTTTAAAATATGGATATTTGTGTTAATACAACCCAAACATTTAGGTCTAGTAGTGCATTGATCCATAAAAATTCTATAAATTAAATTGCAATCATATTACAGTATAGAAGATACAATTCAAATTGTTTTTACTTCCCATCATAGGATGAATGGCCACCAGTGTAACTTTATGCTCAGTTGTCAATCTCGTCTCCAGTTTGGCCCATGATCCCTTCCCCCCCTCCCCCCCCCCCAAAAAAAAAAGTGAGCAATACTGCACAAAATTCAAAATGAAAAACAACCAGATAATTATATTTTAACTATCCTCAGTTTCTTTCCAATAATTCCACCTGCTTTTATTAAAATTCATATCTTCAGAAATCTATAAAAATGTAATCTACCCCATATAAATGTTTTCTATAATAATGGGAACCAATTTCCACCCCCAGTCTTTCCCATACACTAGTCCAAAATATTGCTTTGGCACATGTACATGATAATCATTTATTTTATGCTGTATTGTGTTAACAGATTCCAAAATTATACATATTTTTTTACTGCATCTGCATTGTTTTAATTTTTTATGATTGTGACAAGTTTTTATTGAGGAAAGCTTTCCATTTATCTATAACATCCTCAAGGCAGTCTTAATTCAGAAGTCTTATTTTCCAGGTTTCCATTCCATTACCAAAGACCAGCATCATCTTGTGCTAGACTGAATATTAGTGCACAAGGTTATACCAGTATGTTGCTCTCCTATTCCACTCTTCCTCTACAGCCACGAATCGTTAACGTGTGTCTCACTTTTTCCTACTCTACAAACATGTGTCGTTTCCCCTTCTCTGCCAACAGTGCCGAGTGTTCAGAGACAAGCTGTTGGACTGGGCCAAAACGGACTTGCCAACCGGCCTCAAATCCCTGACAGATATTGGCCAGCAGCTCTTCCTGAATGATATGGCAACCATACCCTCGTGTGTCATCGTCGACATGGGGTGAGTCTACAGGAGGGTTTACAATACTGCCTTGTTCTCACTGTATTCTATGAATTGTGCATTCATCTATATGTGCTTAGAGTGAGCATCTGCTTCTGAACCCCCATCTATCAGTCTCTAGTTACCAATTGCAATGGCATCTTTTATTCTGGTCCTGTTGTTTCTCATTACACTGTCTCCTTTTTAAACAATGTATGGATGTAGCCTCTACTACCTCCCCATTTAGCTCATTCTACTTACTGCTCTTGCATTGAAAAGTGCTCTTACATTCTTACGGCTCGTGAATGGCTCTTTTGACACTAGATGGAGCGCAACAAACAAGACGAATGTCGTCTACTTTTACATATGTTCTCAGGAACCATCAGCCCCAAATGTAACACAATGACTTTTATTTTGTGGCACGTTCCAGTGCATAAACAACAAGGCTCTATAAATATAAAATAATTTCTACACTCAACTAGGCCATCAGTGCTTAAAGAACGAACTGTACCTTCAAATTGAACATGCTGCTAATAATGAATAGAGATAAAATTACAGAATTGGTAATATATATAAATATGCACATGTGTAAAGGAAGGACATGATAGGTGCATCAACTGAAGATAAGGCACCGAGCCTGAAGAAATCTTGTCTCTTACCCTGAGCTATGTATGATCATCAAGCATCTGATAAGTCTTCTCATGAACAAGTGTGTGAGCCTAATTTAGAGGCTCTGTTTGCTTCCTCTAGTCACCTGTAGTCACCTGCAGACTGAGTGAGATTATGCACGGGCAGATGAGGACAATGGTTAAGGCCACCACGAATATATATACAGTGTGTGTATTTAATATTTGTAACTATAGAATCAAGCTATTAGCTCTTGGACCCTGCCTTTCTAACCCATTTATTTTTCTCTATTATGTTTACTGCATATATTTCTTTCTAACACACACACACACGCACACACATTCTCAGGAAGCAGCCAATAGCAGTTGTCTAACTCCCAGGTACCTATTTACTGCTAGGGGAACAGACACACCAAGGTGAAAGAAACTGCCAATTTGTTTCCGTCTCCGCCAGGAATCAAACCCGAGCCCTTAGGACTACAACCCCAAAGTGCTGTCCACTCAGCCATGAGAGTGAGTGAGTGTTTATTTTATGTACTCACCTAGTTACACATACACACATACATATGTGTTTATGAATGTACTGTATGTATGTACAGCAGTCATATGTAGAGGGTTCTGAATGGTTCCTTGTACACATTCCTGAAGACTGTGTTTTTATATCAAGTTTTGTTTAGCATGTACGTGCAGATGTATTTACCCAGATGTATTCATAGTTGGAGAAGATTCAGCGGTATGCCACCAGACTCGTCCTTGGGAACTGAGAGGTATGAGCTATGAGGAAAGGCTAAGGGAGCTGAAACTCACATCCCTGGAAGACAGGAAGAGTAAGGGAAGACATGATAACCACCTACAAGATTCTCAGGGGAATTGACAGGTGGGCAAAGACAAATTCTTCAGCAAGGAGTGGAATACGAACAAGGGGACACAGGTGGAAACTTGGCACCCAAATGAGCCACGAAGACATTGGAAAGAATTTTTTCAGTGTCAGAGTAGTTAATAAATGGAATGCACTAGGAAGGAGGCTGACTCCATACACAGTTTCAAATGTAGACATGATAGAGCTCAGGAATCTGTATACCAGTTGATTGACGATTGAGAGGCGGGACCAAAGAGCCAAAGCTCAACCCCCGCAAGCACAACTAGGCGAGTACAACTCGATGAGTACCCATATATACTACCCTATGTTTCTTGGGTCCTGCATCTTGGCCATTAATTAAATGATTATCTCTTGTGTTCTCTCTCTCATCTCATCAGGAATATTGCCCTGCAAGTGATGACCAGGGAGATGAAGCAGGTCCTGTTGATGCAGATGTGCAAGATGAACATCCTCTCCACCATCCCTCAGGATGGCAGGCGACTCTTCATTAATTCTATTGTCGGTGACATGGTAAGCTCTCTCTCACACACACACACACACACACACACACACACACACACACACACACACACACACACACACACACACACACACACACACACACACTTACCTAAGTGTAATTACACTTGTACAAATAAAAGCATAGATGTGGAGAATGCATAGATGCAAGGGGCAAACAAAGCTAATTCAAAAATGTAAGTTATAATTAAATGGATAGAGACGGGAAGAAATAAAAAGCAAATAAGCAGTGTTAATTCTTCTTATTTTTCTTCGCCTGCAGATGAGTGCAGCAGGAGCTAAACTGGGAATATGTGAGTTAAACTTGCTGGGTATGTGTGCATTTGACCTCAGTCCGGATAACATGAAGAAAATGGACGAGTTTGCCTCGTCAGAGTTTCTCAAGCGTCTGCAGGTTAGTTTGTCAGTGTTTTAGTTTATCCTTTAGTTTCCCTGATGCCTGTGTTTCTCACTGTGCTTGTGTGTTATATAGAACCATTGTGCTTCATTGAAGCTGGACACATCTATTGGGCTACCACACTTGAATCATTAATCGACGTGTATGATGTTTTTCTAAACTCCTGGGCAAGTTCAAATTTATACTTGGATCCATACATGGGGTTTGATTCAACTGTTTTCCTTTCCTAGTTTTTTTTCACTCTGTCAGAGATGACAATCCTTCAGTGTTAAGTTTCATTGTCACCTCACCCAGGGCATACTCATGTCTGCTCACCCAGGTCATACCCATGTCTGCTCACCCAGGGTATACTCATGTCTGCTCACCCAGGGCATACTCATGTCTGCTCACTGATAGAGCCGGTCATCCTGTACTCAATGCCATAAATGCATTTGAGCGCAACTGTAACATTTAATGGCAAAAAACATTTTCATATTTAATTTTGGAAGAACAATACATCTTGTTTGCACCTGTCCACAGAAAGCCTTCATAAGCCCGGTGCCTCCATGCCTCGACCAGTCGCAGCAGCAACAGATTGGTCAGATGCTCATCAGTGTCAAAGGGTAAGGGGGTAAGGTTGTTTACATGGTAGCTGTATAAAAGTTAAATCATTCCTAAACATAGCTCCCAAGCATGATCATATGTAAAATCATTCCACAAGTTATTGTATAGCATACAGAAAGAAAAATTAAAGCCAAGCAAGCATGTATGCATGAGTTCAGTGAACCCTTGACTTTATATTTAATAAATATGATACCATCCACCATCTACCATCCGGGTTTGGAGTCCCTGTGCCTTCTTTCACCAATTTCGAGGTAAACTCCAGAGCTGGAGCCCCTCTGACAGTTCCTGTGACGGTGCTGGAACCAATCGTATTGGAGTTTGCCTTTGCATTGGAGGCTTTCAGTGCCGTGGAGAAGGGGGACCTGTTGCATGGGTGACAGCTTCTCCCCCCATATCAATCCACCCTTGCTTTGCGCCCTGGAGAGGCCACTCCAGAGCGACAACCAGAGTGCAACTCCATAGACTCCTGAAACTGATGGATGCCTAATACTACCACCACTCAGAAAAGACAGAACTACAAGAGCAGGTGGTGAAATGTGAAAGAGGACCTGAATGCAACCACCAGTGAGGAACTGAATACCATGAGATCCTCAGTCTGTATGGTGCAACATTCTAGGTCAAGATGGTAACAAATGGACAATGGGAATATGCTACAGGCCTGACAGTAGCAGCAGCAGAGGAAGTTACTGATCTGCAAAATGTGATCAATGTGGCATCAGAAACCCAAACTCTCATAATGAGTGACTTTAATCACAAGACAATAGTTTGGGTAAATCCTAACATCAGAAGCAGAAGAACAATAATTTCTTGACCTGTCACAGTACTCCTTTCTCATACATTGTGTCTGAGCCTAACTGAGGAAACAGCATTCTAGATCTAGTGCCAACATCAGAAGAAGGCATCATTTATCAGATTCAGGTAGGGGAAAAGTTCACCCCATTGTGTAACCACACTGCAGTATTCAAAGATGGATTACAAAAACCCATGTAAAGATCCAGGATGATGACTTTCAAGATTACCCTCAATTACCTTCATTTCTCATCAAGAAATGAGAGAGGAATTGCGAAACACCTTCTTGAAGGAAAAAATTGGCAACTATGGCATGGAAGCATCTTGAGAAAATTTAAAGATCATCACTGAACTCATAAAAAATGTGCCAAAAGTGAGAAAGAAAAGAAAGGGAACTAGACGGATGACATGGGTAGTAAAAACCAGTCCCCCATGGCACAGTGGTAAGACACTCGCCCGGCACTTCGTGATTGCTTTGGCCTAGGTTTGTATCCTGGCCAGGAAGAATTGACCGGGTGCCAATCCTTAACTGTAGCCTGTTCACCCAGCAGTGAATGGGTACTTGGTTATTAAACGATTTGGCGGGTTGTATTCCGGGGAAAAAATTAAGATTAAGGACCTGCCCGAAACGCTATGCGTGCTAGTGGCTTTACAAGAATGTAAGAACTTTTGTATATAAATACAATAATAAAAAAAAAAGATAACCGCCCCTGAAGAAGGCATAAAATAAACATAATAGATTATGAGATATATAGAAGGGCATTTAATTCAGCCACTCAGGAAATCAGGTCAGCCAACTGACTGAAAGAAAACTTGACCAAAACATAAAGATCCAAAGTCATTCTATGCCTATATAAGAAGTACTGTAAAAGTCATTCTATGCCTATATAAGAAGTACTGTAAAAGTCATTCTATGCCTATATAAGAAGTACTGTAAAAGTCATTCTATGCCTATATAAGAAGTACTGTAAAAGTCATTCTATGCCTATATAAGAAGTACTGTAAAAGCAAAACAAAGGACTCTATAGGACCCTTAAAAGATGAGACTAAGTTATAACAGACAATAAAAGGGCAGCAAACATTTTTAATGAATACTCTACGCGAGTCTTCATACTAGAAAGATTAGACGACATCCCATTACCTACACACATGTTTGAAGGTGAAGAGAATGAATTAATATTAAGGCCTTACAAGAAGATCTCTCTGAACTCCACCAATGGTCAGAAGACAGGTAAATGCTTTTTAATATCGAAAATATATGGCCTTGCATGTGGGGCATAACAATGTCATAACTACCAAAGTAACAACATTGCTTTGCAACAGAGTGATGAAAAAAAGGACCAAAGAGTAAGAATCCATCATTGACTGAAAGTTGCACAACAGGTGGGAGCGTCAGTAAAAAAAAAAAAAAAAAAAGGCTAACCAAACCCTAGGAATAATCAAGCATACTTTTGACCTTCAGGAAAAGAAGGTAGTTCTTCAATTGTATAAATCTCTGGTGCACCCCAACTTGTATTATTGTATACATGCATGAAGACCTCATCTTCAGAAAGACATACAAAGGAGCCTCAATTAGAGTTCCAGCACCGAGGTCGTCATGTGAAATGCTCGTTTTGCGAAATGAATTTCCCCATTTATTTCCCCACATTTATGTTCAGAATAAAAATTACCAAAATAATGGAATTTCTTACAAACGTGATCGTCACTAAGCGGGCAGCTCTGGTAAACTGAGGCAGGTCGGTCCATGCCACGAGGAACCATAGGCTCGGTTGACCCGAACATGTATCGATGAATATTGTTAGTTGACAACACGATCATAAGTCGAGCTGCATTTTCTGACCAAATTTACATCGTTACTCGAAAATATCGTAAGTAGGGACAATTATAAGTCGAGGTATCACTGTAATTGGTTTAAAATCTTTTCACTTAAGCCCTCTCCATTCCAACCTTTCTTGTTGCACACTATATTTACTCCTGTTTTCCTATGACCTTTCATCTGCTTTGCAGTCCAATGTGACCTCTGACCTTCCAGGCCCACCAACACCTGGAAGGACGCAAGTGACGTCAGCTGCATCATGGGAATGCTCACCAGCACCAACTTAATGGCGATCCCGGATGAAGTCTACACCTCTACGTCCTGCAACATTATGATGTCACCCTTCGAGGATGGTCAGCCGGTGAGGGTAGGGGGGGGGAAGCGAGAATTTGAGGATGGGTGAGTGGAAGAGAGAGAGGGAAGGAAAGGGAGAGAGGGGAGGAAGAGCGAGAGAAAGTGGTGAAAACATAAAGGAAAGGCAATCAAGAGAGGGGGGGCAGGAAGGAAGAAGAATGGAGAGGGAATTAAGGTTGTTAAAAGGAATACAAACGGACATGGAGAGAAAAGTTGGAGAGAGAGGACACAGCCCATTCTCCCGTTTAGATAGTACTGTTTGTAACTATGTGCACCATAGTACAAACATTAACATACTATGCAATTTGTAGAATTTTGTACTATTCACTTAATAGTCCAAAAAAATTAAGCTAAAACAAACTTTAATATTCCTAGGCCTAGTATAGCACACACATGTACTATATTAGGCCTCAGATAGCATGTATTAGGCCTAGAGGCCTAATGTAGACTCTAGGTTAGTTTAGTTTAGTTAGCCTTTGCAACATAAGTAGAAAATCGTTTTCCAGTTTGCCCAAATTAAATACAGTAGTACCGATTTCTACTTTCTAATTGCGTTGTACGTCAATATGTGTACTATGGTTCTGATCCTTCCTATACAGTATAGTACAGTACAGTACAGTACTATCAAAACAGGAGGATGCACTAGAGGACACACCGACGTGGGAGATTTTGGGTGGTGAGGATAAAGGAAAGAGAGGATGGGATGCTAAAATATGCAAATCTTATCATATGATCTGGCTGACCAATGATAATGTCAATATGGAAGGAAGCACCAATAATAATTCCATTACAGAAAGCAGCATCAATAACCCATCATGTTTACAGGATGTGTGTAAGATAGCTGCCATGCTTCAAAGAAAGAGCATCGCCATCGATCAGACAAAGAGATGCATCAAGCTGAGGCAGGCAGGTGAGTCAGGGGGCTGCTTTTCATAGCTCTTAAGCTGATATCCGGTTACTCTATTTATGTCACCTACGCTCGGATCCCCACACTTGTCAGGATTAAACTGCACCTGCCAAACTTTTCTCCATCTTAAAAGCTTATTTAAATCTTCAAGTGGCAATATTGTCTTCTTCTGAATTAAGTGCCCTATTTTTGTATCTTCTGCAGTGTTGCTGGTCAATAATGTATTTAAATCATTCATATACAGTATATGGTAAAAAAAGATCCCAAGTCAAGAGCCCTGAAGCAGTCAACGTACAATGCTTTCCAACATGGATTTCACTCCATTTATGCTAAAGCTTTCTTTAGAAATAACCTTCTCTCCCCAATACTCTATGGCTATCATTGTAATCAATCTCTCGGTACACTACTTTCAGGGCTCGGGGCTACTTTCATGATTATTACCCTTCTTAATCATCTTCTCTATTTCCCACCCTCTTGCTCCACCTTCCTCAGCTACTTGTACTTAGCTCTTAATTTACCTGAGGGTCTCTTAACACTAGTGCCCTCAAGGAGGACAGAAAGCCAGTGGCTTGTCAAAGGCCCCCCTCTCCTTTTATCCTGATAGTAACATTCAGCAGTGTTTTTAACATATACCAGCGTTTTGGCATTTACGGCATCGACGGGTAGGCAGTTCCATGAGTTTATAACCCTATAGATAAAAAAAGCATTCTTGTTTTCTGTTCATATATTGTCTTCTGGTTTTCCCATCTGGCTTTCTGGTTTCTTCTGATTCATCTTTCAATTGGCTCTTCTATTGTTTTCCTGGACTTCCTCTTATTTTTATAGACATTTTACTCTTCCTTCACATTCTCTTCCTGTAGGTACTGGTGCCACAACCTGTGACAAAATATCTTGTGGGGGAGTTGCTGTCATGACTTCTGCAGAGATCAGAAATCTTCAGCTGCAGGATGTGAAGGATAATTTGGAAGAACTCGGCTCCCAGGACATGGGTATGGAAAACGCTATGGTAAGTGGGGCATGGGTCAGGAGGGTATAGCTGATAGGACAAGACAAACTTTAGCCTGTTTTTTTCTAGAGCTGACATTTTCTTACCTACAAGACTGACCCTCACAAAATTAACTTTCCATTAGACTGGAGTAAATGCCTCTCCTTGATCACAAATCTGACCTTCCCTTAAATACAGAAACTTTTCTCTTGCCTACCAAAAGAAGATCCTCTCATATAAACAAGTTTGGTATATTTTTATCCTTCAAATATGACATTTCTCCATTCACGAGAGCAAGCAGGTTTTTACCCATTAGCAATCCTTTACCTACAACCATGACTTCACTACAGGTCCTGGCTGACAAGGTGAGGCAGCTGAGAAACCAGAATAACCTAACACAGGAGGAGCAGACTAAGTTTGGCTACATCTACCAAGCCTTCACCAAGGACGACATAAACAACTTTACTTCATGGGCACCCCCCGCTGCCAAGGAGATGCTGGCAAAAATGTCTGATGATGCAGTAAGTGGGTACAACAGGGTTGGTTCACAGGGAATAGGGAGGGACTGTAACCATCAGGGAAGAGAACACTAAACCAGTGACTATATTGAGGACAGACAAAGAGCTGGGCTATGAAAACGAAGGGGAGAAAGTGATCAACCTGAACCATCAGGGATCAAAAACTGACCCTGTAAGAAGACCAGGCCAAGTGCTTGAACAGAAAAGGGAGGAAGGGAAGGGATAGAGAGGGTAGGAAGTAGACTGATTGAAAAAGAGGAATAAGAAGGGTGAGCGAAGATGGAGAAGTGAAAGTAAGTCTACAAATCCTGTTGAATACCTATGATGCCAAAGACAATATATTCAAATACTGTATATAAGAAACATAAATTATATGAATATATAACATATTTGATCAGTTATAACTAACAAAACTAATTCTTTTAAAATAATAAGAGTACTATTGGATATTGGTTTCTCTAAATAACAATTAAGTCTACTTTTCTGTTTACTTTCTTGCCCGATGGTCTACTACTAACTACCCGGTACTCGCCTGCCTGTAATTTCTTGCTTGTCTGTCTTAACTACTCGCCCACTTTACTATCTATTCGATCTAATTACTCATCTACTCCCCTACTCCCTTATTCACTTAACCAATACTCTTATGAACTTAAAAATAAGTCAGCTAATCGTGTACAAACCTACCATCCTGCCTACTAATCCACCAATTTATTCATTGTTACACTAACCTATACACCCATTTTCTTATCCACCTATCTACTTATTCAACCATCCATTTTTCTAAGCTTTATCCATCTACAGCACTCTCACCAATTCTCGTATTCAGCCTTTCACCAACTCCTTTACTCTCCCCATCAGATAACAGCACTCAGGGACAAGATACTAACCAAGTACAAGAGCACATCGAGCATGACTTCACAGGACCTGATGCTGCTGGGGCGAGTGGTGTGCTACCTCACTCAAGACCAGATCAACGCCATCCCCTTGACTGCTTTTCTGTGCGTATGAGCTTAGTGTTGGGGGTAGGCAAGGCAGGGAAAGTGTTTAGTGTTGGGGAAGGGGAGGCAGGGAAATTGAAAAGGAATGAGGAGTAAGATCAAGGGAAACACAGAAACCAAGGCAAAGGTAAAAGGAAATTAAATGATAGATGGAGACAGGCTGAGTAAAATTAAGACACCTCAAGACTGAAATATGAAGCAACATAGCCAATAAGAGAAACAAGCATGGTTTCTTTCTTCCATTCCTGGGCCAGGATATCCTTTCCAGCCTTACACTAAACAGATTACTCACTTTTAAGCTTCTCAGTGCAGGCTTTTAATGTGTCTCTTTGTATTATGCCTACTTTACCCCAGTGGAGGATGCCATTTGTTAAATTATGCAAAGATTTAACCAGTACAGTGAAGGCTCCTACCCCCTTATGTCCTGAAATTCCTTTTCCTAAAACGTTTGCACTGTCTTTCCCACACTAGTGCCTTGCTTACAACTGGGTTGAAGACTAAGGTGGTGCATGCTGTTTCCTCTTTCTGCAGATCTTTATGCAATTTTTATGCTATGAGATTAATACCTTTCACACACCAGGGATTGTTTGTCCATGTACATCAGTTGACTGTCACAATGCTTTCATGGCCCTGGAATCTCTTAACCCTTCTAATCCTGATATTATTTTGGCCATTCCTCTTTAGACAGTCGAGTTTTGCTGGGCTTCCAATCATTAGTATAGACTCTTATGACACTTTGAATATTGCTGCTAAAGAGGCCGTTTGTTCCTTTCATATCGCAGAAGCAAATTTCTTCCTTGGCTGTACTTCATGTCATTCACATCGCATATTTTGCATCTGTTAGAGGTAGTTGATAAGCTATTACAAATTATGTATCATCAAATGTGACCTGTTCCCATGGCCTTCCTCCTGTCACCATAACAGGAAGCGAGGAATACCTCTGACTAGGTTAAGTATTGGCCACACACAATTCACTCATGGGCCTTTTAATGGAACAAAAATCTGTGTTTTACTGTCGGAATTGCTTTGTCCTGCTTACAGTCGTGCACCTCCTCTTAAAATTTTCAGCATGACAGAAAATTTGGCTTTCCCACTTATTTTTGGAGTCGTGTGTGTCTCGATAAAATATGATTATTTTGACATCTCGTCCTATATCCTTCTGTTTTCACATTAGCATCCCGAGTGATATCCAGGAACTTGTGAATATTGTGACTTGGAGGTTGCTGTATATAACCTTTCCTGTCCTCAATACTGTAAAACAGCTGTTGATGCTGAGCAATGTCTAATATTGCTACCATGTATATTGTCAATACAACTCATTGTACTAGAAATGAGGTAGTTGATAAGAAGTAAATTTATAAAAAGTTGTAGCAAACCAGTTACAAATAATACTATCATTATGCGTATCAAACACTGTTGATGCTTACAGCATTACATAGTATGCATGGTACAGCATTGCATATTACGAAGCATACATATACTGCTATAGCACCTACTGTTACTAAAAGTACAACTATATTATTACTAAACTACAACTACTGCTGTTTCTACAAGTGTAACAAGTGAAAGTGTAACATGTACTAATAACGCTGCTCTCTCTGGTCACCAGGGACGCCATGAGGTACTTGGGCATCCTGGACTGTAGTGGTCAGAACAGCACTGTCAACCTGGCCGCCAGAGCTGTAGCTGCCTACAGCAGTGACAACAGAAACATCCAGTACTGGGACCCTGCCACGGTGAGGGAGGGAAGGTGGGGGTGTGAGGAAGGGAAAGTGGGGGGTGAGGGAGGGAAGGTGGGGTGAGGAAAGAAGGGGGGTGAGAGAGGGAAGGTGGGGGTGAGGGAACAGTGAGGGAGGTGGTGACAAGGACATAATTATACCTGGTCTACACCATATAAAGAAGAAAACTGGTGTACTTGTTGGGACATATTGGACATAATTACAGCTGGTCTACCTGTTGACAGGTGAGCGAGATGGGACTCCTGATGGGTGGTCTCAGCCCAGAGAGCTTGGCCATGATGCCTGACAGAGCCTTCTCAGGTCTGACCTCAGCTGGCATACAATCTATTCCCCCCGGTGTCTTGAAGGTGAGTCTATCCCAGCCCCAGTGTCTTGAAGGTGGGTCTATCCCAGCCCCAGTGTCTTGAAGGTGAGTATCCCCCAGTATCTTGAAGGTGAGTCTATCTCGACCCTAATGTCTTGAAGGTGAGTCTATCGTAGACCAGTGTCTTGAAGATGAATCTATCCCAGCCCCGGTGTCTTGAAGGTGAGTGTCCTAGCCCAGTGTCATGATGGGGAGTTTATCCCGGCGTCTTGCTTGAATTTACCCGAGGGCCACCAACATGCTACTGGCCCAGATGAAGACAGGAAGCTGGCAGCTTGTCAAAGGTTCCCCCATTTATCCTGATGATTTTTTTTTTGGTGGATTTTAAAATTTAACAGTTTTTTGGCCTTTTTTATTTTCTGTTGGTGGTTCCAAGGATGTATAACCCTGTGGTGAAAAATATATACTCTATTTTCAGTCCTGCCACAATGGCTTGCTGAGCTTGACTTGCATCTGACCTTTTGAAGAAATTGTTTGGCTCAACATCCTTCAAACTGTTCCGTATTTCAAAGGTTTGAATGAGATCCACCTTGGCATGCCTGGTTTCCCGGTGTTGTTAGCTCCGAGGCCATTAACTGTTCCAGGTATGAGAGTCGACTTTGTTCTAGAATTGTTTTTAATGCCTGGTGTTGTAATTTCTGTCTTAAAGATGCAGTATTTCTGATCCAGTATTTTGAAGACAAGTCTGTTCCAGTCCCATTGCCTTGAAGGTGAGTGTATCCCATCTGCATTTCAAGGGTATAGACATTAATCGGTACAGAAAGTCAGTGGTAGATGAAATTTGAATACTGTACAGTGGTTCAGTGGTAGATTGTCATTGGGGAGTACAGTAAATGCAAGTTGTGAGTGGTGTTACTGAATGAAAGTGGCAGTGTTAGAGAGGTATCAATAGTTGTAATGTTGTCTTGTAATATAGTTGTTCTCTCTTCTCTCTCTATTTGGTTTTCCTTATAAATAAATTTGAGATAATTCTTTGTTTCTAATAATTATCTTTGTAATTCAGGACTCCAAATTTGCATTTGATGGCAACCAAAAAGTGGCAGCCAATACCTAGTCTCACACTACTGTCGCTATGCTTTTGTTGCCTTAATCCACTGCCATGAGTTTCACGATGCAGTGTGGTAAATACAACCGCAGGGTCTTTAAAAGTGTGGTTATTGTATAAAATCAACCCGTCCTCCAAAAATAACAATACTGTACTCTTAGATATTGTGTGTAAGCTCAAGTGCCTCAATGTATACCACCACCTGCAGGTAATTAAAGTGTCCCAGATCAAGAACCTGAGCCCCACGACAGCAGCATCCATCTCTGCGAGTCAAATGGCACAGTTCAACTTGGAGATGAAGGCAGCACTGCAGGGGGTGTTGCCATCAGCAGGTTATAGGTCAGGGTCGCCAGGTTAGTGACTAACACACACACACACACTAACAGATGAAATGCATTAGGCAGTGATGTGGTAGAGGCAGACTCCATACACAGTTTCAAATGTAGATATGATAGAGCCCAGTTGGCTCAGGAATCTGTACACCAAATGATTGATAGTTGAGAGACGGGACCAAAGAGCCAGAGCTCAACCCCCGCAAGCACAATTAGGCGAGTACACTGACACACACACACACAGTGTGTGTGTGTCAGTGTATATACACTATGATTTAATATACAGTACTGTACATGTATAGAAGGCATGTTTGTGTTATAAATATTTATATTACAGTATATTATTACACTGAATTTCTCAACATTACTATTCATATTTAAATTATTTGATCGTGTACACTATTTTCCATTTTCAAATTATAATTATTGCTGTTAATGGTGAACTATCTATAATGTCTTTCAGAACTCTGCTTCTCTAGCCTTTTGGGGGCTTTGGTATTGGTAGTAGTATTGGTGATGATGTAAGCCTACCTGGTTAACCCCCACTAGACCATCAGTTGCATAGACCTACCTGTATCAGCAGTTGGGTGGGCCTGTCTGCCAACCCCCACTGGACCAGCAGCTGAGTACTTGGTAACCTCCACAGAACTAGCAGCAGCTGTGTTTGCCAACCCCCACTGGACCAGCAGTTGTCACAAACACAACGAAGCCACCCACAGCCAATAAATATTCTTGGATCTTTTTAACAACTTCACATGTCATGTATTTCTTAATTTTCAAATTTGAATTGATTATTCCTCAGAAACAAATAGGCTTACAAATTTTAATAAAAATTTTGTCAACCGGATAATATAAATTACTTGTCAGGTGTTAGATATCATAAGATTTGCTAAACCATGAAATTCCTGCTGTCTTAATTTTTACTTATAAGAATCAAATAATAGGCCTAACTTCTTTTCATAAAATTACAATTGATTGCATGTTTAGATTTCCAATTAAGTTTATTTATATTTTATTTATACCAACAAATACAATTATGAAAACCATGTTATCTTTTAAATATATAACATAACTAGTATAAACATTTTGTAATGAATTTAGAAAGCCATTTTTTTTTTTTTTAACTTTTGAGATGTACAGTATTATATTGTATTTAAGCTCTCTGAATTGCAAAGTTTTAATGTTTTTGTACAGTTACTAGAGGGGATATCTGGCAGTGCCCATGTTTGTCCATTTTTCTCTCTCTCTACCTCAGTTTCATTCTCATCCATTTTCCATTTCTCTCTCCTATGTGCCTCCTGTTTTCTCTTTCCCCCCCCTTCATTCTCTCTCCCACTGGGCAGAATATGCTCGAGTAATGTCGAATTACCATTGAATAACAATTATTGATGTTCAATCAATGTTAACTTAATGTTACCAACTTTAAATCAATGTTATCAACATTGTACAGTTACAATGGTAAGCTAAAATGGATAAAAAAAAATTCTAACAAAAAAATGAGGGCAGTAATCAGAGGCAATGTATCAACTGGAGAAATGTCACAAGTGGAGTACAACAGGGTTCAGTTCTTGCATCAGTAATGTTCATTGTCTACATAAGCAATCTACCAGATGAAATACAGAATTATACTGACATGTTTGCTAATGATGCTAAGATAGCTTCCTGTCCAAAGTAATGGAAAATTATTACTGCCTCAAAATTTTTTTCATAAACCCACTTGTACAATTTATAGTACACAACATTTCAAACTTGATCAATAATGCATATGTATTTTAGAAATGATTACAGAATCTCACTTTTTATTTTAAATAATAGAGATAAGATTTTATCAAAATTATTTTGTGATGAACTGACAAACTAACTTTTACTACAATCATCTCCAGAACCTGGATTTTTTACTCTAAATCTAAGGTTCAGAGAGGAAATTAAGTAATCGGATTCCTGAACTAAGTCAACTCTATACCATGAATAGTTGAGGGCCACAGGCCTAACAACACTGCAAACCAGACATGACATGGCTGATCTCACTGAAACTTTTAAAATACTGAACAATTAGGAAGATATTTATCCAGACAACTTCTTTTAAAAGATCAGTTGTAACAAACAAAGCAATGGATTCAAGCTCAACAAACCTTCTTGAACCGATCAAGAGCAGCAGGTTTCAAACTTCAAACTAGTTATTTTACCCATGGATATAAATCTATTGAATTGCCTACCCCCCTCAGCCGTAAATGCCAAAACTGTTAAATTTTAAAATAAAGCTGGAAAAAAATCATCAGGGTAAATAGGAGGACCTTTGACAACCTGCCAGTTTTCTGTTCTCATCAAGGACACTAGGGAGAGTAGCCCTCAGGGTAAATTCAGGTAAACCACAATGTAAGAATGAAAACGGGATATTTTTTGCCCATAGGGAGCCGAGCGGACAGCACGCTGGACTTGTGATCCTGTGGTCCTGGGTTCGATCCCAGGCGCCGGCGAGAAACAATGGGCAGAGTTTCTTTCACCCTATGCCCCTGTTACATAGCAGTAAAATAGGTACCTGGGTGTTAGTAAGCTGTCATGGGCTGCTTCCTGCGGGTGGAGGTCTGGTCAAGGACCGGGCCGCGGGGACACTGAAAAGCCCCGAAATCATCTCGAGATAACCTCAAGATAGGGTTATGAACCACTGGAACTGCCTACCTGCCGAAGCCATAAGTGTCAGAATCATGCTAAATTAAAAATAAAAACAGCTTGATAAAATCATCAGGACAAATGGGAGACCTTTAACAAGCTGCCTGCTTCCTGTACTCATTGAGGCCACTAGAGAGAGTGACCCTCAGGTAAATTAAGGTAAACTATACAGGTCGTGAGTATCAAGGGTGCACTGTACAATTCGGTACTATCTACCAAATTTTGTAATACATATACGAGTTATTTGCTTTTCAAGGTGAAAATGTAAATAAAGATCATATAATAATATTGATACTAATTAATCCTCTTAGCTTGTTTAAACACTAACTACAACAACATTCTTATATACAGATAAAAAGTAAAGACTTAAGGCACTGGGCAAGTATTGCCTGTCAAATTATTAAATTTATTAATACTGAAAGTTATATGTAGTAATACTAAAAATTACACTACTGTACTGTCATCAGTATTAACCTGCTGCAAAATAGTATATATATCAGATTGGTACACTGTAAATCAATAGGAAAAATATATTCAATTTGAAAGTTGTAACAAAGTTACTACTGAAAAATAGCTGATGATGACTAATGACTCAATTCATTCATTATTGAGTGGCAAGGTCAGCTGCTGCTCCAGCAGGTGTTGCCAAGGACGGCAAGGTCAGCTGCTGCTCCAGCAGGCGTTGCCAAAGACTGTAAGGTCAGTTGCTGGTCCAGCAGGTGTTGCCAACGACGGCAAGGTCAGTAGCTGGTCCAGCAGGTGTTGCCAAGGACGGCAAGGTCAGCTGCTGGTCCAGTAGGTGTTGCCAAGTACAAAGCTCATTGTGTACTGGGTACATGTAGTATACCAAGGTGATGGTCCATGAATGCCTCCAAGTAGCTACACCAACACCAACACCAGCGTCAAGGCTCCCACGACCTCAGAGACATGTAGTCCTGAAAGCCATTTATAAACTATTTTTCAACTAAAATAATAATACTGTATAAATAAATAAATTATTCAGTGAAGGTGCACTGTGAGGAAGGTGGTGGGGAGGGGGGGGGGGTGAACACAAAGGCTATATGATAAGGAGAGACCACACACAGGTAAATGGGTTTTGAGAAAGAGAGAGAGAAAGGGCAAGAGAGGAAGAGCAAGAGCGAGAGAGCAAGAGAGAGAGAGTGAGAGCGAGCAAGAGAGAGAGAGTGAGAGCGAGCAAGAGAGAAAGAGAGAGAGAGCGAGCAAGAGAGAAAGAGAGAGAGAGAGAGCAAGAGAGAGATAGAAAGCAAGAGAGGGAGAGAGAAAGCAAGAGAGAGATATAGAAGGGCATGCTTGCACACATTCAGATAAACAGATCGCATGTAATTACCTAAGTGTAATTACAGGATGAGAGCTATGCTCATGGTGTCCCGGCTTTCCAACACTCTTATCATAACACTTTATAACTACTGACAGTTTTGGCCTCTGCCACTTTCTCACTTCACTTGTTCAAACTGTCTGCCACTCTGTTTACAAAAGTAAAATTTCTTATATTTCTTTGGCAGCTTTGTTTAGCTAGCTAAATCTATGCCCTCTTGTTCTTAAAGTTTAAGGCCTTGGCAATTCTATGATCACTTAGTGATCATATCACCTCTTTTTCTTCTATCTTTTAATTTTGGCATATTTAATGCCTCTAGCCTCTCTTCGTAGTTCTTGTCTTTCGGTACTACAAGTCATTTACAGCAGATGCATATCTTTGCACCATTTCCAGTTTGTAGATGTGCTTCTTAAGATATGGGCACCAACAATCGGTGCATATTCTAACTTTGGTCTCACAAAGGTTGTGAAGAATTTCTTTAGTGCAGACTATGAGTCGCAATGACATGGCTGAAGATACGATGACCAAACTTCGTTTCTTTATCTTCTGGTGTGTGGTTTGGTCATCAATTTCTTTTTTTTACCATCTATGTACTGTATTTAAAAAACAATTCTGAAATAGGAAAGCGTAGCATAGGCTACTCGCACAATGTTCTTTATGTGGTCCTCGGGTGACAATTTTTTTTGTCTAGAACCACCCCTAAGATCTATATCTTCATCAGAATTTTTTCACGCTTTTTCACAATTTGTAGATTGTGTGTGATCTATTTTCTCCTATTCCACGTTCCATAACATGGCAGTTGTTCACAAATTCCATTTGCCAAGTGGTGCTCCTAACACTTATTTTGTCCAAGTCTTCTAGAAGGGCAACGTAATCTTCTTACGTTTCTTATGTTCCCTAGTACTGTAAGTATCATCAGCAAACATGTTCATATAATTCTGTATTCCTTCTGGTAGGTTATGTAGACAATGAACATTGCTGGTGCAAGAACTGAACCCTGTGGTACTCAACTCGTGACATATCTCCAGTCCGATACATTGCCACTGATTACTGCCCTCATTTTTCTGTCGATTAGAAAATTTTTCATCCATTTTAAAAGCCTCCCTGTCACTTCTCCAGTACGCTCCAGTTTCCTGAACAACTTCTTATGATGGACTCTTTTCAAAGGCCTGTGCATGTGTGAGATGTAATTTGCAAGGACAAAAAAAGTCAAAGAGAAAAGCAAGCACCAGGTAAATAGACCACACACCTTGAGCTCCTGCCCCTGGAGGAGGCGAGGGTAGCATATCCTGCAGAGCTGCAACCATATCGGAGTTAAACTCCGCCATCTGATTTGATGAGATGGATGCTGCTGTTGTGGGAGTCAAATTCTTGATCTGGGACATTTTAATTACCTGTAGAAACTGGTATACATTTAGGTATGCAAAATTATACCAAGCTGGGGTACTGTACAAAAGGTAGCATAGTTCTAAGGAGAGCATGTTAAGCCAGTACAACAATATAGCACTTTAATTGCCTAAAAGTTTTGGAATTATTCATGAACACCGTCTGCTGGAGATGGTATACATTAAGTTACACAAGATTACAGAAGTAAGGAGGTCACTCAAAAGTTCAAGTTCAAATATGTTTAATGAGACATGAAAATACATCCCAAAGGGATAGAGTAGCTTAGGCTATTTCTTCCCCCCCCCATTATGCATACAGGCTTCCTGTCCTTGACAAAACCAATGAATTAATTTGGTCAACAATTTAAGTTTCAATGAGATCAGCCCTCTCATGTCTGGTTCATAGTGTTGTTAGTCCTGAGGCCCTCAGCGCTTTCTGGTATTAAAGATGACTGTTCTCTGATTATTTTTGTTGCTCTGCATTTATATTTATACAACCTGATATTGTAGATCCTTTTGAAAACTACAAAAAGTGCTTATACTACTCTGGTGTGCCCCATCTCAACTACTATAGCCACCAATTTCCTGTACCATTGACTCCGTGTGCCAGCATGGATACCTTCAAGACACTAGAGCCGGGATTGACTCACCTTCAAGACACGGGTTGGGATAGACTCACCTTCAAGACACTGGGGCTGGGATAGACTCACCTTCAAGACACCAGGGGGAATAGATTGTATGCCGGCTGAGGTCAGACCTGAGAAGGCTCTGTCAGGCATCATGGCCAAGCTCTCTGGGCTGAGACCACCCATCAGGAGTCCCATCTCACTTACCTGTCAACAGGTAGACCAGCTGTAATTATGTCCAATGTGTATCAACAGATAGATCAGTTATAATTATGTTCAATGTGTACATTCGAGTTTTAAGGTCATAACCACACCAGTCAACCCTCCTACATAAACTTCATCACCTATGCCAACTGCTATGATGGCTAGTCTTTAGTAACTTACACAAATAATAGATCAGCTGTGCCTCGCTTTTCCACTACTATTCCAATACTTTTCCACATTTTTGGATTATATGACTCGCCTGATTACCTTTTTAACATTGATATTGTGCTTGGATAGTGCTCCTGAACCACTAGCTCAAGCCATGAGGTAAGCAGACAAATAGTGTATGTATCGTATTTAACATGACCAACTGGATACAGTTATATTGTGTCCAGCAATTGAAAGCATGTACTCAGGTTTGTTCAAGTATGTTACAGTATTTAAATGCGAGTTTGCCTGTTCACAGTAACCTTAAAATAAGAATATTATACTCATATTAATATTCATTTCTCTGTGTTCACTAGATTTGGGATTTAATTAGCAGTACTGTATGAGCCTGACAATGAGCACATTCAACACTGCTTTATCCTTCCCCATCTTTCTTGCACACTACGATCTCGATCTCTCTCTCCCCCTCACCCTTACACTTATCCACTTTCTCACACACTCTTCATACCATCGCTTACTCACATGCACTCCTTCTCCCGCACCCTTACCCAGTGCTTACCGTCGCCGGGTCCCAGTTTCCGATGCTTCTGTTGTCACTGTTGTATGCATCGATGGCCCTGCTGGCAAGGTAGAGTGTACCGTTGTTCTCACCGCTACAGTCCTGTGTGCCCAAGTACCTCATAGCATCCCTGTTGATAACAGTAGTTTTAGTACTTTAGTGTGTAGTAGTTTTAGTGGTAGCAATAAGTGGTGGTGGTAGTAGCAGCAGTAGTAGTAGTAGGTAGTTGTTGTAATTGTGGTAACCATAATAGATACTGTAGTTAGTAGTAATACTGTAGTTAGTACTTAGCAGTAACTATTACTACTAGTAGTAATAATTACTACTAGTAGTAGCGATAATTACTACTAAATAGTAATAGTTTAATAGTAATAATAGTTTGTAGTAATTATCATTGTAGTAGTTTGAGTGGCTATAGTAGTTTTAATGGTAGAAGTGACAAACCAATGGTGATAATGGTGGTAGAACAGTAATAGTAGTAGTAGAATTAATAGTAGTTGTGAACAGTAGTAGTATAGTAATTGTAGTAGTAGAAGTAAGGATATCCATTAACAACTGGTTCCCACTGGCCAGAGAGTACACAGAATATGTTGGGCAAGTCGCTAAAAAGGCAGTTCCAGATTTTAGGTCTATTTGCACAACATGTTTTCATGGATTTAGGTATCAGAGTTATTGTTGAGGTGCAGAGCTGTGTATTCAAACAGAGGGGCTGTATGTTACATGAAGACAGAATTTGTTATAATTTAACTTCGGGTTTAGTTTTAGGTGAAGTAGTGGCCGAGACCAATGCATAGTTGCCTAAGTGAAATAAGAGTAAATTAATGAGTTATACAGATTTTGAATATGAGAGTGATAGACATATGCCATTTAGTGATAGAGAGAATGATAGACTAATGCTATTTAGGTACTCTTTAATTTTTTCTTAGTAATTGGTTAAGTATAATACAAATTCAAAAACTATTTCATTGCATTCCATGAGTTAGAATCTTTTACTTACATGGCATTTCTGCATTGGTGCAGAAATGCACCACATATTTCTCATGTGGTATTTATTGGTTCTGTTCCAGCCTTCTTAAACACTTGAGATCAGGATTAGTATTGTATTTTATGGTTGTGAAGATTCAGAGTACTGGGGACTGATTCAAACTGACTAGACTATCGGAGTCTATCAGAAAACAGACAAACTCCGAAGGACATAAACATTTAGTTTATAAGTTGAAAGGTGATATTGGAAAAATAATGTGTAGTTTACACTCACAGGAAAGCAGACAAGGGAATGGCATTGATCTGGTCTTGAGTGAAGTAGCACACCACTCGCCCCAGCAGCATCAGGTCCTGTGAGGTCATGCTCGATAAGCTCTTGTAATTAGTCAGAACATTGTCCCTGATTGCAGTCATCTGTCGGGGAGAGTGGATGAGGGTGGGTGAGAGGGTGGGCAAGAGGGTCAAGTAGTTGGACAAAGATTGTAAAAATAGTGGGTGGTTAGATGAATGGGTACTAGTTCATTGTGGATTGGTATGTGGATTGGACATTTGGACACATACATTTGTGATTTATGCATTTCATATCGTTATTTATATGGGGCCCATGCAACAGAAAATAGACAGACTGCGGAGGCCCAGAGGAAGCGCGCCACATGCAAAGCTAGAGCAACCTCCACCATACAAGTGCACCCAACCCACATATGTCCCGTGTGTGGGCAAACCTTCCAGGCCTAAATTGGTCTCATTAACCATATTCAGACACACAGCCACTGATCTTCGACCTAATATTGAAGTTATGGTCATCTTTAACTCTGAAGCATGAACATTGCTGTTATCCTCTGTAACTGTATACATTGTTATAAATTCCTGTGTATTTTTATTTATACTTTGATTAACTTATGTATCCTAATTATTTTAATATACTGTCTTTTATATCTTAAGTCAGTAAGTAGGAAAACAGATACAATTACCTTACCTCCCCCTCCCATGAGAACCATCCCCCTCAGCTACTCACCGCCTCATCAGACATGGAGGTCATCATCCCCATCCAGAAGATCATCTCCTTGGCTGCTGGAGTGTTCCATGTGGTAATGTTGTTTATGTCATCCACAGTGAAGGCCTGGTAGATGTATCCAAGTCTAGTCTGCTCCTCCTGTGTCAGGTTACCCTGGCTTCTCAGTTGCCTCACCTTGCCAGCCAGGATCTGGAAAGGTCGTCACACTTGTAGGTAAAGGCTCACGGAAAATAATGTTCACACTTGTGGATGTGAAAATGTCACTTGTAGGTATGGATATATATATCGCATTTATTGAAAGGAAAAAGCCTCCTATTGACAAGGGAAAATCAGTACTTTCATTTTAAGGGATGCCGCATTTATTATCAAGATATTATTTATATCTAATGCAAGCTCAAACTTGTGAATACAAGACATATTCATTAAGTGCAGGCCATAATTTCAGTATCACATACCACTATCAATACCCTCCTCACATTCACACAAATATACTCCAAGACATGTCTATTGTCACAGTCATGTCCATGCCCCACTTAAGACAGTCCTATCCTTGCCCAAGTCCTACTTCCCATAGCCTTATCCATGCCCATGTTCCACTTACCACAGCCTTATCCATGCCCATATCCTTGGAGGCAAGGTCAACCAAGTGTTCCTTCACCTCTTGCAGCTGAAATTTTCTGATCTCTGCAGTGGTCAACACGGTAACTCCTCCACATGATATTTTGTCACATGCTGTGGCAGTGCCTCCTGCAGGATAACAAGAGAAAAGAGAAGTAGTGTGTGTATGAGAAGCAAGCACACAAGATTTGGCAAACACGTGAGGAAAATCAGGATCAGTACAATGAATATTGGTTGCATGATAAACTAGCCATTGTTGGTGGCAACAATCAAGGAGGGCCAGGATAGCAGCAGCAAGAGTGGAAGGGCCAAGGAGAGCTACAAAACTAGTAGGAAAAAAAGAAAAGAGGAGTCAGTAGAAGAGGAGGAGGAGAAGGAAGATAGTACACAACTCTGGAAAGTGGCCCATGTACACCAAATAATTTTTATTTATATTTATTTAATTTACAGTCATGTCCAGCAAGAGAGAAGAGCATGAGTGTCTTGGAACTTATCCTTGGAGTCGTCTCACTCACAGGCTCACTTTTGTCAAGTTTTGAATTGAGATTCATCGGTTAAGTCAAGACATTTTCATATTTAACAGGTTTTCACCAGCATACATTCATTAAAAAATATAAGTAGAATTTATAAATAATACATAACACCATAATAGCCAAATACAATTAGTCAGACTGTAAAATTCTTCAACCATAAAAGTCACTTTCAACCACAGACCATCGGATATTCATGGGACCTAAATAACAATACTTAACCTTAACAGCAATGAACCACCAAAGACTGTTACATTTCTAGGCCTAACAACCATGCAGAGCCAGTCATAAACTGATAATCCTGGACCTTAACACTCATGGAAGTTAAAAAGCCAGTCACATTTACTGTACATGTAACATTAACAGCCCTGTGCAACAGCAACAGAATATTTCTTGATCTTAACCAATCTCAACCAGTCATAGGCCATGGAGGAGTTGAGGGCCCTTAATAACAATGCACAAGCATTCACCGACTCACCTGTCTGCCTCAGCTTGATGCATCTTTTTGCCTGATCCATTGCGATGCTGTCTCTAATATTCATGGCACCAATCTTACACACACCCTGTAAATATGATGGATTACTGATGCTGCTGTCAATAATGAAACTTTTTGGTGGTGCCCTCTATATTTGTGGTGCTATCTCAGCTGGGAGTATTATTGGTTCTGCTTTCTATGTTGATTCAGTTGGTGCTGTGCCCATCTCCCTTTTTATAAAAAAAACATCCCTTCACTCCCTACCGAAAGCATTCTTTTTCCTGCTTCTTCCTCGTGTTTTTATCCATTTTCTCCCTCTTCTTTGGCTTCTCTCCCTCTTGATTATTCCTATTTCCTCTCCCTTCCTCTCTCCCTCACCCCATTCTCTTTTTTTTTCCCTCCCTCCTTTCTTCCCCCCTCCCTCAACCTCACCCTATCTCTCACCAGCTGACCATCCTCAAAGGGGGACATCATAATGTTGCAAGACGTGGACGTGTAGACCTCATCCGGAATTGTCATCAAATTGGTGCTTGGTAGCATTCCCAGGAGGCAACTGATGTCACTTGCATTTTTCCAGGTGGTGGTGGGCCTGGAAGGTCAGAGGTCACAGTTAAGAAGTCAAGAAGAATTGTGCCAAGACTCAACATATAATGTGGTTTAACTCCATTAACTGAACATGCTCCACTTAATATGGGTGAAGAACCAATGATACAATTTGGAGTGTGAGTCACTGAGTCAATTTTGGAAGAAATCCTATGGTTGGAAGTGAAGGGTTTTGATGAGTTTTGTTCAGTACAGTTTTGAATTTGGCTGCAAGAAATGTTAGTCAGAAATTGTTATGCAACCATATCTTCTCTAATTATTTATCAGAAAGAGTTAATATAGTATTTTATAGAAAATCCTGTTAAAAGAAAGATTTGGCATGGGAAACGTGATGGGGCCTTGTTTATTTCTTGTCATGATCCTATATTAGTAGAACAATCATTAAGGGGAATGTATTCTGAGAAATACTGGAAAGAATTGAGAACTCTTTTTATAGACAGGTTCTCATGGTATTTTTCCTTCATTTAGTAGATTAAAATAAACATTTTTTCAGCAAAATTTGACCATAAAGCATGGCATTTAGTATTTCACTGATGTGAAAATGGAATGCCTACAACTTCATAAATCACAATCAACTGATCTCTAGGCCAATGGAACACAGTTTCTCCAAACGCGGAAAGATGGTATCGAACAAGGAAATAGAGAGAAGGATGGGGTAAGGGGCTAGGCAGAGGATGAAAGAAAAGAATTGGGACAGAAAACAGAGAATAAGATGATATGCAAAATAGGAGGAGAGGATAACAAGTTGAAGAAAGAAGAGAGAAGAGGATGATGATGACGGAAGAATTAGGTGGAAGTAGATGAGGATAACGTGGAAGTAGATGAGGATAACGTGGCAGTAAAAGAGGATAAGCAGGAGTGTGGTCCTTAACTTCCAGGAGTGAGACTGGCGTAGCATCATACTGAACAATAACAACTTCTGGAATTTCTGTACACTTTAGTAATGACACTTTGGAATGATCTCTCTTAAACGGTAAAAACCTTGTGGAATGATTTTTCCTTCTGATCTTCAAGAGTAATACTTAGCAATAACCTGAATGGAACATTTTAAACCCCTTAACTAAAAAAATACAGCGTTGAATGTAATTAAATATCATTTTCTGGGAGAGTCCCGGAGGCTTCCCGGAGCTATACCAGGCTGATATGTATGTATTCGCCCGTGGCATCAGTCAATTCGAATGGAGCTCTAAGCCTACCAGGCGACTACGAGCCAGAACCTGCCCCCCCTCAGAGAGGCACGAGGCCTATAGAAACCCCCATGTGGTTGGAAGCATTCTATGTCTGCCATCTATTAGTTTAGGTAGAAAGAAAGGTAGGCGTCCAAAAACAGACCCCAACTGGTGAAAAATTGTTATTGAAAAGCAAACTGCTAAGCAGAACTCCACAACCTGAAAACAAGCAAACAAACTCGCTTCACACCTGCCTGTCTACGTAGCTCCCCCCTCCCTGGGAGGTGGAAGGGAAAGCCCCAGGCCCCACGCCGGGTCTGGGGGCTCCGACAAAAGTCTGACATGGGCCAGCAACTAAACGAAGCCACCTGCAGATACAGTACAACTGCAGTATCAGCAATGCCAAATATTTCTGATACTGCAAACAGCAATGAAGCAAAAGGGCGACAAAAACCTAAGAGCCAGGGCCCAAGCAGATTGGACAGTCTGCCAACCAGGATGACTCCAGCCCCTCGTAACACACCCAATAAGGAAAAGTTGCACCAAACTCAAATGAGGGAGGATCCATTACCGAGGCAAAATTCGGGTCACACAGAAGGTAAGCCACAATGGCCTCCCAAACCTCCTTAGGCAGGATGTGGGAGGCCGAAAACCTCTGGAAGGAAGGAATCGAGGAACACAAGTGAACCCAGAACCGAACCCAGGGAGGAGCTGTACCCATATCAATCTCATACAGGGAAGGAGGATAAGAAAATCCCTCCCCCCTGTAACAGCAAACCCCGCACCGAACGGGCTCTCCACAGAAAATAACTTATGGAATGCCATACATATTATGATCCTTAGGAGCAAGCTTTAGGAATAACTTGACCTTTATTCAACTACTCTGTAAATGACCTTACCCTTTAGCTTTGACAAGCATCTGACCAATCTGTTGCTGTTGTGACTGGTCGAGGCAGGGAGGCACCGCGCTCAGGAAGGCTTTCTGTAGACAGGAGATTTTTTGTTCATCCAAAATTATACAAATATTTTATGCCATTAAAAATATTACATATAAATTAAGAATGCAGATATAACATCTGTAACACTCATAGTAAGCACAGTTTCTGCTTGTTCCCTTTGTCTTGACACAATTTACAAGAGAAGTTTATGCTCATATGAATATGTATATTCATGCATGCATACATGCCACATTGTTAGTTTCTCATTGAAGCTCAACAAGTGAGAGCATCTGTTAAAAGAATGGATAATTATATTCCTGTAAATCAATAAATTTAAATTCTTAACATAGCTAAGACTGCATTAGGAAAGGAAATTTCGTAGTGCAAATTCAAATGTAAATGCATAAAATTAAGTTTACATACCACACACACAATATGAAAGAGTCAAGCAAGCAAGAACACTAAAGGACAAACAAATACAATGATAAACTAACTTGCAGACGCTTGATAAACTCAAAGGAGGCAAACTCGTCCATTTTCTTCAAGTTATATGGGCTGAGGTCAAATGCACAGTCATTGAGGATGTTTAACTCGCAGACTCCCACCTTTGCTCCTGCAGCACTTACCTAGAGACAGAGTAGGGCACGAGGAATAAAACAAGAGGAATTAGTTAGCTTGGTTAATCATATTTAAATTTCATATGTTATCTACACTTACCTATGTCTACTTTAGAAGACTCTTTTATACATGACTAGACGGGGTACCTAGGGAATACCTGGATTGACCCAGTACCCAAGTCAAACCCACACCCTTCCTCACCTCCATACATTACCCTCCCCTGTCTCCACACACACACACCACCTTCCTGTCTCCCCACACCACCCTCCCTCATCTCTCTTCCACACACCCTGCCCCATCCCCATCCACATCTCCCTTCCACACACTACTCAACCTCCCTACCCATAACCCCCCCCCACTTCCTCCCCCCCTCTCTACAATCCCCAACCTACCTCTTCACCCCCACTTACCCCTCCACATATTCAACCCATCCCCCCCCCTGCTCCACCATCCCTGTAACAGTTTTCCTTGCATATTATCTTGATTACTCAACAAATAGTTGCCATTAGAAAATAAATCTTTTATACAAATGCAAGAATCTGTGGACTCGAGGCTGTGTTTCCCCCTTCATGGGGGAGGGGACATTCAGCCAATCCCAACCTCCCCTATGACACTCACAATAAAATCACCATTAATTAGGCTAAGCACAAGCATCTGGCCTCCACCTTCAAACATCCTTATAGATATAAATGGTTAACTGTGATAGAGAACTCATTAAATACGAGCTGAAGTAGATTGTAGCAGCAAGACAAAAAAAACATGACTAGCATACACACTCCTGAACACATTCTAGCATAAAATGCCAACATGTGGACATTTAAATTTATAAGATGGCTAGTTAACTTTTCTTTGATAAAGTGATCAATCTCCACATAAGCAATCTGGCAATCAAATAGAGGAAGGTTTCCTGATGTAGTTAGCAATTTGTTTCATAGTTTGGTAAACTGAAAACAGTTCTTGGAGGAAGACTGTTCCATTACCTCTTGTTAATTTTAAGGGCAGTTCACCCCAGTATTGGATTGATCTTTGATCACTATATGCTCCCAACCCCAGGTATGGGACATAGCAAAAGGTTCTCAAGTAGATGTGATTTAATAATGCATTTTACATTAATAAGAGAACAATAGGGTATGGAATAATGGTAAGGAAATACGTTTTTACATTTTTTTTTTAATGCACAGGTTACTCCATATAGGAGTGTTTTTCATATCTTAGGGGTTTATTCACATCTTATGTGAATACATTTAGTTGGACTCAAAAGCTGGCAGTTATTTATTTCTTGTATGATGCTCAGTCGCTTCATCTTATGTACATGTGCTTGCTCTCCATTATAAATTATGATGCTTGTGAATGTTCGCTTACCATATTGCCAAAAATAGAGTTAATGAAGAGTCGCCTGCTGTTCCGGGGGATGGTGGAAAGGATGCTGTTCTTGCACATCTGCATTAACAGTACTTGCTTCATCTCTGCATTCAGCACTTGCAGGGCGATGTTTCTGTTAAAGAGAATTAGTTATTCAATTAGTCAACTAATTACTGCAAGACAGGATACAAAAGTTAGAGCTTATCCCATACAAACACACACAATAAAGTTACTATTCTTCTGACACTTAAGGATGCTGGTTCAATCCCACTGACCTGCTCCATTACTGTGATGTCATTGTGTACAAGTTCTCTGAGGGTTACAAAATAATAATACTGATCAGTACTTTTTTTTAAAGTTATAGTTTGAATTGAAAGGGGAAACACTGTTAGATAAAATGACACAAAATGGACATTGTACATTCAAAACACCAGATATATTAACTAAAAATTGACTGTCTGAAAGTTTTGGCAAGCACATACCCATCCCACGAGCGGTAGTGGAAAAGGTTAGAGACAATTAATGGGCTTGACCAAGAAGAACATCACAGGGTCACCTAAAAATTATACCATTTCATTTTATACAATTACAAGACAAACCTCTGAAGAACTGCAACTTGAGTCTATCAAAAACAAGAAATGAACTGCATCTCTCACAACGCCTCAGATCTGAATCCCTAGATTTAATGATTCATAACATATTCTTCCTAACAATTACATACTTCACAGATGGCAATGTGCTTTGTTAAAGTATTAAAAACATAAATATCACTTGTCATCCTAAAGTCTCTACTACACTCACCCCATGCTAACAATGACACATGGGGGGATGGTTGTAACATCCTTCAAAAAGAGCTGCTGGCCAACATCTGACAAAGATGCGAGTCCGGTGGGCATGTTAGTAGCGGCCCAGTCCATCAGCTTGTCTCTGAACACTCGGCACTGATGTTGAGAGACGAGAACAATACGTGAATAATCTCGAATTTATTGACAAGAAAAAAAACAGAACATGTAACATGGTGTACTGATGTTCAGACTGGCACAAGCTGATTCTAGTCGTAGGATATTGGAACGGTAACCACTTCTCAAAGCAAAAGGGATACCAGAGCATCAAAGCAAAAGGAATACACTGTACTTTTTAATTCCAAGTGCAGTGGAGCAATGTTTCAATATGAATATAATACATTCACCATTATGCAATATGCTAAAATATATAGAATTTTACATTGTCTAGAATATTTAACAGCATTTGATAAAATTTATTAGCTTACTGCTGCCGTGGATAGTGCCTTGTTTGTGGCCTGGATAGCCCCAAACACACGAAAGAGATCACTTGCAGACACTTTTTGGGCATCAGTGGCACTCATGCAGGGTAGAAAGTCCATGCCTTGCCTGATTACTTCAGCAGAGATGTTATTTGTGCCACCAAAGATCAAGTAGGCACCTCGCAAACACTGTATGGAAAGATGGAGCTGTTACTAGCTGTGGTGGTGATGGAGACGGCAGTAGGTATGGAAGGAGTGAGGACATCTACCTGAATATGCCTGTTACTTTGTCCGTTCATCTTTTATAAGTGCATTCCCCTTCCTCCTCTCCCTTCTGCTCTCTGTACCAAAAGAACCTCTATTCTCACCAGAAATAATTATACTGGTTTACAAGACAAGATTTTTATCCAAAATTTATTAAGCTATAAATTCTATGGTGCCATCATCACAAGGGCTCAGACCAGCAATATTTAGAAAGTAGTACAGTGATACCTTCATTTTTGTATTTAATCCGTTCCCAGAGATGGTACAAAAACAGAAAATATGAAAACCATAAATACGAAAACCGAAATAAATTTTCCCATAAAAAATAATGTAAATTGAATTAATCCGTTCCACACCCCCAAAAATATTAACTAAAAGCCAAGCCAATCTGGCTATCTGGGTGCAAATCCTTCTGGGATGTGGAGTTTTCAGTTGCATATTGACTTGGGGACCATTCAAGCTTGTTTGCATTTGTGTTACTCACATGGCCCCACAAAGTGAGGCGATTCGATGAAATATCTATGCCCGAGTTGACCATCGAGCGCTGTCGGATCTTGGATATAAATAGTCTCACGATTATCACCATTGAGTTTAATAAACTGTAAATTTATTAAAATCTTTATGAATGCTGGCAAGTCACGGCTGCCATGAAGCATATCACCTTAATTTATAACATAACTAGTGATCAATGTGTAATTCTTTAACAAGAAATCATTGCTATTACAAAACTAACTATCTTCTCAATGGTAGCCACAACAGGACTTACTAGAAGGGCAACCACAAGGTACTCAGTGAGTAACCTCATAACATTAATTAGCTGGGTAACTGATTAAGACTTACAGGAAGGGAGAAGGGCGACATATTCTTGGACAGCATTGCCAAAGTGGTCGGGTCTAGGCCTTCTATCTTTCTGGTAGAGGCGTACTCCTTAAAGAGCGGGGTGTATGGGAGTAGTTCTGTGGTTGTCAACTGAAAGCAATTAAATTGCTCATGGTTAATAAATTTGCCAAAAATAGGACATGAGAACGAGGTGCTTATTATACCTGTATATGCAATGCCAGCCAACTTTAAACTGACAATTATATACTGTAGCTTGAAAATTCTGAAATAGTTATTTGTATTATATGTTAGACCAAAGTCAGCATATGCCACCACATGGAAATATATCAACATAAAAATCTTTGGAGAAAAATTTATTTATATATGCAAACACACCACACCACATGACAATCGTCACGTGTCCTGTATCACCAAATATAGAACACTATGTGAATGTGTGTGCCTACATACACATGTGTCTACATGCACAGAGTCAATGCTAAAACCATCAAAAGCTTCAAACCATCTTATGAAAATAAATTACAGAAGTACAGGACACCACAAGCACAGCTTTCACCCTACAGCTACACTTATCACAGTGCTAGATTCAAATCAAAATTGAAATTCAAATGTTTATTTAGGTAAAATACATACATACAAGGGGTGATACAAATATTGATGAATTTATAGATAGAGCTAGTACATACAAAGCCTAAAGCCACTATTATGCAAAGCGTTTCGGGCAGGAAAAACACTAAAGACTAAAACTTAATACTTATTACTAATTGAGATTAAAATGGATAGAATAAATTAACCGAGAGGGTAATGTATAACAACACCATTGGAATTTTCAACATTCTACTGTATATGGCAAATATTATAAGATGGGACATCATGAGCTTAGTTACTATCTTATATCTACAGTTAGGTAATTACACACGGTTTTAAATTTAAAATAGCAGTGCCATAAATGCGCTATGTGATAAAACAAAAAATCTATGGACCGAACACAAAACTTGAATGGAGAGCATGTGGGACTGGGTTGTGTTTGGTGAGAATGCTCTTGGAAGAAACAATATGAACTAAAGTTTGATGTACAAGTGTGTGTAATGTACTCTGGACCAGAGTAACAGGAGCTATTGGGTAGAGTTGATCTTTGCATCGAAGGGATTCTTGCAAACACCTGGCTGGACCAGTAGACGATACAGGTCTGGAATATATGCATTATTGTGGGGCAGTTGGCAGCACGAGATGAAGAGATCATGATCCCATGTTCCATTCCTGAAATACTCCTATATTTATAACCATAAATTAATAAAAAATCACCTGTGACATAATTACGTCGATTTGGTAAGTTGTCAACCGCTGACGTGTCTCCTGAGCTTTATCAACAATCAGTTTCCAGTTTGCCTTGTTCTGATCCTTGAGAAGATTTGGGCTAATATATGTCTTCAGGGAGTCACTCAACAGGCTCAGGTAGAACACTCCATTAATAAATGTCGTATCCATGTCAGCTTTCATTAGTGCATTTATCTGAAGAAAGATGCCATGGGATACATTGGTATTTGTTTATAAAAAATGGAACAGCAATGATGAAATTGTCTACTTATTAGTAAAAAATAATATACATTTATATAAATAATCAAACAGTTGAATGTCGGGTGTTTTCTAAAGTACCGTATGTCAGTGCATGGTGGCCAGGGACGTATCTAGAAAGACTGGTTGGTTCTGACTGGAAAATTTATATGGTTACATCACAAAATCTAATGGATTTAGATAAAAATTGTGGGAAAGGGTTTGAAAATGTTGGATTTTCCAGGAACATTAGTTGTTTGGTCGTAGACAGGTCGAGATTAGTTGGAAAATGGTATGATTAAGCTATTTAGCTTTGTTAGAAATTTGATTGTATTAGGCTGAAAATTAATGGTTGGGTTTTAAGATTTAATTGGTTGGCAGATTTAGTGAGAATTGGAATAATAAGGTAAAATCAGTTGAAAAATTATTTAGATAATAGATGGAAGTAAACTGTTAAAAAGGTTAGAATTGGTTGCAATGGTGTGAGTGGGTGAAACTGATTGCAGTGGTGTAAATTACTGTTACTATTTTATGACAACACAAGTACTGTAGTTGGAAATGCTCGAAATGGTGCATCATTGAAATTATGGAACGTATTTAACTATTTATTGGCATTATGGAATTTGGTTGGAATAGATTCAGTTTAAGACTTGGAACAGTTGTAACTGCTTAGAATAGTTAGTGCACCTACCTTGGTTGAAAATTCAGGTCCCTGGACCATCATGATACTAGAGTCCATTGATGGAAGAACTGTATTCAACAGTCTACGCTTGGCAGCGGCCTTTAGGTAACACGCAGGAGCCCTCATCATCAACGGCCCTCCTGAATACAGTATACGTAATTTAAGATTATCGAGTACATTCTAATACAAAGTTATATAAAATACAATATAGTAATGACACCCAACCCACAGAGTTGAAGATGACACATTGCTGATATTTTGGCCCATCCTACAAGAGAAATTGTCTAATATATATATTTTTTTATTTATTTATATTTTAGTTACAGTCAGAAGGCAGGATATGTAATATTCATCCTCATATTAATATGACAATAAATTGGTATGTCAAGTCATCATTATAATACACAGTTTATTTTATATATTATAAGTAAAAACATTTTTTCTGAAGAATATTTGTAAGAAATTTGCCAGTCACATCCCTCTATACAACTTTCTCAAGATAGAAACAAAAGTAAGGAATTTACTTGATAACACCAGTACAGTATCTCCTTGTACAGTACTGTATACTTTAATAGTTCCACTGTATTTTTTATGCAAGATCTGTAGTGCAATGGCAAGCAGTCAGCTCAGAAATGAATGATTCAGGACTCGATAACCTGGTAAAACAAGGTGTTAAACATGCACTTTTACATCTGATACTTCTCTTCTAGTAGTATACTGTGTACTGTACATAAGTCAATTGTTGTGGGATGCATCCTGAGGATGTTTGGTCCTGGCACTGGGAAACCATAATACTAAGGCTCACAATGTGTCTAAAAAATATATGGCAAGTTAACAAAACAAATTCAAAATATATGGAGTTAGCTCCAAGCAAATTGTGCACCAAGACTTCATCACAAGAATATTGTGGTTGCACCTGCTGACTACAGGATGAATGCTTTTGGATGGAGAACCTTGCCTAAAATCTACCTCTGTCCAAAACATACCAGTTCTTCTCTACACCATATTGGAGGGTAACAAACACATTGGAGAACCACAAAGGTGGTGGCACTCACCCAGGGCATCAACATCCGACTTGGTGATGGTGTCGACAGTCTTATTCATCAGCGCATCATCGAGAATGATGCGAGCATCCTAGGAAAAGAACACAAGAATAAAGTATACTAATGAAGGCCTATTGGCGCATATAAGGCAACTCTTATTTATATCCAACCAAGCTCATATGTCTAACTTTCCCCAGGAAATAATGAGCAATTCTACGATTTTAAGTCACCCAGAATTTGTGTTAAATAAATCAACAACTCTATTTCCAAGGTAAGGTGATTATGAGGAGAAAGCACTAATCCAAAATTGAGCACCTGGGGAAATATGAGAAGGTGGGATATGGGGACATGAGGAAGGCAGACTCAGACAAGAGACAGACATGTTTCTTCATGTCTTGTAGTGTCTGCTGATACAGGTTCCTCTCTTAAAGTCCCCTGATGTGTTATTTTGTCCTTAGCATGTTCTAATATTTCTAAATATCCTTTAGTGTTCTCTTGCGCTCCTTGATGTATTCTCATATTCCCTGATACATCACCCTGTGGTACTCCCAATGTTTCCTCGTATGCTATTTGGCAATCCTTGGTTTCCCCGGGTCACTTCTGGGGCACTCAAGTGTATGTGGATATCTTCTCATGATCTCTGGTGATGCCTAAGGATTTTATCTTCGTGGCATATCTTTGTATCTTTACTGTATTTGACATTCCATTATGTTCCCTGTATCTTCTTGTCTTCTAAGGTATCCCGCAGGATTCTCTGGTACTGTATTTCTGACTCCTCAGTGTCTCCCTATTTTCTTCTGGTATTTTGGGACATTTCCTGGAATTCCTACATACGTGCCTATATTATGTAATGATCAAACCACACAAGAAGATAAAGAGACGACAACGTTTCGGTCCATCCTGGACCATTACCAAGTTGATTGTCACAATAGACTTGATAATGGTACAGGACGGACTGAAACATTGTTGTCTACTCATCATCTTGTGTTTGGTTTGACCATCATATCTTCATGACATTATTGTGATTCATCATCCGCCTATAATATGGCCTTGGGTGCTTTCATTTAATGTCTGTTTGAGGCATTAATGTACCACCAATGCCTATGATGTCCTCTTGTGTCTCTTGGTAGTCCTTAGGCGATGTAGTCAGATATCTTCCAGCATACTATTGAGTATTTGATAATATATCTTAGTGAGTCTTGGATTCCCCTAATGTCTCCTTGAATATCTAGAAGTAACCTAGTGTCCTCCCTGACTTACCTTCCCTCAAGGGGCCCCTTGTGCATCCATAAGTTCTTACCTGGGGGTTGATATCCTTGCCCCTAGCCTTGGAGTTCGTGTAAGCTATTGCCTTGAGAGTGGGATCAGCTAGTCCGGCTGGTGACAGATCTGATGGCCCCACACACACTTGCAGATTGGCCAGACTGTTGTACCATATATTGTCCTGTTGAAGGGGAATACGTGGTCATGGTGTGGAGTTATGGTGCTTAGGTTATAATGTTGGAATCTGTTGTGAGTTTTATCTTGATTTGACAGCTTCAGCACCTTTTGTATACACCCCTTGCATGTGCCATTCATCTGTGTGTATACTTCAGTCATAGGCCTACCTGCCTTCAAGTTATACCAAAAGAACTTTCATGCTCTTCATCTTTAAAAAAAAAAATACCTACAATTGATGATTAACTGTGCAATCCTTCATTACGATAATAATGTTGACTTTACAGTAGTATGGTGATCAAAACGCTAACATAATGAAGTGAGGTCTCAATAGTGCAAGGTCAAGTTAGTGCCTTTTCAAGAATGTAAGAACACCAATGTTATGTGCTCTCACAACCCAATGTGCCTTCTTGTATATAGATAAATAACAAAATAAAATATCAGAACAGTATTCCTACTGCTTACAATACCAAATCTCATGTTGGGTTTTTGCATACATTTATACGTCACTTAGATTTAGGTAACTTGTCTATCTCATTAAATGGTGTCTAATCTCTTAAAATAAAAACAAAGTAAGCTTAGTCTATAATCTCTCTATAATAACTAGAAAGATTGGCAATAAAATACACAATCAATAATATACATTTTCCAAATATATTACTGGATGGTAATAAGCAATTTTTGAGAAGAGTTTGGAAACTATAGTCAGAGTCCTATGTTGTCTACTGAGGTGAAGAGAGAAGTCTTTCTCCTACAGATGTTGCAGATCTAATGGATTTAGCTGGCCAACACCATCCTGCATTGCCGGGGACAGGCTCAGCTCAAGATAACAGCCGGTGTACCGTGCACAAGGTGAGGGTGTGTCAGATGACAACTCTACGATTTTGTTGATTCTACAACTTTCACTATACACACATGACAGTATCTCACTAGATACCTTTTTTGCATTCATTTGCTATTTGGTAATTTTTTATTTTTTGATGTGGCACTTGATTTTTTAATGCAGATTTCAGATTTGTAATTATGAGGGAACATTACAATAACAATGTGCCGGGATTTTCAAAATAATAAACAATTACAAAAAATACATTTAATTAATTATAATTTATACTCTCATGCTCTGCTATACTTACAGCTGCAGCAGTCATGACGGTACACTGCTCAGTCCGGCATAAAGCTTGCTTCCAGTTTTCGCAAGTCCGGAACCTTGTGGCTGGAATGGGCACCTGTAGAATGGAGAAGGGTAGTTAGGCAGGTAAACAGGAAGCTAGGTAAGAAAATAGGATCATAGAAAAGATGATAGGCTTTGCTATTGATAGGGTTTGGTCGATAGGTGATAGGTTTTGTTGGTAGGAAGGTAGATATATAGTTAGGTACACAGGTATGTCGGTGGATAGGGGGACATGTAGGTAATAATGCTAGCACTGGGGTGCTACAGGGAATGGTAATAACAGTGAATAGTACTGAAAATAATAGTGAATGCAGTGGTGACAATATTAACAAAAAGTGGTTTCAATGGTGACAAAGAAAGTTAAAGTAATACAATACACGTGTAGTGGCAGTTGAGATGATAATGGTGGTGACAGCAGTGACAACACTGTTGGTGACAGCATAAGAGTAACAGCTTTGGTGACATGACAGTATGAATAGTGATTACAGTAGTGGTGACAACGACAATAATAAGAATACAAACAAATACAAACACTGTCTCGCTCACCGAGACAATATCCGCCTTCTTGTCCTTAACAAACGAATTAGTGAGGTATACGATAGCGTAGTCCGGTATTATGCTGACATTACCCATGGCTCTGACAGTGTCTTTATTCCAGGTTGATGGAGGCCCCTTTAGGCGTTGAACCATCATCTGTGTGAGTGTCCACAGGTGCTCCACATGTGGGCAGTTGGGGTCAGGATTTGCTGATTGGCACATTATCAGGATTTCCATGCTGTTGGTGATTATTTTAAGTTACAGTATTTGGATTTATGTATATCACTTAACTGATATGTTACGTGTTGTAACATATCACCTCACCCAAATGCAGGTATAAAAAATCAAAGATGTTTAAGCTCTGTTCAGTCATAGTTGTGTGTGTGCAAACTAAAGTCTTTGAAAATGTAATAAGTTTTACGAAACGCGCTCAAGTGTTGCGTCAGACTAGAAATAAAAATGAATTTTGGAGAATTGATTTTTCAGTTACCATCAACAGTGAAGAAAAATGTAAGAAACATTGAGAAAATTCGTGTTAGAATTATTAATCTTACTTTTTCGGTCATATTTAATAATGTATATGACTTAAATAGACTGTAACTAGTTTAACAGTGTTACTTGCTTAGCTAATTGAATTTGGGGGTTAAGATCCTGAGGGATAAATATAAGGATCCACTACCACCCACAGGATGGGTACTGGGTCCACTAATGCCCACTTGAAGGGTATCCTGGGGTCCACTACTGCCCACAAGAAGGGTATCAGGGAGTCCACTACTTTCCATGGGAAAGGTATCAGAGGGTACTGCCCAAGGGAAGGGTATGGGGTCTACAACCAACCATGAAATTGGTATGGAGGTCCACTACAGCCCACAGGAAGGGTATAGGGTCCACTACTGCTCAAGTCCTCTGCTTGAATTGCACCTCTATAAATAATAATAATAACAATAATATTAATTTACAAGGTACAATGGGTATCTGAGATTACATAAGATTGGTATTTTACATTCTTGCAAAGCCACTAAGATTAGATTAGATTTTTTTATTCAGGTAAAGGTACATACATTGAGTTACATACATAATGTTGGATTTAAAGATAGAGATAGTACATACAATACCTAAAGCCACTAGTACACATAGCATTTTGGGCAAGGTGAGGGGGGGGGGAAACACTTAGACTAAAACTTAATAGTAATTGAGCTTAAAGTATAAATTGTGTTGAAAAAATACAAAATAATAAAAGGGGAGGAACAAGGCAGAGAATAGCAATTATACGAGTTGGTCAACAAACAACATTGATTACAATAGTAAGACATGGGTTGACATTTAGGGGTAAGGCAGGTTACATGGAGTTTATTAGATAGTTTTTAGTTTTTATCTTAAACTGGCTGAAAGAGGTACAGTCTTTGACATGACTGGGAAGTTCATTCCACATTATGGGTCCTTTGATTTGCAGAGCATTTTTAGTTCGATTAAGTCATACTCTTGGAATATCAAATAGGTATTTGTTACTGGTGTGGTGCGCATGGGTTCTGTTATAACCTTCTAAGAAGCTTTTAAGGTCATCATTGACATTACAGTTCAGAGTTTTAAATATATAGAGTACACATGAGAGGATGTGCAGTGACTTAATATCTAACATATTTAGAGATTTGAGTAAGGGTCTGGGGCCTGAGTTAGATATTGTTCTAATAGCAGCTTTGTGTTGAGTAATTAGAGGACGTAAATAATTTTGGTGAAGAAGGTGGTGAGCAAGGGGATTCACCTTCTCCTAAGAAGCAAGAATGTGCTGGAGACACCTTACTCGGTGTCTCCAGCTCCCCAGCCATACTTACACCGCCTGGGCAGTAGAGTCGTTCTGGACCTTGTCGAGGCAGACGGGCAGCTGGAAGATGACTGGGCCGAGGTCAGTCACGTTCTGAGGAGACCACTTGGCGGGGTCACCCAGCCTTGACACCAGGGTCACGGCCTCGCTCACTGTCAACTGTCACGGTACTCACTGTTAAAACATTACCTCTGTGCTCTCTTCATCTTATGCACACCTATATCATAAAATATCTGGGACACTAGATATACAAAAGTATTTTTGGTAGAGAGACACCGACCTACCCGGGCACTGCCAGATAGCCCCATCTATTTTTTGTATCTATCTTTATCCTGTTCTCTCTGCCTCTCTCATTTCTTCCAATTCTCTCTTCCCCTGCCATTCTCTCTCTCTCTCTCCCTCTTTCATTATCTCTGCCTCTCTTCCTCCCTCTCATTCTCTCTGCCTCTTTTCCCCCTGTTTTCTCTGTCTTTATCCCTACCTCCCGTTCTTTCTGCATACCACCCTACAGTTTTCTATGACTGTCCCTGCCTCCCGTTCTCTCTCCCAGTATTTATTTATTTATTTATGCATATACAAGAATGTACATAAGGAATGTGAGGATACAAATATGGTAATTACAGTCTTGTAAAGCCACTAGCACGCGCAGCGTTTCGGGCAGGTCCTTAATCTAAGAAAATTTTAAGGAGGTAAATACTTGCAAAATTTATAGACAAAAAAATGATAACAGATTACATGAAATTAAAAAAAAAAAAAGAGGATGAGAGAAAATTGTAGGTACAGTATATTAAAGCACATAGGTAGCTAAGATTGATTGCAATGACAGCTTAAAATGGTAGTTGACAACAAATTGGTAGGCACAATACAGCAGAAACAATATAAGATTGATTGCAATGACAGCTTGAATGGTAGTTGACAAAAATTTTGCAAGCAGTAGGCAAAGAATATTCTAATAATATTCAACAAACGACGTCATCTACATTCTCTGTGTCGTATATATATGACATACCTGGCTGATATCATATTGGGCCAGGCTGATGATTTCATCATTTGTCATGTTGAGGAGTGTCAGACGATCCAGCTCGTCCAGGAACCTCTGGGGGACCTTACCGGTACCCATCGCGATCAAGTTGGTGACCTCTTTCTTCTTGGCCGTCATCAGAAGAGCAGGCTGAAGGAGAGGAAGGAGGAACTATCAGGGAAAAGCGTCAAGCCATTACCACTATATAGCACTGGGAAGGGGTCAGGATAAGGATTTGGGATGGGACGGGGGGAAAGGAATGGTGCCCAACCACTTGGACGATCGGGGATTGAACTCCGACCTGCACAAAGCGAGACCGTCGCTCTACCGTCCAGCCCAAGTGGTTGGGTGTAGGCTGAAGGTGGGATATGTAGTCAGGTTCGAAGAGTAGGCTAGTAGTATATGTGTATTCATTTATTCGTGCTTACCTGGAAACACAAACCGAAACTGTCTCTATTTTTCGCTTGTTACAACTTGTAATAAAGTTGTTACAGCTTGGCTTAACGTGTTTATGACGTATTAAAACGTTGTTACAACTTGCTATATTGGTTGTTATAACTGGTTAGGAGGTGTTAAAACTTGTTCGAACGTTGTACCAACGTCGTAGTTTTGGTGTGTGTTTGGCGGGTTGCTACAGCAATCAACTACTGATAGCTTGCTACAGCAATCAACTACTGCTAATGATGGTTTATTCACCGAGAAGAATGCTTGAACTCAAGAGGAGAAAAATACAAGAGATAATGACAAAAAACTTACTACTTATAAAAATTAAAAATAAATTATAATTATCTAAACTTCATTTTCAAGACCACGTAACTCCTTTTTTAGGTTATTGATACTTAGTACAGACAGCATATAGTACAATGCCCATATATGCATCGCTAGTCGCCCATTCTATAGACAGGTCTCTTCACAGAAACAGAAATAACCTACATAATGAGAGCACAATAACGTGATATATCTGCAAGGAAATATTTGGAGGAGGATGAGGTCTGGGGTGACCATGACTCGGGTTCGGGCCCACCGTCCTGCTCCCAAGATTGTCACAGAAATAACCTACATGTATCTCTCTCCAGCCGTCGGCAGGGATCTTGTTCAGCAACTGTGTCACTGTGGCATTCGAGAAGGATTTGTTCGTCAGCCATCCTTTCACATCGTCTGAAAGGTTCTGGAACCGCTGCTTCCTGGAAATAAGTGGCTTTATCACTTAAGCTGAGAGAAGAGGTTTGAAAGCGTGAACTAAAGCTCACTGAGGTCCGCCTTTGTCAACTACTGACCTTCCCCGTGATACATCGCACAACAATGGTACTTATTACTAACTGAACACATGAATCAAGTGAAAGGAAATGTACCCAATCGTCTTTGCCCTGTAGGAAATTTAAACCCGGTACCCTCATTTATTTATCACCCAATATCCCATATATTAATCACCAAATATCCATCCTGTAAGTGGCTGTGGAATAGTTACAGGAACACATAATGGACTCAGGAACTGAACTATCAATTTAACTGGTTTTCAAACATGTAAGAAAGTTGCTGTTGTCCTCGGTTAATTAAAGGATATTAATATTAGGTGTTTTGCAAGAAAAAAAGAAATGATCAAAAGGCACTAAGCCGGAGAGATTATTTAACGTTGTTTTTTGCAAAGGTTATGGTATGAACAGAAAGAGTGGACTTTGAGTTGATAACATAATCAATGTGTTGACTGTCGCTCACGTGGAAAGAGTGTTTAAGCGTGCTTTAGCCACGGGGAAGTTACCCTCCCCGGGAGGGCCTTCAACACATGGTCCGGGTGGAGGCGGGTCACTAACCTCAACCAACCCTTAATAAACACAAAGGAATCACAATGACATGAAATATTAATCACAAAATTGCCGGTGTCACCTCTTAGGTGGCTTGATCTTCATCAATCAATCAATCATTGCTACCAATTCACGACCGAAAATCACATTCACCCCAAATATTTACCACCTGAAGTTACTCTTTTGGTGTCTCTTCCGGGGTGGCTTAATCTTTCTCTCATCACAGGGTAAATGTGGAGAGAGATGAAAGAATAGATGGGGAGGGGGAGTAAGGGATAGATGGGGCGTATAGGATGGATGAGGTGATAAATGGGAAGTGGAGGAAGGAATAGAGGAGTAGAGGGAAGAATGGAGAATGCGGGGGAGTGAGCGGAGTGTTGTAGTAACCATAACATAGTTACAGTAACCCGGGCAACACTGTACACCTACTTTTATTACTATTGACCAGTGCCAGACACGCTAACATAATTTGTTGACACCTTCCTACCCATACCTACTTCCTTCCTCCCTGTCCCGCTCCCTTAATACCTACATCCCTACCTCCCTAGAGAGGTAGAGGCGAGAGATAAAACAACTTGGGGAGAAGAACAACCACCTCGGGCGTCGACAAAGACATATTACACAGAGCATCTGTACTGAGGAGCACATTAACAGACTGTCTTCTGCGGCACAACGCAAAATTTACACATATCTGCAATGCGAAATGTGTACAAGGTGTCGACTAAAACGCTGTGTACTGTGGACGTTGGACGAACACTTGAGTGGACGAGACCCGTCAGAAAGCTTCACCTAGTACAGCTTCTTCCCAAACTGAAAGATGTGAGCTGCAGTCGTAGACTGCAAGCACTGAATTCTAATTTACTATATATGATACAAAATATATAATAGACCTGATCACAATATGTAATTTTAATAAGGAAATCCAGTCGCTCTCCTATAGGATCTCTTGTATAAGATCTTTACCAATTTGCTATGTCTTTAAGTACGTATTATGTATGCTGTTATATATGTAAGCATATATTTACGTATATATATATACACACAGGTGCACGCACTGCTATAAATAATCACTGGTCAACTTACAGTGTGGTTAAAGCCTTGTTGAATAGCTGGTATGTTGTGGCCCAGAAGCTGGAGGATGAGAAAGTGTTCCATTGTTCAGCGAACCAATTGCCTTGTACCGTCGCTCCCGCCACTGTCAACAAGAACACACCAACAGTTACAAGTGATGATGGAGACAGTAGGTACCATATACTCGCCCTGCGCCTCGCAAGTCATTACGGCTGGAGTCGCGCCCTGACCAGGAATTAAAGGATCGAGTGGAAACAGATCACTGATTGTTCACCCCTGTTCATCAACCAATAACTGGGGACCTGAGTGTAAACTGATTGGCGGGGCGTGTTGTAGGGAACACTAGTAGGGTCAAGCTTAACATGAGCTATAGGAGTCTCCGTGGTGTAGTGGTAAGACACTCGCCTGGCGTTCCGCGAGCGCTATGTCATGGGTTCGTATCCTGGCCGGGGAGGATTTACTGGGCGCAATTCCTTAACTGTAGCCTCTGTTTAACGCAACAGTAAAATGTGTACTTGGATGAAAAAACGATTCTTCGCGGCAGGGGATCGTATTCCAGGGACCATAGGATTAAGGACTTGCCCGAAACGCTACGCGTACTAGTGGCTGTACAAGAATGTAACAACTCTTGTATATATCTCAAATATCTCAAGGAAGGGAATAGGTTAAGTAATAGGTATAGGTTAAGTAATAATTGTAATTACGAAGCAATAGGATGCTTATCTTAACATACTAAGAAGGTTAGGTAAGGTCGGTGTTTTCTATGAAGCTTTTCAAGGTAAACTAATATGTTTAGTATGTCACATATGCACGTATTAAATAAGTCAATATTGACTATACGAAAGTGTGAGAACGGGTTGAAGGGAAAGCTCTAAGTCTGATAACAGGAGCCACAAGTCCTCTACTGCTGTAACCACCTGTGTAAAGACAAAATAATAAGTGAAGAGACTTTGGAGAATAATTATAACGACAAAAAAAGAAAATTATTTGTACAGGCAAACAGAGTGGAAAATAATACAATAAAATATAACAAATCTATTAATAAAATATATAAAGAATGACGGTGGCCACAGTTCACCACCACTATCTTCATCACTGTAACTCTCTTTACTATACACAACGTTCAACACAAAAACCATCTACACTACTCACGAGCAGCATCTTCACTACACAGACTTCCTGACTCTACCCACCTTCTCTACATATTTATATTAAGCAATATGCTTCATCTTGCTTCTGGCAGCTCCTAATATGTAACCATCACCTTGAAAATAATATCCTGGATGAATCTTAGTGAGGATGAGTCAGGTAATTAGTGAGGTGTAAAGATGGTATCATCTGTCATTTGATATAAAGGGAGGCACATGGGGTTCAACTATGGCTTGCCTATGACCATCCCCTAATGACCTCCAGTCACCCTGCAAAGTTTGTCTCACACGCTTGGCCTATCGGAAATAGACATTAAGAAGCAGTGAAGGAATATGGGACTGTAATACCCCCTTCTCTCTCAGCCCCTCTTTCCTCTTCGTTCTCTTAACGAAGGGGACTCTTCCTTAGTCTTAACTCTTAGGACTCTTAACTCTTCCCCCTTTTCCCTCTCCCCTCCACCACTTGCTTAGAGCTTCTTCCCATTCTCTCATAAAATACAATACTGAGAACCGATGAAACTATTGTGTGTCTGCAAGGAAATAGTTACGATCACTAAAAACTCTTAGGACATCACAACCAGTATTTCACTAGACCACACTTGAATCTATGAAAATCGGATGGTGTCAATAACAACTGATATTTTATATGTAACATTATTTTACATGCAACATTATGTATGTAACTCAATGTATGTACCTTTACCTGAATACAAAATTTAAATCTAATCTAAATCTATTTCTTAAATTTAACTTAAGCCTACCCCGACCAGCCTAAGACCACTACAAATTTGAGTAAGGCTTGTCGGTGTCTGGCCTCCAACTTTGGACTTATGGGACGTGTAAAAACTAAATTTTATCCAACTAAACCTCGTCCTTTACGGATTAATTCTATCATGTATAGCTCAAAAACAATAATTAAAATTACACACTGCTAAGTGAAGAGAGGCATGAGGTGAAAACAAACGTGCCCAACAATTTCTGTCCTTCAGGAGAATCGAACCCGGGGTTTCCCGACTGTAAATGGAGAGCAAAGTCAAGTATATAAGGAAACACAAAGGCAGTACTCACTGAAGAGCAGTGAGGTCACCGCCAACACCCGCCCGTTCATCCTTTTTCGTCCTGGGGAGAAAATGTAAAGGCTAATTGTAGCTAGAATATTGAAATAAGAGAAGTCACTAATTATATTTGTATAAGCAAATACTGTATATGAAGTTTTCTTTTATTTATTTACGTATGTCGGTGAGTGGTACATTCTTGCAAGGCCAGAAACACGCATAGCAAGGCCAGTAACAAAGACCGCCCCGGGTCCGGCGGAGCCCCCCAAGGTCAGGAAGCCCTGGCGCGGAGCCCCCCAAGGTCAGGACGCCCTGGCGCGGAGCCCCCCAAGGTCAGGACGCCCTGGCGCGGAGCCCCCAAGGCCAAGAACCCCTGGCGCGAAACCTGTCTATACTAACTCATGCGAGGCAGCTCATGGTCTATTTGGCTTCCCCTAAATAATGTCTGGAACAGCAAATCTGTTAGGTTTATCGAGGTCCTCTTAGGTCAACGAATGGCCTTCCTCAGGATCCAGCCCACAGTAGTTATCTAACTTTTGTGTACCTATTTATTGCTAAGTATCCAGAAGCATCAAGTTTTAGGAAACGTGCTCAAACGTTTCCGTCCTGACAGCGGTGACCACTGCGTCACCCAACCAGACTCACTCAAATATGTCTAACCTACTCTTGAAAGTATCTTGCAATCCCACGTCATTTATATTACTTGGTAATTTGTTTCATAAATCATCTTATCACCAAAACACTATATTTACTAAAGCCATTTCTAAATCTAAATTTACGCCATTTGCATCCATTGTTTCGTGTTTTATTTTATTTCTGGCATCTAAGATGACAAATAATGTTATTGTCTGAATAAAGGTGTTAATAATACCTATCTGAAGAAAATACACGGACACAAACCCCACATTCTAGCTGCCGATTTCTCGATCCACACTATGTCTTGAATACTAATTTATTGAATTGAAATAGACAGACATAGCAGATAATTACAACTTACAGAGCTCAGAAAGTCCGCTTACAAGTCAGTAGAATAGGTCAGGTGGAGCCATTGTCAGCACTATAGAGGGTGTCATTATTAGCAGGACTCAGCACTAATGAGAGTCAGCACTAGCGACAGCCATGAGGGCAGGACAGCAACGCGCATACCACCAGACACCTTTCACTGGCAGCCACAGCGGCTTGACTGACAACTCGTCTGGTATGACACGTTGACAGATACTGTTTACTTCACTCCTCACCTCTCACAGACCCGCCTGCTTTACCTCACCCCAGCAAGTGTAAATAACCCATGTATTTCACTCTTCTACAATACTCTTTCTTCCATTATTGTTATAGTCTATAACACAAACACACACCCATAATTTTTTTTAAATTTAGTTAATTTATTATGCACCCCATATCCATCCTTTGGACGGTAGTGTTAAGGGTTATGTAGCTATATGACCGAACCTAACCAACCCTATTTAACCTAACCTAAACTAATATAACTAAGTCAAATATTTATGTTCTTAACATATTATAATAATACTATTTCAAAAAACGAATTGGAAAGATTATTTTGAAAATAAAGAAAATCACTCGGCCTATTAGGCAAATCGGACCTTGCATAGCAGGCCAAGAAGTGTAATATTATATACATATATGTCGTACCTAGTAGCCAGAACGCACTTCTCAGCCTACTATGCAAGGCCCGATTTGCCTAATAAGCCAAGTTTTCATGAATTAATTGTTTTTCGACTACCTAACCTACCTAACCTAACCTAACCTAACTTTTTCGGCTACCTAATCTAACCTAACCTATAAAGATAGGTTAGGTTATATATATATATATATATATATATATATATATATATATATATATATATATATATATATATATATATATATATATATATATATATATATATATATATATATATATATATGTCGTACCTAGTAGCCAGAACGCACTTCTCAGCCTACTATGCATGGCTCGATTTGCCTAATAAGCCAAGTTTTCCTGAATTAATATATTTTCTCTAATAATTTTCTTATGAAATGATAAAGCTACCCATTTCATTATGTATGAGGTCAATTTTTTTTTATTGGAGTTAAAATTAACATAGAAATATGACCGAACCTAACCAACCCTACCTAACCTAACCTAACCTAACCTATCTTTATATATTAGGTTAGGTAGCCGAAAAAGTTAGGTTAGGTAGTCGAAAAAACATTAATTCATGAAAACTTGGCTTATTAGGCAAATCAGGCCTTGTATAGTAGGCTGAGAAGTGCGTTCTGGCTATTAGGTACGACATATATATATATATATATATATATATATATAGTATATATATATTTATATTATATATTTACAAACTCTTGATCCCTAAAGGATTCAAACCCAGTCAACTAGGGCCTTCATGCCCCCTTGGCATGTCTAGTACTGTACTATATATATACTACAATACTAGTACTGTACAGTACTGTACTATGTACTATGTATATCCACTCAGCCATGGACATGGCTCGTGTGGATATACAGTACCAGTATAGTGAATATATGCCAATTTGAAAATATTAAAAAAATATAATTTCCATTGGCTTTGAGAAAGGGGCGGGGATGGTAGAGGCTCAGTTTGAATTTACATATTTTTGTCCTTTACAGCTGTAGTATATATATAAAATATATATGTTCATTTTTCCAATGTCAATGCTTAATGTGTTAAAATTCTATACCAAAATAGATCTCTTCCCTCTTCTCACCCCATAGAAAAATTAAATATAATAGTTTCCTCTGGCATTTAGAAACTCTATGAAGCTGTAGGAAAAATCCTGTTTTATGCTACTACGGGCAAAGTATGAATAATCTTTTTGTAGTTTTCCAGAGATTAGTGCATAATTTTTCATATTACTATTAGAAAAAAAGTTTTAAATTTTAAATATTTAGATTTATTTAACTAAATATAGTTAAATATTTAGTCAGGCATAGAAGGCGGGCAGTAATTGGGTCAGTATGTAGCCATGTAATGCTATTTGATACTGAAGTTATTTCTGGGATGAATTTTTTTAATTATATTCTTTTAAAGGCAGAGTATTTTATAGAATTCTGAGTAAATTTTTAAATACTGTACTAAAAATTTATATATCATCCCACAGAACCTAAAGATAGTCAAATGTTTACATTTGGGTTACTGTTAGCTATCATATTAGAAAGTTTAGGTACTGTTAGCTATCATATTAGAAAGTTTGGGTACTGTTAGCTATCATATTAGAAAGTTTAGGTACTGTTAGCTATCATATTAAAAAGTTTAGGTACTGTTAGCTATCATATTAGAAAGTTTAGGTACTGTTAGCTATCATATTAAAAAGTTTAGGTACTGTTAGCTATCATATTAGAAAGTTTAGGTACTGTTAGCTATCATATTAGAAAGTTTAGGTACTGTTAGCTATCATATTAGAAAGTTTGGGTACTGTTAGCTATCATATTAGAAAGTTTAGGTACTGTTAGCTATCATATTAAAAAGTTTGGGTACTGTTAGCTATCATATTAGAAAGTTTAGGTACTGTTAGCTATCATATTAGAAAGTTTGGGTACTGTTAGCTATCATATTAGAAAGGAAACTTTGTAATATTTTTTATTGTCTTTTAATTGTCAGGATTTATCATTAAATACACAAAACACACTACTTCTATCAACTTTGTAATTTTTATTTCATTACTGTATGTACAAACTAGAAATACTATTTATATATACATCATGTACCACACATTTAATGCATCAAAAGCCCCAGCATATCCTAGAAAACCAAAAGTATCATGTTTACTACTTAATACTAAAAACTAGCATATACATACCAGTTCTAAAAAGATTTGACTTGATTCTACATATTTTCATATGCACAATTATGTTAAAACCTATTATAAATACTGTATTATAATTTATTAGCATAGAAATGCAAATAGTGTACACTGTAGAGATCCCTCAAAAGTTAATAAGGACGTGTTGCAAACTTTGTTAAATTGAAGAGGTACATAAATATCAGATAAAAATATTAAGCCATAATGGCTACGTAGTGCTGACTGTGTTACATAATCTCCGAGAGTTCCTAGATATCATTAGGAAAACAGTACAAGAGCAAAAATGCATAAGACAAGTGATGTCACAGGAAGGACAAGTTATGAAAGGTATCTTGAAGACATTTCGTTATGGGGAAAAACAAGGTTACACTCCTTGTTAACAAGAAATCTCTCTCTAACCCTATTAAAAAATCTATAGTGGTTTCATTTTGTGATGTATAAATTATACATCTATGTATAAATGTTACATCATATACATTAAAACTAGTATAAATTATGCACTAGGAATTTATACTAAGGAAGATCCAGTAAACCCTTGATTTCTCCAAATGTTTGGATAACTGAAAATCTGGACACTAGAAAGGGGAAAAAAAAAAAGAGATTGCTAGATGTAATGGTGCTCTAATATGACTGCATCAGTAGTTAGTTATTCAAATGCATGCCCCTACCTCGCCATTCCTTTCCCCCATCTCATCCCAAATCCATATGCTGATCCTTTCCAAGTGCTATATAGCCATAATGGTAGTAATGGGCTTGGCACTTTCTCCTGATAATTCCCCCCTGCCTTGGATTATTGAATCCAAGCATCGAGACATCTTCAGAAAAACATAGCTTCTTTGGAGAGAGTTCAACACCAGGTAAAAAAAATAATTCCAGAACTAAGTAAACTTTCATACCAGGACAGGTTGAGGGCCATAAGGCTAACACTGCAAACCCAGACATGATAGGGCTGATCTCATCAAAACTTAAAATAGTGAACAATTTGAAGAATGTTGATACAGACAACTTCTTCAAAAAGTCAGATGTTACACAAACAAGGACCAACATTTCAAGCTCAACAAGCCACAAAGTAGGACTGAACAGATGCTTTTTCACCCACAAGGTTATGAACCCATGGAACAGCTTACCCGGTGAAGCCTTACATGCCAAAACTCTATTGGACTTTAAAATCCAGCTTGAAAAAATCTTCAGGACAAATTAGGAGACCTTTGACAAGCTTTTGACAAAGGTCTCCCCATGATAAGCTTATGTGACTCATTTGTGATTCTTAATCACCATCAAAGATCACTCATTCTGCTATCCTTCACTTTGAACATTGTTCTTTGTCTATTTTGCCAATTCATCTTATTGTTTTGCACTCACTCCTGTTCTCAAGCAATTATTTGCCGACTTGCAAGCCTTCCTAACAAATGTCCATGATAAATTAAGAATGATGACCTATGAAAAGTTAAGATAAGAATTAGTAACTAATGGGGGATCCCAGTATTAGTTTTTCTGTAACAGCTGAGGCATTTGCCTAATAATTATAAATTGCTACACCTGAGATATTACTTAAAAGTAACACAAATTCTATTACAACTTCAAACTGACATATGTATGTTAGTCAAGATATGATTATTTTTTCAATTGAGATCTGATGACAGCTGTGAAGCATGTGGAACACACATGCCAGGAACACCTTAAGAAACCTTTACTTGATTTTTTACAGAAAGAACTGTGTAAAGATGTCCTCAGCTACACAGGGTTATTTTGCCATTATCTTTGTTTCATTCAGTAACGGAAACATGCTACTTCTCTTTAACCAGAATAATATGATTACTCGTTTGTTTCATAGTGCATTATGAAGCTGAAGCAAGAGGCATAAAATCATATGTACATATATTCCAAACATCCCCCACAAAAATCATTCTACAAACACTGCTACTGTAATTGCTTTTAGTGAAGATTGTGTGTAGTGAGGATTATAGCCTGGGTGAATACCGGGTGCAGTGAAGGTAGTGTGTGTACCGAAAATCGTGTGTAGTGGTGACCTGAAAAGTTTTGGTATAGCACATAGTGAAGCTAAAATTTGAAAAGTGGGGGAATTGGGGGCTGGTTCTCCACCTAGATATCTCTGCTAGTAATAAATATAATACAAAACACAAAAATTAAAACATACATACTGTAACAATCTTTCTGAATGAAACAAATTATGTACTGTACAATTATATAAGGATGTCCTATACTATCAACAAAAGGATCCCACTTTAGTTTCAGAATGAAAAAAAAGAATGAGAACCCTCTGTGGTTATCAAGTAGTCATTAGAATGAGGGAACCCACTATAGTCATCAGAATGAGGGAACCCACTGTAGTCATCAGAATGAGGGAACCCACTGTAGTCATTAGAATGAGGGAACCCACTGTAGTCATCAGAATGAGGGAACCCATTGTAGTCATCAGAATGAGGGAACCCACTGTAGTCATCATAATGAGGGAACCCACTGTAGTCATCAGAATGAGGGAACCCACTGTAGTCATCAGAATGAGGGAACCCATTGTAGTCATCAGAATGAGGGAACCCACTGTAGTCATCAGAATGAGGGAACCCACTGTAGTCATCAGAATGAGGGAACCCACTGTAGTCATCAGAATGAGGGAACCCACTGTAGTCATCAGAATGAGGGAACCCACTGTAGTCATCAGAATGAGGGAACCCACTGTAGTCATCAGAATGAGGGAACCCACTGTAGTCATCATAATGAAAGATCATTTCCATTATCATAAGATAATTGGTTGGTAAATAGACATTATTATTTATACATTTAAATCCCTATAACCATGGGTTATAAGAAATGTACTTTGTTTCCAGTTTAAATACTATTCAGAATTTTCTGTAATGAATGGCAATGAAAAGAGAAAGATTGAGTCTCGATCAGTGTGGTGCATCAACTTTAAATATTTAATTACGAATATGACTTTTGATATCTGGAGAATGTAACAGACAGGAAAATTATACTGACTTGCATCCAGCAACTGAATTAGAAAGCTTAGTTACTGTTGTATGACAAGTATTTGACTGTCACACAAGTGGAACGTCTATCGTACATTCGGCATGAACACCAAACTTTCATGTACTGTATTGGTGTATTTAGGTATATTGCTTAGACCTCTTTGATTACGATTCCATATTTATCCCTAAATGATGCATCAGCTGCACATGTAACCACATATTACTATGCATTAACCAGCAATATCAAAACAAAGATAACAGCTTTTGCTTATGCGTTCTTTACACCCAACTTTCACTCGAGTGTAAATTTGACTCTCCCAGACATATTATGGAACATCACCGATTTTTCTTGTTCTCCACTTGCCTCTGGTTTTGCTTTTGATTGTTTGGAGCATCAGATGGCAAAGTATTTTCAAGATCATTCTCCAAGCAGAACAGCTGCACAGCACAGCGACGGGGAAACCATCCTCTGTGGCGGAACGAGCTACTTCCCCGAGGAGCTGCCGAACAGTCTTTCAAGTTAATACGTTCACCGTAGAGCCAGTACCTAGGAACAAAACGTTTACTGAGCAACTCGCTTCAACAAACCGCATGCAGTAATATAAAAGTGGAAGTAATTATCAAAAGCCACTATATAAAGAAAGTAATTATCAAAATTAAATAATATAAAAAATAATTATAAAAAAGCACCAAACCAGAATAGCTACATAGCACTGCATTAAAAATAGGTAGTCAAAGTTTCAATACTAAACTGTGCCAAAAACATTGGCCAGGGATCCTTAACCCCTGAACTGCGCCAGGGTTATAAAAGGCATTATCTCGGAGTACAAGAAATACAAAAATTAACCAAAATAATTTTGTCTTAATATACTGCTAAAATGTCTGCCCATGATCATTGGAAAATTACTTAAAAAAATTGTAGGTAAATTACTTTGGATGTAGTGAAATAATGAAATGTCTGTCACAAAATCTTGTCCTCTGATGAAGCAAGTGCCTGGGTTTGGTCATGCCTGGGAAGAGGGGGGGGGCAGGGGTGTTTGCCACTCCCATTATATATACTGTATTGTTTTTCTTCACATTTTTAAGGGTAGTCCATAATTTGTTCCAGTGTAATGATACACTAGGCTGTCAATAGGTGGAATTTTTATTACAGAACATGTGGAACATTGGTTGATATAGATACAGGTTGTCACTAAAATTTGCATCATATTCTTAGAACGATATAACATACTATTTTCACTGTTATCAAACATGTACATATATGCTATTTATGATTATATGTTTTAATACCGTTATGTACCACTCAGAAGTTCTGGAGGGCGTGATAATCTTGGAAGCAGATGTCCAAGTAAAGCTTAGCCCACCATACACTATACCACGTTATTATTGTGTACCATCGATTTTGCTCACGTTGGACCTTGCCACAAGCTCCAACAGGTGATAGATACACAAGGTAGTGTAGAAGCGCAGCATTTTGTAGAGCGAGATGCTAACAAAGTAAAGTGCTGCTCACACCGCTCTCTTCCAAGCCAAGTACATAATCTTTATCAATCTCAGAATCATTTACAAGCTCATATTCATCCAGTATGTTAATTATTTCACTATCTATAAGTGAAAATGTCAACCGAGCTACAAAACCAGGGTGGAGCGTGAGCTGCACTCGCTACCCATAATTTGGATCTTGACACTACTGGCCTATAAATAAAGGGATATACCCACAATTTTTTTCCAAGATGGTGTCTTTTGACTGGAGGCCCAGGCAGTGGATGTGAGCCCTGTGTACCTGTGGTAGTTTTAAATGTAGTTTGATACCTAAAACCTCTACAGATTTAAAGTGCACAATGTGTCAAACATCTAGGAATGTTATGCACAGTGCAAGGGTTAATTACCATGTTGAAGTGAGGGCTTGAGAGGAACTGAAATTTTAATTGTCCTTTTTTGGTGGAAAAAAATCAATTTTTCTAGTAACTAAAAGTCAATGGTTATGGTTAAGGTTGCTTTGTGCAATATTAGCCATTTCTAGTCAATGGTGATGGTGATATTTGGGCCACAGGACAAGCACTAGCAGCTGATGGGATATTCAACACTTAATGTTAATGATTAGCTTTTTTATTTGGTGAACTTAATCAATAAAATATATAAATGGCAACAAAAGCTTAAAACAATAAATAATCCTAATTACATAAGTATCCAAAAATTTTTCTTGACTACTGACTTTTTAAAAAACCATTAACAAAACAATAATCCATGTTTCTCCTTTTGACAAGTATCCTTAATCAGTTTGTTGAGTACAAAAGGGAAAACTATACCATATAAGAAATTCATTGTCTATTTGAGAAATAATAATAATAATAATAATTCCAATAATAATATTTATGAGAAAATCAGCAGGAGCCATAAGGAGAGGATTTAAACCTATTCTCTGGGTGCCCCCAAGCACATGCCTTAGACAACCTTGTCCAGAGTAGAGGTTTGAATCATCCTCATGGACTCCTGCTGATTTTTGCATTGGTACATCATGTTAATGTGACTTCTTGGTGCAATTCAAAATAATAATCATAAATTTACATGCACAGTAAGCACTCACTTTTTCCAGCGTGTTACCAAAACTTCATCACCAGGCTGCAGTGATATCCGAGATTCATCTGTGCAAGGAGGGTGACAACACACACCAAAGCCCTTAGTGCACGGAAACCACCAGCCAGAATAGGCCTCTACAATTTGATATTCTAGACTTCGGGCACGTTTCTCGGCCTTCTGAGCAAGCTGTTCTATCTGGAAGATATGGCTCATGTTAGTAGAATAACACCCGACATAATATACTGTATATGTAGAATAGTCTTACAGCATCTGCAAGCATCCCCTGAAGTATGCTCAACCACAAAGTGTCTTAATTTACCTCAGGTACATTACATATTCCCACTTCTCCAAAACTTGACACTGTAGACTAAGATTATCAATGACATCTTAGCCTTGAAACATTGTATTATACAACATATATGAGGACTACTGATATACATACTGTAAGGGTATACTGGTTGCATTCTTCACGAACTGGCCACACAATGCCATCTCCATTGGGTTCACACCACACATTGATAACCTAAAGGAAATTAAAATATATAAATTTTTTAGTATTAAGAGTATTTTAATATACATCTTAAAATCCAAGAAATAAATTCACAATTTTTTTTCAATGAATGATTTTAAAACAAGGATCCAACATCAAGCTATACAAAGCCTTCCATCTGCATTAGAAACACACAACATTCTTCAACATTCTGCCTCACCTTGGGTAATACACACATTGTGCTGGTCAGAAACTGTATTTGTAAAACATAAATATGAACCTAATTAAACATCACGTGCCCCATGGTTGCCATGACATCTCATAGAACAAAAACAGGTACTTTATGAGCTTGTTTATCTGGATAATATAGGAAGGACCCTCCCCCGGATAAGCCAGACATCCGGATAAGCAGTATTTCTTACTGGGGAAGTCCAAAAATTAACATTCAAAATTTTTCATACTACAACCAACATAATTAGAATTTCTACACACACTACAATTAAAAAAGATACCAGTACTGTAATTTAAAACAGAAACTTCAGCTTATCTTGTTGTAGTTTGTCTCTCGATTGATGCTGCACATCTTGAAATCAATTATTCTTGAAAATTTATATAACCTAATCTAACACAACATTAAAAATTACTGTAGAGTACCTTAGCTTGGCAAGGTCAGTTTTGATTGACAGCTTCTGAAGCATCACTGGTTGAAGGTCCTTGGTTTGCTTATGAGGCAACAGTGGCTGAAAGGCCTTGCCTTGCTGTTTTTACCAAATAAGAATTTATTTTGCTTGCCTTCTGTCTTCACCGACCTCTCTTATGATCAGCTCTTTGGTTCACCTCAGGTACTGATACATGTTTCCAACACAGCATTAGCACAGTTGGATGATGCATTAATTAACATGTCAACGGGAGACATGAGTAAACTGTACTTGGTTGCCTGTGGTGTTGCTAGTACTGAACAGCCTTTTTCCTTTTTACACCTTCAGCACAATTGCTGTTGCTACCAGACATTCTTTCAGTAAAGTTTATTATGACATTATTATTCTGATTCTAGCAATATTTAATGATAAAATCTCTGAGAATAGATGAAACTGCTCATGCTGATGATATATCATCACCATGCAAATATATACAGAGAATGAAACATTTATCAATTGGAACACTTGACTGATCTCTGCTTTGACCTCATGCAGAAGGAAAGAATGTAAAGCTAGAAGTTGACTTATCAAGACCTACCGTATCACATGCAAAATTAAATCTTGTCATTACCTGCGCAAAGTTATTCCAGCGACCCAAGTTGTATGGATATATAAATGGCTTCTCAGTTGAATCACGTCGATGCATGGCCTTTTCTAAAATCCAGTCCTCTATGCCTGTTCTATTCCGAAGAATTGCTCGTAACTGAAATATTTTTCAAAATACAGTACAGTAATTTTGTGAGTGACAAATAATACTATCTTATAATTGTCAACAAATTCTTACATGAAGCATAATGTGATTTATGTACTGTAATTTAATGTGTACTAAATTACAGTACAGTAATTTTGTGAGTGACAAATAATACTATCTTATAATTGTTAACAAATTCTTACATGAAGCATAATGAAAAAAGAAATACTCTACTGAGCAAAGCCCCCCACGCAGGACAACAAAGCCCAGGAAACACTAACCCCACTTAACCTTGTTTGTTTTTCTTCTGCCTGTACTTTATGCACAGTTTCTCTTGGTTTTGGGTTGATCTTGTTGATCTTGGATCACTATGCTCCGTGTTTATGACGTATTAGAACGTTGTTACAACATGGTATGAATCTATAAGTACATCAGAATCTGGTCTTCATGTGCATAAGTTCAGAGGCCTGTTTTAAGGATGTCTCTGTAGTACAAGAGCTAATGTATGTGGGAGCTACTGAGTGGTGCAGGCGATGAGTCACAATAACGTGGCTGAAATATGTTGACCAGACCACACACTAGAAGTTGAAGGGACGACGACGTTTCGGTCCGTCCTGGACCATTCTCAAGTCGATTGAGAATTTGTACCGAGTGGTACAAAAAATATATATATATATAGGCGGAAATGGATGGTGTTCGTGAGGCCAGTGCATAGGTTTGTTTTTTGGTTGCCTCATCAACATTCCAGAGAACTATAACTACTAAGAGGCTGCTGCTGTAAGCACTGCAAGGCAGCACCCTGTAAGCAAGAGTGGAAGGAGTGAAAGCTAGTGTAATCTTTGAGAATAGCAAACTCGACAGTATTTCATAATGGAAAAGAACTAAGTCAAAATAAACAGTGCCACCAATATAAAATGGCAGCAAAGAGAGACTGCAGTGACCCTATGCCAGAGGACTAAGTATAGCCACAGTTTAGTAAGCCAAGCAACTACTGCTAAATATCATGAAAGAGGCAGAAAAGTCAGATTGTACACGTATCACACTAAAAATGAGAGACAATGTTCATGTTTTAACTGATGGAAACCGCCTGAACTCCCAAGTCTGAAAACAGAACTAGGAAGTCACTATGCCATGTGAAAACCAAGAAGCTTATAACAGACCAAATCAGCAACTTGAAACACTGGAAAGGCTTGCAGTGTTTTAAGGTTACTATAATTTTCACTCATACAGTACCAACATGGAAAATACAAGAGTGAAAGTTAACAAACCATTCAAGGTAAGCAGTGCAATGGTTCAAACTCTGGTCAGGGAAAGGTTAGCTGCCGTTATTTGTGCGCCACAGAATCTGTGTCTGGAGACGCGCTTTGGGTTGATCCGGTTTCCCTTCTTCCCTGTTCGTGGCTGCGGGTCTCTCAGGTCGTTCGCAGGGTTATTAAGTCTAGCCAGCCTGCGGTCTATTCCCGTGTCCATGACGTTCGTAAGTTTGCTGCTCTTGCTACCATCTTTGGTAACATGTCTTGGGTTGACATTCGGGCACGAGGCTTTTGGCGGATGAACATGGTTCTGGCTACATGCTACCTCGTGCTTTCCTGGCCTAGTCGGGCCTGTGTTGCTTTGGGTCAGCAGTTGCAGCCAGTTGTCTCGACATCGAGTTGAGATGTGAGCACCGACCGCCTCCCAGGTAAGTCCCCTTTCTTTTTCGTCTTTGGTGAAGTAGCTCCGGAGAGCCGTGGAGGCTCCCCCCAGAAAACCAGCGTTGAATGTAATGAAACACCATTTTCTGGGCGAGTCCCGGAAGCTCCCGGCAACCCTCCCTCCCTCCGGTCAGCGGTTTTCGTGTATTTTGATATCCAGCCTCAGAACTAGGGTGTGGATCACCAACACGGGGGTCTGGAGCTCCCTCTTTTCCCTACCCTGGAGGGAAAAGGGGGGAGCTCTATATTATTTAGGTAAACTATTTACCTAAATATATTAGGTAAATAGTCCGGTGTTGACATCTCCCAGATCGGCCGAAACGTTCATCTCTCTTTTCCATTTCTCTGTGGATTTTTCCGCTTACCTAAATATATATTTAATCAAATAAATACTTCTGGAAAAGTGTGTAAAAGTGTGAAAGACTTGTGAAGTAATAAAACCACCTGGAGAATCCTCTATTGTGGCCATAACCTGATGGGGGAGCTCCCAGGAGTTCCCCATCAGGTTATGGGAGGGAGTAAGGTGTTGAGATACACACACACACTGTGGGCACATGGAATCAATGTACCACATGAGGGGCTGACTAACCTGGAAGTAGAGGAGCATACCCACAGCCAGCACGACACCAATAGCCAGACCCAGGACAAACATGCAAATCACCATCCCCCACAAGCTCATGTAAACCATCGGCTCCCTCCCAGTACCGTAGTAGATGTACCATGTCTGCGGTATAAAAGATATTCATGTTGGTCTCATGGAGAGAAAATATACAAGGATAATTATATAATTTTGGAAGTTAAGACAATACATGAAAGTCCATTCAGCCTAATAATCACTTGCCATGACAGTTTACCGAAATGAAATACTGTACTCTGATCACAATGGCACTAATTGCTATTTTAATACAAAAACTTATAAAAATACGTTCACTACCTCACTGAAGTTTATTCTCATTTAATATCTTTATTTTATGTTCTTACCTCAAATTCTTTCACTATTACCATCTCTAAGGCTTAACATGAAAAATTCTAAATGATGTAATAACCAAACCAAATTCCAAAGATCTTAAAATCAATTAAAGATTTTTGTTGGTATATGGTAGTCCCCAAAATTATACAGTACTGTATGCCTCTACAACATTCACTAGCACAAACAGTTCTTGACAACAGCATTGAATAAAACTAAACCCAACAAAATTTCACAAACTCTTCATACAGTTTAATTTGTTTTGATGGGGACAAAGCGTGTGCATGTATATTTACTTTAGGCTTATATTGAGGTCTCCCAAAATTAAACTACTGACCCTCTTTAGGATACAACCCCACACCAGTTGCCTAACTCCTAGGCAGGTATTTACCAATAGGCAAATAGTGGCATTAGGTGAAATGAAATGTGCCCAACCATTTCTATCATGTTTGGGAATCTAACCCAGGATCCTTGATTGTGAGTTGAGACCAAAGCCAACTGTACTATTTTCATTACAACTGGGCAATATGATTTTATCTTTATAAGCTAGACTGAGCTAGAACCTGGCCTCCACTAAAGAGGTACAGAGAACCGTGGCACTCTGAACAAATTTTCAGTGAATTTTAAGCATGTCTGCCACCATCAGGAAAGCATTGACAAAATCAGCAAGGGAAAACACACCACTCCTGATTATAGGGAAATGTTCATGTCTCAAATTTGCCAAAATAAGTCCACTAACAATGTAAACAAATGATCAAAAAGTTAGAAACTAACACAAGCTCATTCACCCCCGCCCCCCATCATTTAGGGGGTAGAATGCGGGGCAAACTGGGTCAGCCAGCTGTTCCACCTTCAGTTCTATGATGATGGTAAATCCACCTCCGACTCCCTGTGGAAGGGAGCGAGTCAAGGAGCCACTGTGGCTCACCCAGAAATTGGGGGTTTCCTTACATTCAATGCCAGTTTTCTGAGGGGAGCCCCTAGTGGCTCCCTAAAGTTACCTATCCATGGAGAAGGTAAACAAGGGGACCAACCAGGGAGGAAGGAGCACCATAGCTATCACAACGAAGAATAAACCATGGGATGCAAATCCCAACCCAAGGCCACACAAGGCCTTTGAGGAGGAGGAACATTGACAATACCTGGCTGTCAGAACCCTGTTTGACCGCCAAAACCCTCCACACCTGAATATCAGCCAAAGACATACTGTATTGGTAAACAAAGCCGACAGAGTGGCAAACTTACAAACATCATGGGCATGAGGGTAGACTGCAGGCTGGTCAAATCAAATAACACTGTAGATGACCTGAGAAATACAGGCCCTGAAACAAGGGACCAGGGAGCCAGATCAACCCAAAATGAGTACTCCCAAGCAGAAGTAGCGATAGAAAGCTAATGGTGCAGAGCTTTCACTGGACAAAGCACATGATGCCTACCACGAGAGCCTCGCAGTCAGAGAATGGCACCGCATAAAAAGGAAGGTGCCGTGACCCTTGAATTTACTCAAAGTGAGTGCAGGCTCAGTGCAGACAATCAATGGACCACTGAACCTGCGAGGATTTTCCAGGGTTTGCAGGGAATGGCTCTGCAGGAATCCCAGGCACTGGGATCGCTATGCCAGAACCCTCATTAGGAAACAGGTCCTCCTGTTTTTGTTTTGTTTTTTTTTAAGAAAGGAAGTCTCATTATTGAAGAAACAGTAAACAAAGAGTCAAATAGACACTTGAACTGGTATAAATAGACCAACCCAACTCACCAGAGGCTGGGAAGGCCGACCTTGGCATGCCTTAGTTAGGTTGCGAAATCTCCAGTGCTTCCTGCTAGCTAAAAATTTACCAAAAAACATTTTGCCAGCCAAAATAGGGAAGGCAAAGTAAAAAACAAACAGACTTACCTAGGGCGAGGGCTACACAAGCGAGGAAGTCTTCCAAGGGAACGAACCACGAACGCTCCAAGGAAAAGAACCCTGACAGCGCAAGGGCAAGCCTCTTTACACACAGGAGCTAGAGCTAGGGAGCACACAGGGAAGAAAACCCTGTTAAAATTCACTTACAATTTGATCATAGTGCCACTGCTCTTTGTGCCTCTTTAGAGGGGGCCAGATTTTGGCTTGTGGACCCCAGAAGGCCTAAAGCAACTCAAGATTGCAGCTTCAGGAAGCCACAAGGGGCTCCCAGCAGAAATAACATGAAAAATAATTGTTTCATTTATTATAATATTTATTTTCCACATATAAGTTACATTACATATAAATGTGTATCTTTGAAGATGTCCTGGTATTTCTCTGGATATAGTTTTATTCAATACAGCATATACTAGTTCTTGTTTTAGGCTGTATGTGGCTGACAACAGGCCACCAGCCTGGAACCTGCAACCATTTACTAGGTTAAGTAGCTAATTATACACTCCCTCCAGAAGCAGATGAACAATACTACTCAAAAATATTTAGGTGACCTTATATTTGCCATGGTAAATGGAGAAATAGATCAATGACATTACATATGACAAGGTACACTGACCCTATGTATGGCATGGTAGATGGACAAAGCAAGCACCACAGATGCCTGAGCACATCCCAGCACAGCAAACAGAAGGAAGAGTGTAAAAGAGCCATGATTCTTATGACCAACACAGTTGTTAATCCACGGGCAGTGGTGGTCCATCTTCATCACACAGCGTCCACCTGTTAAAGATAATCATTTATTCGTGAGCCATCTGTGGTAGCCTCGTCGGGGACAAGAAGTCGCTGGCTTGTGAAAGTTGTGTCCATCATTCCTAGCAATGAGACCTTTACATTGAGGAAAGAGTACAAAGTTAAAAATATTCATTCCTTTAGTTCCTTTTATACTCAAGGAATACATTACTTGTATAATATTACAAGCTACAACCTAAAGGAATAAGGATTTAGGAGGCACATACAGAGCATCTTCACTCACCCAAATGATTTATCCCATTATTCAAGTAAGTATTTGAATAATGGAGGTAATATGAAAATTCTTATCAAAATTGTTATTACAGTCAAATATACTAAGTTTTCTGGGGCCAGATTCACGAAGCAGTTACACAAGCACTTACAAACGTGTACATCTTTTCTCAATCTTTGGCAGCTTTGTTTACAATTATTAAACAGTTAATGAGCTCCAAAGCACCAGGAGGCTGTTTATAACAATAACAACACTTGATTGGGAAGTTTTCATGCTTGTGAACTGTTTAATAAATGTAATCAAAGCCATCAAAGGTTGAGGAAAGATGTACAGGTTCGCAAGTGCTTGCATAATTGCTTCGTGAATCTGGCCCCTGGGCAGTAAAATAAGAATAAGTGAAGTTAATCATACTGATAGGAAATAATCTGTTTTCCTCTACACTAGGCCAGTATACTGTACACAAAGCAGCCTAAAAACATACTAGACATTTGTATCCTGCTTGAACGCTGCATTAACCTTGAGACCTTTAAGAACAGCCATAGACCAACTGTGCCCATTTATGCATTCAGCTAAATATTTTGAAGGAATACTATAGGTACTTAAGTGCCAATGTAACTCAAATTAAATAATTAATCAGGAACTAATACCAGCTGGTGCACGTGCAAAATGTAGGAGCTGTAACTCACACTTGCGGCAGTGGTGTGAGCGAGGAGCCTTGTACCCTTCACACGTTCCACAGAATTGAAGAAACTCTTTGTCGGTTTCCTTTTCCTGCAAACATAATTCATACCAATACAGCATAGGACAAAATCCTGAATTCATTTTCTAATATCATGCAGAAGTAGATGCCATTTATATAAATAAATATAAAATACTAAAATTTAAAAGTGAAACAAAATAAATGCAAAAACCTTACCTCAAATTCATATTATTTCTTAACATTGCTTACTAAATAAAATGTCATCATTAATCAACTTCTATAGGGTTAGCTAAACATTTAATAAATATGTTATAAAAATCACAACAATTCAAAAATACAATTCAAGCTTTATATTTACCATACAATAAAAATGTAATTTATCAAAATGTCAGTCATATGGTGTGACCTGTAAGTGGAAAATATTTTACAGCAAGTGATGGTAATTGTTTTTTAGAATAGGTTAATGAAAAGACAAAATTTTTCCCATGTGTACAGCCTTGGGAACTGAAGAGTGAGATTCTGTGAGGGCTCCAAAGGAAGGACTAAAATTAACTGAAATTTGAGAATGAGGCCACAGTTACCATCAACATAAAAATGGATAGTATGAAATATGCAGTGAAGATCACTGACAAGTAATAAGAAAAGAGCAGTCTACAGAATAGAACCTGTAAAACAACATTGCTGAAAATAAGTGCACAGAGAGAAGGTAGAAAGTCAAAGGATGAAAGCTTAGAAGGTAAATATCTGTGCTGGACTCTGTAAAAATATTTGGAAATATCTACGGGTAATGGCAAATGATTTCTTGTATTTTTTTTTTCAACGACCGTATATATATATATACAACCATCACTAATTGATATATTAAACAGAATGGTTTAATAAGTTCCAAAACACTCAAAATAAGCATATAAAGTAATAATAAATTGGTGAATCTAAAGAAGGGCATGTAAATGACAGTGAAGGGAAATGTGAGGTATGTTGCTATGTTTTGCATGGTTGAGTAATTATAAATATATGGATTGTATGGGTAAAGATCTATAAACCAGAGCATCAGTAAACTAACCGGCAGCCATTTGAGAGGCAAAGTCCCTGGCCCAGTGTACATGGCGTGCAAGAAGCAATACAGTGTAAGAATGGCACAACTCATGAAGGTGAAAAATAGGGTTGTCCCACCCCAGGACTCTTGTGGAGGCCACCACTGAGAGAGGCAACTCACTGTTGCAAATGTTACTGACTTGATTATTCCTGAGGAAACAAAAGTGTCACAGGTATGAAATTCAGGAAAACCATTACTCTTGCAAAACACAATTTAATTCCATAAGTCAATCCTAAAATCACACATATGCATACCAATAATGAAATATTAGTCATTTCATTAACCAATAGTCTACACAAATAATGTTTAGTAAAATAAATAAGATTACATGTAGATTACCTACCTTCTCAAAGTAACTAGTCAAATGTTATCACAGTCTAATTACCTTAAAACAACTAACCAATATTACTCTTGCATTGTATTGGATTTAACCTGTATAAATTTTTTAACAATAGCATATTTTCAAGATGATCTATACAATGACATGGCAACTGCTTAATGCACGAGATAAAAATAAACATGAGCTGCATGCGACATACCCAGGGCAACAAGCGGCCCCCAGTGACATACTCGTTTTAAGGGTCCAATACACATATTGAGTACTCTGTGCTGAGTGAGCTGAAATGACAAAAACAAGAATTACATTATAGAATACAGTACTGTATCTGCAATACTCAAAATATTGAGAAAACAAAAATGACACATTCAGAACATCTATCAATCTATCTTTTGTAGTGTACAATGGTATTATAAGAGCACTATCATGATCATCATGCAGGCGATGAGTCACAATAACGTGGCTCAAATATGTTGACCAGACCACACACTAGAAGGGGAAGGGATGACGACGTTTCAGTCTGTCCAGGAACATTCTCAAGTCAATTGTGTCGACTTGAGAATGGTCCAGGACGGACCGAAACGTCGTCGTCCCTTCACCTTCTAGTGTGTGGTCTGGTCAACATGATCATCATTATAAGAGTACCACCATCAAACTCATGAGTCTGTACAGTGGTACCTTGGAATGCGAGTGTCCTTGTATGCGAGTTTTTCGGAAGACGAGCAGGATTTCCTCGAAAAATATGTCTCGGAAGGCGAGGGTTACCTCGGGACGCGAGTTTGTTGATACGCGTACAGGCCGACCTAGCGCGTGGCGGTTCGGCGATCGTCGCCCCTCCACCCCTCAGTTTACCATTGTCTCGTGCCCAGTGACTACCCCACATCAATTCTTCTCGCGGATTTTCAGTGTTTTGTTGGATTTTTGGTGATTTGACTATACAATTTGTTATTATATATCTCACCATGGGTCCCAAGAAAGCCAGTGGTAAGGATAAAGGCCAGAGAGCCCATGTGAGGATGACAATAGAGGAGAAACAAGAGATCATTCGGAAGCATGAGAACGGTACACGTGTTGTTGAACTTTGTAGGCAGTACAACAAAGCCACATCAACAATATGCACTATACTTAAGAAGAAAAATGAGATTATGAGTGCTAAAGTGGCAAAAGGAGTCAGAACAATAACGAAACAAAGACCACAAATACTTGAAGAAGTGGAACAGTTGTTATTAATTTGGATACACGACAAGGAGTTAAGGGGTGACAGTGTTTCGGAGGCCATTATTTGTGAGAAAGCCAGGGTTTGGATAGATTTGTGGTGAGGAAATCGAGCAGTGAGCCTCAACCAGGACCTAGTGGCACTCAGATAAAACGTCCCAGGGAGAGCACACCAGAAAGGTCTTCACTGCCTGATGTGATAATGGAAGGGGACTCCCCTTCCAAACAGTAACTCCTCTCCTCCTCCCCCCTCCTCACCATCTTCCATATGCCTACAGCACTCAACAGCAAGGTAAGTAATAACTGGAACATAGTTTTGTAGGTTTATTTAGATGAATTAGGTATAAAAATTTAGTTTGATGTGGGGTTTTTGGGGTAGTCAGGAACGGAGTAATTCATTTCCCTTTATTTCTTATGGGGAAATTAGCTTCGGAATGCGAGTTTTCGGAATACGAGGCGTCTCCAGGAACCAATTAAACTCTTAAACTGAGGTATGCCTGTAGTTTTCTTTCATTAGGACTTTACCCTACATGTGACCCAACCCAGCCTAATATAATCTAATCCAGCTCAATTTAACATATGCATTTCTAACAATTTAAAGACTACTATATTTTACCTGAATTTACCCAAGAGCCAATAACACACTAGTGGCCTTGACGAAGACAGGAAGCTGGCGGCTTGTCAAACGTCCCCACATTTGTCCTGGTTATTTTTCTAACTGGATAAACATTAAACACTTGTGCATAACGCCTGTATATGATTGGACCGTACTTGGTTAAATGCAAAAATCCCACCACCTATTGTGGGTGGACTAAACAGTCACCAAATGTACAAAGTCTCTTTAAATATAAACTTTTAGGAATAAAAAATATGTGTACCATATACCTGAACAAAATGCTATTAGCACCCCCTCTCCTTCCTCCAATTCACACAGCAAATATTAAAATACCATTTTCCTACCTGCACACTCTCCATATATTATCCCTCTGTTTAACTACAGGAATCTAGTAGAAAACTATAATTATTCAAAATACGTCGAATTACTAAAATAGGAGTTATAGTATTATAGTCTTTCAGTGCTAATAATAACACCTGTCCACCTCCGTCTACATCCAGATCATCTCAACCTTCAAGACATCGTGTGGTTCCCGTCCCAAGCTCCTCAGCCAGTTATTAACTGCAACCTATACCAATTACCGGATGCCGAAGCATACCTGAGAGATTTCCTCTAGGCCGACATGAGTCTCTTGAACCACCAACCAGGAGTCTCCTCTTATGACGTCATTTGTTCACCAACCAATCAACGCTCGTATTCTGTGACGTTACCTTGTTTACAAACACAACGACCTTAAACAACATATATACTGACTTAAAATAATTATAAAATAATTATAAAATGTAGCAACAATAATAGTAATAATAATATAAATAATAATTGTTATTGAATTGCTTGAAACTGTTGTATCTGGTTTGCAGTGTTGGTTCTGAGGTCCTCGTGTGACCTCACTCGCTACAAAGTATAACCTAGGAAATGTAGATGTTTATCTCTCACAATGTTTGGTAATGTTTATTGTTTGTGATGTGTTTATATGTATGTATTAACACGCTGTACTGAACGGGGTAAGAATAGCTTGAGCTACCTCATCCCTTTGTGTGTATTTTACCTCAATAAACTTATTTCAATTTCAATTTCAAAGCATAACCTAACCTGGAAAAGGGAAAATATCTTTTTAAGAATAGGTTCTAGTCAGTTTGAAAACCCCTCCAAGAACTAGGCGAACTGTCATATCAGGAAAGATTTGAAGGGATTGTTTGTGGCCTAAAGCGTGCTTGTTTATGGTCTGAGGCTATGTTGTTTGCTCGAAATTGAAATTGAAATTGAAATAAGTTTATTGAGGTAAAATACACACAAGGGGATGAGGTAGCTCAAGCTATTCTCACCCTGTTCAGTACATCGTGTTAATACATACATAGACACACATCACAAACAATAAACATATTAAGTTTGCTCGAGGTGTGGACAGTGTTGCCAGATTGGGCTACAAATAGCGAATTGGGCTACTTTTGAGAGCCCCGCGTTCTCATATTTTTAATTTCGCCACTTGCTACTTTTTTGGGCTAATTTAAAAGCAAGATGTGCTAATTTGGGCTATTAATGTTAAGAATGTACGATTGCGAGTTACATGAAAGTAACTAAGCTGTAAATAATTGTAATTAATAATAATTGTAAATATTAATTAATACTAAATAATATTATTTAATAAATTAGTTCCAATTCAAGCAGAGTTTTCTTCCAAGCACAGAAACTTGTAAATATAAATACAAGATAATAGATAGATCGATAAATAAATAGACAACTTTCAAGTATTGCACCAAGCAATGGCGAGAGGAAAAAAATACAGTATACATTACATTTGAAATTAATAATGGATGAATGGTAATAAATTGGTGTATGTTTGTAAGTATACCAAACAAAGTCTATTTAATGGCAGAATTTAGCCATTTTGTGTAAAAACTTTTATATCTCATATTATTAATTATAACAGTAATCGAAAAAAGTCATAGTTTGTATATACAAGAGATGAAACAGAGAGCCATGAGCTAGAGCGATGTACTGAGTCCATAAGGAGGCAGAGCTTCCAGAAATACCTTCCTGTGATTGGCTGTTGTGGAGAATACCAACACTCTTTTATGAATAAAATTTAAACTAAGAATATAGGTCCTTGTGCACAAAAGAACAACAATTTCTGTTTTGCACTTGACAGAAATCTTCATCTAACTGAATAATTTACTCGAATAAGAGGGCAGAGCCGTGTATCATTATTTGTGTCAAGGCAACCCCCAATAATGACGTCACAAGTTAGGTAGCCAGCCCATTTTTATATAACATCTGTTATATCCTGCAATATTTAATTATCAATTTATTAACACTTTAAATAATTAACACTTCACTTTTTGGGGTAAATTAAAGTTAAAGCAGAATTCCAAAAGCAGGACTGGTGGGCTGAACTAAGATGGTTTACTAAGTGGATGGCACCTATAGCTGATCCCGGCCTGTGATTGGCTGTTGTGTGAATGTCAACAAAGAGTTTCTACCAATGATATGCCACCATTTTATTTAATATGCACCCTATACCCATCTTGTGGGCGGAGCTTGGAACTTCCTACCCGAGCACAACAACCCGCCTAATGGGTTGCTGTTTGGCTATTTATAGTGCGTTGGAAAAGCAACAGATGGCGTTAGTTGTATTTTTGGGGTAATTTGTTATAAGTGTAATTTGATGTCAACAGATGGCGTAAGCTGTAACTTATGGCTACTGTTGACCAGCCAGTTAATAGTGTTCTTATCTGCCAACAGATGGCATCAGCTGTATTATTATCATTTTAATAATATCATTATTATTTTAATAATATTATTACATTAATAATAATGTATTATTATTACTTTAAACACTGATCTATACGTCTGGTAGCTTATAATAAGGCTTTATACCATGCTGGTATTAGGTAACTAAAATACTGCAATTACTTAATTAATATCACCAACACATTGTAACTTGTAAATAAGATTAATTATTATTATTAAATATTATTTGAATTCATGTGCTAATTATATGATAATGTGCCATCTATTTATTCATATTCTTAACTTATTATCAACTTCTGTTGCCTCGATTTTGGTCATAATAGTGTCTTGGAAGACGAGACCAGCAGCGAACACAAACCAGCGCATACGTATATACAAAAGGTTTGTATATATATATATTCTTTTAAACTTTATATAGATTATATTCTTTTAAACTAATGAAATTTACATTTAATTTAGAAATATACATTTGTCTTGATCTCAGTTAAATGCATTAATTAAAAAATGGCAACAGTTGCCAAAATCACATAATAAGAAATGTAAACCCAGGTAATGGGGTTACAATGAGATGTATTTATTGCTTATCTCAATAAACATACTTGAACTAGAATTCTGCAATTACCTTTTTTTTTTATCTACTGTTGAGGATATGTAAGGCAAATGTAAGGTTTTGAGGCTAAGTAACGAAGATAGTTACAAGATACGAGCCAGATGGTGTTGAGATTGCAAAAGGGATTATGATAAGAACTTAAGCCAAAAAGTCAATGCATAAATATTCGCAAATATGAGGCTGGGATTTATTTCTCGAAAAGTTAGCAATAAAATGCGCTTTCTAGTTCTTTATTTTTGAAATTAAGACCAGGGATTCTGTCTAACTAAGCTGCAAGCTAAAACACCGTTATCTTATAATGTTCATCTGTAGCTTGACCCTAAATACTCGTTTATTAACGAATTTATTGTTAGAGTTCATTAGGAATCAACTTTGTTGAAGGCAGAGTTTCCAACAAATACCTTCCTGTGATTGGCTGTTGCGGGGAATGCCAACGCTTATATGAATAAAATGCAAAATAAGATATACGTCCTTTTGCTCAATAACCTTGTTGTTGTGCAAAAGAACAACAATTTCTGTTTTATACAAGACAGAAATTTCCATCTAACTGAATAATGTAGACCAAAAAGAGGGCGGAGGCATTGTATCGTCGATATTATTTGTGAGGCAACCCCCACTGATGACGTCACAAGTTAGGTAGCCAGCCCATGTTTCTGTAACACTCGTTACATCCTGCAGTATTTAATTATCACTGTATTAATACTTTTAAATACTTAACATTTCACTTTTTAGGTAGATTAAAGTTGAAGCAGGATGTCATAAGCAAGGATGGTGTGCTGAATAAACATGATTTATTAAGTGGATGGAGCCTTTAGCTGATCCCTTCCTGTGATTGGCTGTTGTGTGAATGTCAACAAAGAGTTTCTACCAATGATATGCCATTTATTATGCACCCCATACCATCTGTGGGCGGAGCTAGGAACCTCCTACCCGAGCACAACAACCCACCTTATGGGTTGTTTGGTTATTTATAGTGCGTTGGGAAAAAAAGAGATGGCGCTAGTTGTATTTTGTGGGGTAATTTGTTATAAGTGCAATTTGATGTCAACAGATGGCGTAAGCTGTATCTTATGGCTACTGTTGACCAGCCAGTTGATAGTGTTCTCTTCTGCCGACAGATGGCATCAGCTGTATTATTATTATTTTAATAATACTATTACATTAATGGTCATAAAAGTATTTGTGTACGTCTGGTACCATACAACTTGTGTAAAGGTGGAAATGTAGATGTTTATCTCTCAGAATGTTTGGTAATATGTTTATTGTTTGTGATGTGTTTATATGTATGTATTAACACGATGTACTGAACGGGGTGAGAATAGCTTGAGCTACCTCATCCCTTTGTGTGTATTTTACCTCAATAAACTTATTTCAATTCAATTCAATGGGGTTGCTAGGCTCGTTCATACTAGGCTTGCAGTTACACAACTGGTCGGGGGTTCGGAGTGCACAACAAACTACCACTCACTAGTTGAATAAGGGGATGCTTAATGAACTATATCCACCTCTGGCGGCAAAAAATCAATATATGATTTTATATGTGTGTGTGTGTATGTGCAGAAATAATATTAATAAAACAATTAACATCGTGTAGTGTACTCTATATATCAAAATATATTACTTTGAAACCCATAGCATTCACTAAAAAGAATTAGGCTACTCTTATTACAACTTCGCTACTTTTAGACCGTCAGCTCGCTACTTTCAGCAATTTAGAGCTGGCAACCCAGGTACTGTGGCGTGTTAGTCACTGGAGACCGTGTCCTTGGACCAGACGGTAGGGCGCCGGGTCCTGTCTTGCAAGGTAGGCTGTCCACCCCCGCTGGTGCAAGAGGCTGTTGGGCATCGTTCATCACTCGGGCACATCACAACTTATAGTTTCTCCTCAGCTTCCTTCCAGGTGGTATATATGGTCACACTAGCTTAATTAGCGCTCACGGGAGACATCTGTCACACAGGGTGCAGTCGCACCTCCACAGATCTCAATTATCAGCTCTTGATACTGGTAATGGCTCAAAAGGGCCTCCACTTACGGGCCATTCATGCCCGTGCTACCTTTTGGGGGCTTAATCTTAGTCTTAGTCTTAATTAGCGCTCGTCTCCTCAACATGGGCTTATACTCCCTATAGTCACGGTTTGGTAAGCATTACCAACTCTGTTCACACTATATCGCCATCACTGTAGCCACTATCACCCTCACGATAACCGCCATCATCATTATGAAGGCAACCACTATCACCACCACCATCACCTTCATCATCATCTTCATCATCATCCCTCTTCAAACTATATGCCAGGTATGAATAATGAATTGGGAACTTCACACCAAGGCCGCCCTTCCCCCAGTTTCTTCCTCAACCCCCCATCTCTCCCTCCCATCACCATCTCCCTCTCCCCTCCCATCACCCTCTCTCTCCCCCTCCCATCACCCTCTTCCTCTCCCCCTTCCCATCACCCTCTCCCCTCCCAACACCTTCACCCCATTAAGCTCCCCGGAGCTGTTGCTGATTTTGTTCGCTGTTGGTCACGTGTTGACCTCTGTAGACGACGCCATATGGTGCGGCTTTGCGCGCGAAAGGAGGCCATCCTCTCCCTCACCACCCGGGCGTGCGAGAGGTGGCCACCCACCACCCGGGCGTGCAGGAGGTGGCCACCCACCACCCGGGCGTGCAGGAGGTGGCCACCCACCACCCGGGCGTGCAGGAGGTGGCCACCCACTACCCGGGCGTGCAGGAGGTGGCCACCCACTACCCGGGCGTGCCAGAGGTGGCCACCCACTACCCGGGCGTGCCAGAGGTGGCCACCCACCACCCGGGCGTGCAGGAGGTGGCCACCCACTACCCGGGCGTGCCAGAGGTGGCCACCCACCACCCGGGCGTGCAGGAGGTGGCCACCCACCACCCGGGCGTGCCAGAGGTGGCCACCCACCACCCGGGCGTGCCAGAGGTGGCCACCCACCACCCGGGCGTGCGAGAGGTGGCCACCCACCACCCGGGCGTGCGAGAGGTGGCCACCCACCACCCGGGCGTGCAGGAGGTGGCCACCCACCACCTGGGCGTGCCAGAGGTGGCCACCCACCACCCGGGCGTGCAGGAGGTGGCCACCCACCACCCGGGCGTGCCAGAGGTGGCCACCCACCACCCGGGCGTGCCAGAGGTGGCCACCCACCACCCGGGCGTGCAAGTGTTTGGTAGAGAAAAATGGCGTTTGTTAGCTTAAGCGGGAAAGTATTTCTTTCATCTTTGATTGGAAAATACATTTTTTAATGATGATCTGGCGGAAAACGTATGTTTTTGTAGTTATTGCGGAAATATTTGGCTATTTCACGTTTCCTTAGAGATATATTATTTGACTTTAATTTAGAGATAATAAGTTAAGAGTTTCAGCAATTTTTTTATATTTGGGCGGTAAAATATTTAAGATATTTTTATGTTAAGAAATGTGATGATCTCGTATTATTTTAGTAGAATAATTATTGAAGGATTGGGTGATAAAAAAGGTTATTGTCGGTAGAGACAAAAATATTACAAAACAGATGCAAAATAATGAAGTGAGATACCGAGGTGGCAAACATGTCTGAATAATATATGAAGTACATTTCAACTCTAATTATCTTATGAAAATTATCATAAGGCTTGCTACATATTGCTCACGTTATAATTATAGACATTATGGCCTCACAACACAACACTGGCCCACATAAAACCAAAGCCATAACACATCACAAAAACACTGACTTCAGAACTAATTATGTTGATTTTAAGAGACAAAAATACTTCCCAAATTTATTATGATATTAGTTGACAATAAAAGTAATAATAAAAGTATATAATTCATGGGGTGATACCCTATAAATTATATATATATATATATATATATATATATATATATATATATATATATATATATATATATATATATATATATATATATATATATTAGTATATTTTGGTAGCAGTCTTTCCTGTTGACATATATTATTAAATATGACCGAAAAAGTAAGATTAATAATTCTAACACGAATTTTCTCAATCTTTCGTACATTTCTTTTCACTGTTGGAGGTAATTCAAAAATCAATTCTCCACAATTCATTTTTATTTCTAGTCTGACGCGACACGAGCGCGTTTCGTAAAACTTATTACATTTTCAAAGACTTTAGTTTACAAATACACAACTGAATAGAACTTACGCATCTCCGATTTTGTTTATATCTACATTTGAGTGAGGTGGATGGGGTGAGGTGGCATTAATAGGGTATTAATTTCATCAACACAAGACAGAACAAGAGGTGGCATTAATAGGGTATTAATTTCATCAACACAAGACAGAACACGAAACAATGGGTATTGAAATGGAAGTGATTGTAGAAAGTCTATTGGTCCATATTTCTTGATGCTTCTATATTGGAGCGGAGTCTTGAGGTGGGTAGAATATAGTTGTGCATTAATTGGCTGTTGATTGCTGGTGTTGACTTCTTAATGTGTAGTGCCTCGCAAACGTCAAGCCGCCTGCTATCGCTGTATCTATCAATGATTTCTGTGTTGTTTACTAGGATTTCTCTGGCGATGGTTTGGTTGTGGGAAGAAATTATATGTTCCTTAATGGAGCCCTGTTGTTTATGCATCGTTAAACGCCTAGAAAGAGATGTTGTTGTCTTGCCTATATACTGGTTTTTTTTTGAGCTTACAGTCCCCAAGTGGGCATTTGAAGGCATAGACGACGTTGGTCTCTTTTAAAGCGTTCTGCTTTGTGTCTGGAGAGTTTCTCATGAGTAGGCTGGCCGTTTTTCTGGTTTTATAGTAAATCGTCAGTTGTATCCTCTGATTTTTGTCTGTAGGGATAACGTTTCTATTAACAATATCTTTCAGGACCCTTTCCTCTGTTTTATGAGCTGTGGAAAAGAAGTTCCTGTAAAATAGTCTAATAGGGGGTATAGGTGTTGTGTTAGTTGTCTCTTCAGAGGTTGCATGGCGTTTCACTTTCCTTCTTATGATGTCTTCGACGAAACCATTGGAGAAGCCGTTGTTGACTAAGTTTTACGAAACGCGCTCGTGTCGCGTCAGACTAGAAATAAAAATGAATTTTGGAGAATTGATTTTTGAATTACCTCCAACAGTGAAAAGAAATGTACGAAAGATTGAGAAAATTCGTGTTAGAATTATTAATCTTACTTTTTCGGTCATATTTAATAATATATATATATATATATATATATATATATATAATGTTTCTGCCTTAATTATATATATATAATTAAGACAGAAATTTCCTTAAACTACTTTTGTATTTAATAATACATCTTCAGAAGGATAGACTTGCAGCTCAGTGGGTGTGGATATATAGGCAGGAAAGAGTTGAAACGAGGTACAATGTCTTTAATGAGATAATTGAATATCAATAAGGTATTAGTGAGATAAATGTGTATCAATGATCCTACTCAAATCGCCCGTTAACTGATCAATCAAAAATGTATCCATATTATACAAACCACTGCTAATGTTCAAATTACATGATTTTGTAATCTGTATTAAAGCAGATTTAATAATGTTCATATTGAAAATGATTTTACAATTTGTTACTGAGGAAGCCATCTCCCAAAAAAACGCAGTGGATAACAAAGCTTGAGGCCAATAGAATCAACATTCTTAAACTCTTCATCCAAGAATTCTGAACTAACAGTCCGAAGAGCTCTAGATACACTAAGAAAAAAATGTATTGTTTCACATTATATCTATGTCCTGATAAATAATGAACATAAAATAAATTGTTCGTAGGCTTTCTGTAACACTAAACTTTAGTGAAAAGTCTTCCCTGCAAATAAGTGTATCTAAGAATGGCAAACATTTATCAATTTCAGTCTCCATTGTAAATTTTATAAAGGTGACTTGATCATTAAATTTAGCCAGAAATTCGTCTGTATTTACATTTGTAGGCCATATACACAAAATATCATCAACGCATGTAAACCATGAAAGGATTCCAGGGGTAAATTTTCAAACAAATTTATTTTCAAAAAAATCCATGTACAAGTTTGAAAACAATGAAGCTAACAGAGTCCCCATTGCCATTCCAAAAGTCTGTAATTAATACTCATTATTAAAAGTATATTTACATTATTTTATACACAGCCTAATAAGATTGACAATAATATCAGCAGGCAGAGGTAATACATTGTTCATTAATTAATAAGCAAGATAATCAAGAATATCAATCAACCGGAAATTCCAAATGCCGAAAATGTTCCTTTATGATAGTTCCCTCTTGTTATAGTTTCAAAATACATTCTCGTGAAATAATGTTTCTAGGATCAGGCTTCAGATGAGCTGGGGTAGGATAACAGCTCTTGCCCGCGGTTTTACTATGGAAGTCAGTTGACAGATCTTATATACCCTAATCTTAGTTTATAAGGAGAGAGAGGGAGAGATTAAGACGACAGATTAAGCCCAACTGTGCCAGTTGATATAAAACTAAGAGGCCCAAACGCTAAAATAAGAACACAAAAAATACCATTGACAGTTGTAAAAGCCAAAACGACAGAGCACTTGAATGTGGTGATAAATAACCTCACCAGGTTCCTGATAGATAAATAAGGTGTTAGCCAAGAGCTAGAGTCCGCTCCCGTGGACACAGGTAAGCACAGGTTACAGTGACACGTCTCGTACAAAGCGTTACATAAGCAAACAAAATATGGCGGTACATTCTCCTCCGCGTCGTCAATACACTCACACCTTCAAGATGACATCGACAGTCAGACTCCTGCCGTCTGCTGCGCGCCTGCAACACTTAACTCACTCTCTGTTGCAATTTCCATGCAACACCTCAGACAGGAAGCCCCGCTGTGACTTATTACATTCGCTTGCTCGGTCTTGCACCGTTAGTGACGAAAGTTGCTTCTCATT